AGCTCACTTCCCTGGGCTCACTTCCTTGAGGTGAGCTCACTTCCCTGAGCTCACTTCCCTAAGGTGAGCTCACTTCCCTGAGCTCACTTCGCTGAGGTGAGCTCACTTCTCTGAGCTCACTACCCTAAGGTGAGCTCACTTCCCTCAGCTCACTTCCCTGAGCTCACTTCCCTCAGCTCACTTCCCTGAGCTCACTTCCCTCAGCTCACTTCGCTGAGGTGAGCTCATTTCCCTAAGCTCACTTCCCTGGGCTCACTACTCTGAGGTGAGCTCACTTCCATGAGGTGAGCTCACTTCCCTGAGCTCACTTCCCTAAGGTGTGCTCACTTTCCTGAGCTGACATTCTTGAGCTCACTTCTCTTAGCTCACTTCCCTTAGCTCACTTCGCTGAGGTGAGCTCACTTCTCTGAGCTCAGTTCCCTAAGGTGAGCTCACTTCCCTAAGCTCACTTCCCTAAGCTCACTTCTCTGAGCTCACTTCCCTGAGCTCACTTCCTTGAGGTGAGCTCACTCCCCTGAGCTCACTTCCGTAAGGTGAGCTCACTTCCCTGAGCTCACTTCCCTGAGCTCACTTCTCTGAGCTCACTTCCCTGAGCTCACTTCGCTGAGGTGAGCTCACTTCTCTGAGCTCACATCCCTAAGGTACACCAACCCAGACCTTCAAGGCCCGCAACTCAGCATGCACGGCGACATTCCGCTGCAATTTGTCTTATTCATTCCCTCCTCTTGCGTCGACATTCATTCCCACTTCTACCCCGCCCCACGTGCCTTTGACCCCGTCCCGACTGGTTTCGGCCATTCCACATTTTTGCGATGATCCCACAGGTCCGAACTTGCTTCTGCTACTCCTCCCCTGCCCCATGTCGCTCCACGCCATCTCGCTCACCGCGCCCGCTCCCCTGCCCCTGCCCCCTCCGCAGCTCCCCCGCCCCCTTCGCCCCCTCACCGCCCTCCACCGGCGCGTCCTCGAGGATGCGCGCGACGGCCTCGTGTGCCGCGCGGCTGTGGCTGTCCGCCTTGGGCAGCCGCGGACTCGCCTCCGTGCCCTCCCCCTCCGCCTCCTCGCCGCTCCCCCCCCTCCCCTCCACCCGCACGCCCGCCCTCGGCTTCATTGTGCGCGCTGTGGGGCAGGGGGGCAAGCGCAGAAGGGCCGGCGGGGAAGAGAACGCGAATGGGCGGAGACCGAGGAATGGAGGAAAGAGCAGAGCGAGCGGGCAGCGCAGCAGCGAGGAGCGGACTCGAGCAGCAACGGGCGGGATTGCCGTATTCCCCCGTATATAACACCCTAGGGTATTGTCAAAAATTCATTAAAAAAATGTATGGGTGTTAACAGTAGGCTGGAAAAAATATAAAGCCCATGTCTTATGTAAAATGCCAAATGGATTTGGGTTGTAACAGGCACTTTTGAGGCCAGAACTTCACCAAGCAACTTCTAACGAGGAATCTGCTACAGGGATCGCACACTTTGACAGGGTCATTTCGTTGCCTCTGAAAATCGTGGGAGATTGATCCAGCAGCAGTGCCAGGTGTCGTTGACCAATCTCGTCTGAGAGTGTGTTCCTATGGCCTCTTCCCAGGCCAACCCATTCCCAAGCTCACTCAGTACAGTGCGACATAATTTGGCGCGAAATTGACGTGAAATGGGGCAGTGCTGTTCCGCGCAATGTGATGCAAAATCGACGCGAAATTGGGCTCGGCATTGCCGAGATTCAGGCGAGAGGGAAAGTCTGGGAAGAGGTTGGCCTGGGAAGAGGCCATAGGTACACGCTCTGAGTACTTCTGTGAACAGAGCCAGTTCCGTGTTTCGGAAAGCAGTCGAGATATTCTCGACCATTGCCACTTGTATTGATTCGTCTGCCCGTCTTTGCGCTGCGAATGGCACCTGACGCGATTTTCATCCTGCTCGATTATTGCAGCTGAGCGGACCTTGGTAATGAAGGACGAAATACTGTATGAAGGCAAGAAAAACGAGCAGGGTGTTATGTAAAATGCAAACCCAGAAAAGCGGGTACTCTAAAAAATGTGCCATATCATAAGCTATCCCCCGCATATGCCACCCATGGGTTGACTATTTCGGCGGGTCTTACGTACGGGGGATTACGGTAGCAGGCACGAGTGAATGACGGCCGCGAAGCGGCGGGCGGGGAATGGGAGAAGAGGGAAACGGGAAGGTGGCTGCGAGAGGAGAAACAACTGACCGCTTAAATATCAGTGACCAGGGCTGTCGTTTAAAAAAAAAGCACCCTGAGCTGTCGAATGGAAAAAAAAAATTACCCTGAGGGCCTTGTGTTGGAATTTTAGCTTCCCTGATTTCTCAGTGTTCTGGAACTTACAACCCTGAAATCTCCAAGGTTGGCTAGCCACAAACAGGGTTGCATTGCTGAGCAACGAACGCGTTCAGGGTTGCTTTCAACACGAGGGGGGAATAAAAAAATGGGGGGAAAAAGGGGAGGGAATCAAGCCGAGGGGAGGGGAAGAGCAAAGTTTGATGGAATTTCAGTTGACCACACGGGCAATAAAAGAACACCTGGAACACACGTCAAAGTTTTCAATGAGACTTTCACATATATTTTTTAACTGCATTGGAATGAGAGTAAATTCTGCATTTTAAACATAGGGAAATTCTCGCCAGTTTGCCCATTTGGTCAACTGAAAGTCTAACAAAATGTAACGGTCACGATCGTTTGCGATCATTTCGACAAATATCAATCGTTCGATGGTAGGTACTAATTAACGTCTAGGATTTCCCAACCGGGGCGCTGCAAGGGCGCGAAATTTCTCCCACCGCCTTATGCCCCAGCTTCCCCCCTTCCTGCCATTTCGATTCCCCCCTTCCCCTCCATTTTCGATTCCCTCCTCCCCTCCATTTCGATCACTTCCCCCTTCCCCTCCGTTCGCTTCCCCCATCCTCTCTGTTTCGACACCACCCCCCACGTTCCCCCCCTCTCCCCTCCGTTTCGCTTCCCCCCTCCCCCCCATTTTGATTCCCTCCCCATTTCCCCGTCGGTTTCGATTCCCCCTCCCCTCAGTTTCGATTTCCGTGGTAGTGCGATTTTACCCCCTCGATTTTTAGGAATGGCTTCCCCGTCTCCCAAATTTATCAACGCAAAACAAGGGTTGACAGGGTTGCTGGTAGGGGGGTGGCGAGCCCTGGTTGTGGGAGTGTGGGAGGGGGGATAACTTGTGTACAATAAGACTAAGCCGTTTTTTTTTTGTGATGTCACTGCCTATCAAGACTTAGTTAATTTTTGAGGGTTGTTGTTAGGTGTGTAGGGGGGATGTCTGTACGACACATGACTTAGCCGATTTTTGTGGGTTGCTTGGTGTGTGAGGGAATGTTTGAGGACTTAACCAATTTTTGTAGGTTGTTGTGTGTGGGGGGGAATGTCTCTGGAGATTGGGGACTTCGACTAAATTTCCGCATTGTGAGCTACATGGATGTCGCACTCAGGGTCTTAGAAACTTAGGACTCAAGGTTCTTAAACTTAGGAGGCTAGGTTGGCTAGAATACTAGGAAGAAAGCCGCCATGAAATGGCGTGAGGAAAACGGATCTAGGAAGGGAGAGAATGTCGAGAAGAAAGAGGGATTGGATTAGGAAGAGAGGGGAGTACAAGGAGGGGTTTGTACCCCCTACAGAAAGGTTCAGTAACAACCTACCAAGCCTATATTAAATTATAACTTATATAATTTTAACACACCCCCTAGGCTTGGTAGTGTCAAGCCCACGCACACCCCCACACCCACACCCACACCCACACCCCCTAGCCCAGCACCCCCATTTCCAGCAGGAGCCGCAACGACTCCGGAAGAGGGTAGGTCTCACGGCCCCTTGAGACGGCAATGGCGGCAGCAGCGACAGTGACGACGGCGGCGGCGGCGGCGGTGTACGGCGGCTCCAGGCCTGCGGCAACAGCGGCGGCGCCGGCGGCTCGAACGACAGAGGCTGCTGCGGCGGCCCCCGCCCTCTCGGCGGCATGTCCTGTCTCCTCGGCGGTGGAGAGGTCCCTCACATGGCAGTCATCGGCTGCAGCAAGAAAGGGGGGGATGCAGGGGAAGCAGGTGCAAGTGGGGGGGGGAGAGGAGGGGGCGAGGCGAGGCGAGTCTTCAGCGACGCGCCATAAATGGCGCGGCGCTTACTGGCGGGAGGACGTCGTCCTGAGGGACGCCGTCTGTGGCGAGCGGGCGGTAGGCCCGGCGACGCCACAGACGTCGCTCGGCCGGCCGCAGCCCGACGATGCCGTCGGCTGCCGCAGACGCCGCCACAGCGCACCGTCGATGTCGCAGCGGCGAGGCGGACGGGCGACGGCTGCACCAAGGGGCCGTCGCGACACCTTGGCGCCGCGACGGTAGGCAACGAGGGACCGTCGCGACATCTTGGTGCCGCGACGGCAGGCAACAAGGGGCCGTCGCGACATCATGGCGCCGCGACGGCAGGCAACAAGGGGCCGTCGCGACAACTTAGTGCCGCGACGGCAGGCCGGCAGAAAACCGCGAAGGCTGCGAATGCAGTAGGAGTACGCAACGGGAACGTAGGGAGAGGGTCTGGTGGACACGACCGGCTCTGATACCATCTTAGAAACTTAGGACTCAAGGTTCTTAAACTTAGGAGGCTAGGTTGGCTAGAATACTAGGAAGAAAGCCGCCATGAAATGGCGTGAGGAAAACGGATCTAGGAAGGGAGAGAATGTCGAGAAGAAAGAGGGATTGGATTAGGAAGAGAGGGGAGTACAAGGAGGGGTTTGTACCCCCTACAGAAAGGTTCAGTAACAACCTACCAAGCCTATATTAAATTATAACTTATATAATTTTAACACAGGGTTCGTACGCGTTACTCCCTGAAAACTCAGTGTTGGGATAACGCAAACCCTGAAATTCAAAGTGTTCACAGACATACAACCCTGAAGAGGTTAGGGTTCAAAAAAGCCCAACCCTGAAAATTAAGGGTTGGCCAAAAAAATACCCTATGAAATCAGGGAATCGGGGTAAAATACCCTGATAGCGACAGGCCTGACAGTGACGCGTGTGGAATCAAATATCAAGGGTCAGACTAGCCGCAGCGCAATGCACGTTCTTGGACATGTGTGACCTTATTTCGGGTTGCACTAAATTGGCGCGAACAGTTGTGGGGTCAAGGCTTGATGATGATGCCCATAACGTGCCGTTACACCGCGCTTCACATTGTGACTGAAACGTCACCACAACCAGTATGAACACACCACACCAAGTACTCTGCAATTCTGTAACCAATTATTGTTTTACAAGTTTCTATGAGGCATCAGCTTTTGCTTGATCCCTCTCAGCCGCTCGTTTCAGAGCCAGGGCTGCCTTGACCACATTGCCCCTTGTGAGCAATCCGACCTGCAATGCAACGCCAACCACGAGCACGACACGAGAAATCAGCAAGCGTGCAGGAAGGGAAGCATCCACAAGCTCATACTGGCATGCCCAGCCCTGAAACCGTGCTCACACTTCCCCTCAAATAAAAGTATATGCTGATGTGGTTCCTCAGTGGGCATAGTGGTGGGTGGAAGAGAAAGCATCCTGGTGGGTGGAAGAGGAAGCATAGTGGTGGGTGGAAGAGCGCATCGTGGTGGGTGGAAGAGAAAGCATCGTGGAGGGTGGAAGAGGAAGCATCGTGGTGGGTGGAAGAGAAAGCATAGTGGTGGTGGAAGAGGGAGCATCGTGGTGTGTGGAAGAGGGAGCATCGTGGTGGGAGGAAGAGGGAGCATCGTGGTGGGTGGAAGAGAAAGCATCGTGCTGGGTGGAAGAGGAAGCATCGTGGTGGGTGGAAGAGAAAGCATTGTGGTGGGTGGCAGAGAGAGCAACGTGGTGGGTGGAAGAGAAAGCATCGTGGTGGGTGGAAGAGGAAGCATCGTGGTGGGTGGAAGAGGAAGCATCGTGGTGGGTGGAAGAGGGAGCATCGTGGTGGGTGGAAGAGAAAGCATCATGGTGGGTGGAAGAGAAAGCATCGTGGTGGGTGGAAGAGAAAGCATCGTGGGTGGAAGAGGAAGCATCGTGGTGGAAGGAAGAAGAAGCATCGTGGTGAGTGGAAGAGAAAGCATCGTGGTGGGTGGAAGAGAAAGCATCGTAGTGGGTGGAAGAGGGAGCATCGTGGTGGGTGGAAGAGAAAGCATCAAGGTGGGTGGAAGAGAAAGCATCGTGGTGGATGGAAGAGAAAGCATCGTGGTGGGTGGAAGAGAAAGCATCATGGTGGGTGGAAGAGAAACCATCCTGGTGGGTGGAAGAGAAAGCATCGTGGTGGGAGGAAGAGGGAGCATCGTGGTGGGTGGAAGAGAAAGCATCGTGGTGGGTGGAAGAGAAAGCATCGTGGTGGGTGAAAGAGAAAGAATAGTGGTGGGTGGACGAGGAAGCATCGTGGTGGAAGGAAGAGGAAGCATCGTGGTGCGTGGAAGAGAAAGCATTGTGGTGGGTGGAAGAGAAACCATCGTAGTGGGTGGAAGAGGGAGCATAGTGGTGGGAGGAAGAGGGAGCATCGTGGTGGGTGGAAGAGGAAGCATCGTGGTGGGTGGAAGAGGAAGCATAGTGGTGGGTGGAAGAGCGCATCGTGGTGGGTGGAAGAGAAAGCATCGTGGAGGGTGGAAGAGAAAGCATCGTGGTGGGTGGGAAGAGAAAGCATAGTGGTGGGTGGAAGAGGGAGCATCGTGGTGTGTGGAAGAGGGAGCATCGTGGTGGGAGGAAGAGGGAGCATCGTGGTGGGTGGAAGAGAAAGCATCGTGGTGGGTGGAAGAGGAAGCATCGTGGTGGGTGGAAGAGGAAGCATTGTGGTGGGTGGAAGAGGGAGCATAGTGGTGTGTGGAAAAGAAAGCATCGTGGTGGGTGGAAGAGAAAGCATCGTGGTGGGTGGAAGAGGAAGCATCGTGGTGGAAGGAAGAGGAAGCATCGTGGTGGGTGGAAGAGAAAGCATCGTGGTGGGTGGAAGAGAAAGCATCATGGTGGGTGGAAGAGAAAGCATCGTGGTGGGTGGAAGAGAAAGCATCGTGGTGGGTGGAAGAAAAAGCATCGTGGTGGGAGGAAGAGGGAGCATCGTGCTGGGTGGAAGAGAAAGCATCGTGGTGGTGGAAGAGGAAGCATCATGGTGGTTGGAAGAGGGAGCAGCGTGGTGTGTGGAAGAGGGAGCATCGTGGTGGGAGGAAGAGGGAGCATCGTGGTGGGTGGAAGAGAAGGCATCGTGGTGGGTGGAAGAGAAAGCATCGTGGTGGGTGGAAGAGAAAGCATCGTGGTGGGTGGAAGAGGGAGCATAGTGGTGGGTGGAAGAGAAAGCATCGTGGTGGGTGAAAGAAAAAGCATCGTGGTGGGAGGAAGAGGGAGCATCATGGTGGGTGGAAGAGAAAGCATCGTGGTGGGTGGGAGAGGAAGCATCATGGTGGTTGGAAGAGGGAGCATCGTGGTGTGTGGGAGAGGGAGCATCGTGGTGGGAGGAAGAGGGAGCATCGTGGTGGAAGGAAGAGAAAGCATCGTGGTGGGTGGAAGAGAAAGCATCGTGGTGGGTGGAAGAGAAAGCATCGTGGTAGGTGGAAGAGGAAGCATTGTGGTGGGTGGAAGAGAAAGCAACGTGGTGGGTGGAAGAGGAAACATCGTGGTGGGTGGAAGAGAAAGCATCGTGGTGGGTGGAAGAGAAAGCATCGTGGTGGGTGGAAGAGAAAGCATCGTGGTGGGTGGAAGAGGAAGCATCGTGGTGGGAGGAAGAGGGAGCATCGTGGTGGGTGGAAGAGGAAGCATCGTGGTGGGTGGAAGAGAAAGCATCGTGGTGGGTGGAAGAGAAAACATTGTGGTGGGTGGAAGAGGAAGCATCATGGTGGGTGGAAGAGAAAGCATCATGGTGGGTGGAAGTGGGAGCATCGTGGTGGGTGGAAGAGAAAGCATCGTGGTGGGAGGAAGAGGGAGCATCGTGGTGGGTGGAAGAGAAAGCATCGTGGTGGGTGGAAGAGGAAGCATTGTGGTGGGTGGAAGAGGGAGCATAGTGGTGTGTGGAAAAGAAATCATCGTGGTGGGTGGAAGAGAAAGCATCGTGGTGGGTGGAAGAGGAAGCATCGTGGTGGAAGGAAGAGGAAGCATCGTGGTGGGTGGAAGAGAAAGCATCGTGGTGGGTGGAAGAGAAAGCATCGTGGTGGGTGGAAGAGGGAGCATCGTGGTAAGAGGGAAGGCTTACCAGTTTCCCAGTGTCGTCCACAACGGGCAATCGGCGGTGCTGATTCTCCAGGAGCATTCTGACAACACGGATGGGCGGGAATCGGGATTCGGGAGGAAGAAAGAGACAAGCTAGGCTTGGAATGGAAGCTAGGCTTGGAATGGAAGCTAGGCTTGGATTGGAACAGGAAGCTGAATCGGGAAGGGAGAAACTGCTATAACCTGGCAGCCCTGGCTGTCAGTCACCGCCCTTCATTGCATGGATGGCAGCATGCAGCGCCCTTCATTGCATGGATGGCAGCATGCAGGCGTGGTGTGTGACCTGGCGGCGTGGTCGAGGTTGGTGGAGGCGAGCACGGTGTGCGGGTGCGGAGTCATGACATCCGCCACCACACGCCCGCGCGTCTTGATGAGCAGCTTCTGGATCTCCTTGAACGCCTGCCACGCCCTCGCGGACATGGGGGGTGGGGACACGGAGGACACGTGGGGTGAAGGGGTGCAAGGTGCAGGGGAGATGGAGGCGACAGGGCAGATGCAGAGAAGGATGGTGGAAGGCACTGGAATACGCGGAATAGGGGGCCAGGGAGAGGGAGGGAGGAAGGAGGGGGAGAGGGGGGGCGGAGGAGGGGAAGAGGGGGGGCGGAGGAGGGGGTTGGTGAGGGGCGGTGTGTACCTTCCAGGTGCTGCCAGCCTCAGGGAAGAGCGAGGAGGAGGGGCCAGACGAACCCACGCCTGCAGTGACAGCAGCGCGCACAAGGGGTGGGCTGATGGGTGAGGAGGTACTGGGGGGATGTGGGTAGAGGAAGAGCAGCGGGCAGGGGCTGTGAAAAGCAGGGGAGGCAATCTTGGTGAATGCCATGTGGTGATTGCCATGCGGTGATTGCCATGTGGTGATTGCCATGTGGTGATTGCCATGTGGTGATTGCCATGTGGTGATTGCCATGTGGTGATTGCCATGTGGTGATTGCCATGCGGTGATTGCCATGCGGTGATTGCCATGCGGTGATTGCCATGCGGTGATTGCCATGCGGTGATTGCCATGCGGTGATTGCCATGCGGTGATTGCCATGCGGTGATTGCCATGCGGTGATTGCCATGCGGTGATTGCCATGCGGTGATTGCCATGCGGTGATTGCCATGCGGTGATTGCCATGCGGTGATTGCCATGCGGTGATTGCCATGCGGTGATTGCCATGCGGTGATTGCCATGCGGTGATTGCCATGCGGTGATTGCCATGCGGTGATTGCCATGCGGTGATTGCCATGCGGTGATTGCCATGCGGTGATTGCCATGCGGTGATTGCCATGCGGTGATTGCCATGCGGTGATTGCCATGCGGTGATTGCCATGCGGTGATTGCCATGCGGTGATTGCCATGCGGTGATTGCCATGCGGTGATTGCCATGCGGTGATTGCCATGCGGTGATTGCCATGCGGTGATTGCCATGCGGTGATTGCCATGCGGTGATTGCCATGCGGTGATTGCCATGCGGTGATTGCCATGCGGTGATTGCCATGTGGTGATTGCCACGCGGTGATAGCCATGCGGTGATTGCCATGCGGTGATTGCCATGCGGTGATTTCCATGCGGTGATTGCCATGCGGTGATTGCCATGCGGTGATTGCCATGCGGTGATTGCCATGTGGTGATTGACATGTGGTGATTGCCATGTGGTGATTGCCATGTGGTGATTGCCATGCGGTGATTGCCATGCGGTGATTGCCATGTGGTGATTGCCATGTGGTGATTGCCAAGTGGTGATTGCCATGTGGTGATTGCCATGTGGTGATTGCCATGTGGTGATTGCCATGTGGTGATTGCCATATGGTGATTGCCATGTGGTGATTGCCATGTGGTGATTGCGATGTGATGATTGCCAGGTGGTGATTGCCAGGTGGTGATTGCCAGGTGGTGATGAACGAGCCAATGAGCGCGGAAGACGAAGGACAGACGTGAGTGAGGCGCATGTGGCAGCAGAGTAGGAGAAAGAAGCGAGTAAGGGATGAGGGAGCACGGCGAGCGAGAGGAGGAGGGGAAGGGGGGGAGGGGGGGAGGGGGGGGGGGGGTACAGACGGGTGCAGAGGCGGGCGGGCGGGCGGGGCACCTGAGATGGAGTCGAGCGCCAGCAGGTCGTAGTCCGACACCACGCCCACCTGGCGCGCGCACGGGACAGGGCGGGGAGCGACGCAGGGGCTGGGCCGCGATGAGTGGGATCGAGGGGGAGATGGGCTCAAGGGGAGGATGAACGTGCGGAGGCAATGAGTGGGGGGAAATGAATATGAGGAGGTATGAATGTGGTGTGGGGAGACAAGCAGTGTGGGGGGAAATGAATATGAGGAGGTATGAATGTGGTGTGGGGAGATGGAATGCGAGAGCATGAGTGCGCATGTCACATGCCGTGTAGCTGCATGCCGTGTAGCTGCATGTCACACATGCCGCATAACCAGCAAAGAAATCCTTCCTTCTCTTCCCCTCCTCTCGCCACCCATCTCCCCCCTTGTCTCACCAGGCGCCCCCCCTCGTCCACGACGGGCATGCCCGTGATGCGGTGCTCCACCAGCAGCTCCAGCGCTGCCGCCCGCCGCCCGGGGGGGGGGGGGAGGAGAGGGGAGGGGGAGAGTGAAGGAGGGCGGGTAGGGGATGGAGAAGGAGGACGAGCGATGAGGGGTGATTGACAGCACACACTGGGGCAGCCATAGTGCTGCTGCTGCTGCTGATGCTGCTGCTGCTGCTGATGCTGCTGCTGCTGCTGCAGCATTAGCGGACGCTACCTCGGCCCAATGCCTTAGCGAGCCCATCTCACACCCACCTTGGTCGACGGTGGTTGACGGCTGCGCGCACACGAGGCGGCCAGCCGACATGCAATCGCCCACCGTCAGATGGTCCGTCGTGCGCACCGCCGCCCAGTCCACCGCCGCCTGCCCGCCACGTGGGGGGTGCGCGAAAGGGACGGGGAGGAAGGGGAAGCGGGGGGGAGGGAGGGGAGTAAGCGGCCGAGGGGGCGAGAGAGAGAAGGCGGGGGGGGAGAAAGGCAGGCGGAATGTCGCCAGAGGCGGCTCACCCTGTCGCCCGCCGCAGCGACGACCAATCGCCGCGTCCGCGGCATGTGGCGGCCGACGGCTCCGGTGGCCTGGGGAGTGCGGGGGACGCGGAGAGCGGTTGCGCGCACGGGCGCAACGAATGCGGCAGTGGTAGCGGCGAGGGAGGAGGCGGCGGTGAGGGCCGCCATGGCTGAAGGGCTGCGCGGATGGCGGTGCCAAGGTGTGAGGGTGCGAGGGCGCGGAAAGGGAAGGTCAGGAGCGGTGCTAGGAATGGCAGCACGTTTAAACGGTGATAGAGCAGGCAGAGGGAGGGTGGCTGAATGTGGCGCGACCAAGTGGCGGGGCAAGGGGTGAGTGAATGCTTGGGCGTGGCTGCCCGACTGCTGATTCACACGGAAGGTGCCACGTGTGCAGAATCACAGATGACTTGGGCGAGATTTAGAAACTTTCGAATTTAACAGTACAATCAACATTCTGTAGATCCTTTCTTATCGATAGAACGTTGTTTCCAGGCATTATTGGATATTTTTGTTCATTCTCAATGGGCCCGCGCATGCCCGTCCAGCTGCCGCACTTCTGAAGTCCATGCAACAAACAAAGTGAAGGGCAGCAGCGCAAGAAGGCTTGCGTTGGGATGCTCATGCTCCGCCGGTTGATTGCTCTGCCTATGAATTCACTCCACTCCACACAAGTCGTCGACCCGGCCATGTGTCACAACCTTAGCAGCTTGAGCACCTCGTGCGCAATGGCATCAGCTGCATCCCCCCCCTCCTCCCCTTCTCCACCGCCCCCAGCGCCGTGCCTCCCCCCGCCATACTCCCACGTCACCTGCCTCAGCTCGCGCCTCATCCCCTCCAGCGCTGCCGCCTGCCCCAGCAGCTCTGCTGCCACAGCTGCCACCTCCCCCGGCCTCACCTCCCCCACCACCTCCGGCACCACCTGCCGCCCCGCCCACCTGCAAGGGGCAGGGGGGGGGCACGCATGGGGGTGGTGACAGGGAAAGTGGGTGGAGAAGTGGATTTGGGCGGGTGAGGGGACGGTGAGAGGAGGTGATGGAGGGCAGTGGGGCGAGGGATGGCAAGTGGGGGGTGCAGGGAAGAAACAGGAACTATCGGCTCTGAACAGGGCAGGGCAGGGAGGGCAGGGATTGAGGAGGTACCGGTTGGGCCAGGAGAGGAAGGGCAGCGAGCGCAGCAGCGCGGCGTTGAGGAAGCGGGTGAGGGCGGCAGCGGGGGCGGCAGGGAGCAGCGACGGTAGCAGCCCCAGCACGCCACCTGATGCCCCTTGGAACAGCTGGCGCGGACAGAGGGAGGTGGGGAGGGGAGCGGGCGAGGGAGAGAGAGAGGGAGAGGGAGAGGGAGCTGTGGCGTGGCGGCAGAATGAAGGGCAAGGAAGAAAGCAACGAGGCACGCGAGAGAAAGTGAATTGCATTGAGAGGTCACGCATGAGGCTGTTGCAGGCAGGGGGACAGGCAACATGGGGCGAGCACGCACCTCCAGCGACTGTGTGGGCAGCACCACCACCATGGGCACTCCCAGTGCTGCCAGCTCAGCAGTGTTGGTGCCCACCTGTCATGCCACGTCACACATGCCACATGTCACATTCACACAGTTGGCATGACGACCATAGAACAGGGCGCCACAGCAGCAAGTGATGGGGGCAGCAGAGTGGTGAGAGCGAGGCATGGCTTACAGACGTGCACGCGAGGGGGCTTACAGTGGTGAGAGCGAGGGGGCTTACAGTGGTGAGAGCGAGGGGGCTTACAGTGGTGAGAGCGAGGGGGCTTACAGTGGTGAGAGCGAGGGGGCTTACAGTGGTGAGAGCGAGGGGGCTTACAGTGGTGAGAGCGAGGGAGCACTGTGAGAGCAGAGTGTACGAGGGAAACGCCCTCCATACCTCCACCTCCACTCCCTCGCCCCCCATCACCCTCTTCTCTCCCCCCTGCCACTCCTCTCCCTCATCCCCTTCCCCTTCTCCCCCCTCTCTCCCCTCCTCCCCACTAACCAGCCTGCCCACATACTCCCACCCGTGCCCCTCTCCTCCCCCCGGCGCAGCGCGCCCCCCGTCCCCCCCTGCCCCCTGCGCGCCGTGCAGGTGCAGGCGGCCCGGCAGCCAGGCGTGGCGTGCGATGAGCGGGTTGAGGCGCGCCGAAGCAAAGCGCGCGAGGGAGGCGGGGGGCACCGTGGGGGCGAGCGGCAGGATGAAGCGCACGCGAGCACCCAGGCTGGGGGGAGGGGAGGGGGATAGAGGTGAGATGGGCGTGAGGGAGGATGAAGGTTTCGGTGAAGGCGCAGGGGACGATGAAGGCGTGTGTACCTGCTGTGCTGTGTACCTCCTAAAGGCACCTCAACGCACCTGCGCCTGAGCGCATGTGAGCGAGCGCACCTGAGCTTGAGCGCGTGTGCGACGGCGAGGAAGAAGGGCACGCCGATCATGAGCTTCACATCCTGCCACCACCACACACGGCTTGGGCTCACGGTTGAGGGTGGCGCATGGCAGAGGGGTTGTGAGGCATGGCAGCAGGGTTGTGAGGCATGGCAGCGGGGCTGTGAGGCATGGCAGCGGGGTTGTGAAGCATGGCAGTGGGGTTGGCATGGCGGACAATAGTGCATGAGGGCATGGCATGTAGTTAGGCACACAGGTAGACATGCTGTGATGCACGCATCCCACACACAAGCACGCAAGCACATCTGAGCCCATGCACAAATCTCAATGATCAACAGCACCCTCACCTTGCTTCCCGGCAGCAGCCCCACCACCACCTCACCCTCCTCGCCCTCTCCCTCTCCTCCGCTCCCCCGCCCCTCTTCCCCTCTCCGCCCGTCCCCCCCCTGCCCCACGGCGGCCAGGAAGAGGTCCCCCACCACGCGGGCACGGCCCGCTGCCAGCAGGGAGGGCGGGATGGCAGGCAGCAGCAGGGGCGAGCGTAGCGCCGACATGTCCACCAGCCTGAGGGGTGGGGGGGGGAGGGAGGAGAGGGAAGGGGGGAAAGGGTACGAGAAGGGGTTGAGATTGACATTCCACCACCCCACCAAACCCACCCACCAGACCCACCCACCCACCAGAGCCATCGGGCGGCACCCCCATCTGGCTCACCAGGGCCAGCGGGCGGCGTCCTCGGCATACACGAGGCAGCGGTAGCCCAGGCGCCAAGCCAGCAACACGGCGTTCACCTGCTCGCCGCCAAGAAACACCACCACGCCCCGCCGCCGCCACCCCCACTCCGCCTCCCCCTCCCACTCACTATCCCCGTCCCCGTCCCCCTCCCCCTGTTGCCGCTGGTCGCCTGCTCTCCCCTCGCTGGCTCCCCCCGCCCCCCTCTCCCCGCCCCTGCGGTGAGGCGCGGCGGCAGCAGCAGGGCGCGCAAAGAGCAGCATGTGGAGGAAGTCGCCTGGGCCCTGGGGGGGTGGCAGGGGGATGGGGGGGGAAGGGGGAGGGGAGGAGGGAGGGAGGGATGACGGCAAGGCGGCAGCAAGGCGTCATTGCATGTTTCTCCGCGATATGCCACATCTTCCACGCACTACCCTTCCCTCAGCGCCACCCCTGTGCACCGCTCTGTACCTCACCTGCCCCCCACCACCTGCACCCACCTCCCACCCCTTGCACCCACCGCGCCCCTGGTGAGGCACTCACCGTGCATCGGTGCACGTGCGGCATGGCCTGCAGCACGGCCAGCTCGTTGCCCGACGCGTGGGGGCACGGCGCCAGCAGCACCTGGGGGGCAGCGGACGAGGGGGAGGCGCAGATGGGGGAGCGGGGAGAAGGAAAGGGGTGTTCCCACGGAGACGGAAAGCGGGACGACGAAAGGGAGGGCGGGTGCAGGATGGTACTGATGGCGTGGCACCAAGGCGCGACGGCAGCACGCCAGAGGGCAAGGCAAGCAGACAAGGGCAGGACGGGGCGGGGGAGAGCAGCGCGCACGGAGACGCGGAGGCGGCGGGGGTCGTCGCCGAACAGGCGGGCGAGCGCCGCCGCGACGGGCGCCACCCACGCCGCCACCTCGCCCGGCCCGTTCGTTATGATCGCCACGTCAGCACTGCCCACCGCCTCGCGCTCCTCCGCGCCCAGCCGCCCTGCCACGTCAGCGCCATCCGCAGCACTGGCGGCAACGGCACGGCGTGCCGCCGCCGAGGGGCGCGGCGAATGGACGCCAACGGCCGCGCTCGCGCTCGCAGCGCGCCGAGCCGAGGGGGAAACGGGGGAGTCGGGAGCGGATCTGATTGCGGCGCGATGGGGGGAATGGGGATGCGCGGTGGCGCAATGAGGAGCGGAGGGAGCGGCGGAGAGGGAGGCGGGGGGTGCGCGTGGATGCGACGGGGCGGCGGGCAGCCATCCGGTGGAGGCAGGTGGGGGGCGGGGACGAGCTAGCGAGCAGTGCGGCGGTAGCAGTGACGACATTGCGACGGTGGATTCAAATTGAGAGTCCGGAGTTTTGAGGCTGGGTCACTCCCACTTGTTCCCACCCACCAATCCCTGCCCACCCTTCCCCCATCATCGCCTCGCCTTGCCTCCGCGCCCGCTGCTCGCTGCTCCCCCTCGCTCGCGGCATCGCTTGTCTCTGCGCTCGCTGCTCTCACACCGTCGCATTTCTCTGCTTGCCGATCCCAGCGATCGCAGCTATCGCATCGATCGGAGCGGCGCATGGCGGGCGCGGCGGAGAGGCGAGTGGTGGTGGTGGGCGACGGGGGCTCCCCCGCCGCGGCTGCCATGGCGGAGCGGGAGGCGGGCGCGCGGCGGAACGTGGTGCACCTGGCGCACCCGAAAACAGGCGCGTGGTGAATGGCGGGCGCGCTGGCGCATGGGGGGGCGAGGGGTGCGATGGCGCATGGGCGCATGGGGTGGGAGGGGCATGTGATGGTGTGAGGGGACAGTGTGAGGGAATGGGGCAGGCGGTGGCCTGGCCGCGCGCCGTGCGATCACATGAACCATCGTCTCCCATGCCCGCCCCATGCGCGCCTGCGTGCATGCACATCCGTGCAGGCGCGTCGGTGTGCTACTTGCAGCACGGCGGCTGTCTGCTGGAGCTCACGTGGTTCAAGGACGCCCTCGCCTCGTGGCTGCTGGGGGACTCCGTGCTCGAAGGTGCGCGGGGCATGTGGTGTGACTGCAATGGGAGGGTGCTTTATGGTGGCAGGCAGGTAATTATAGGTGGATGTGCGGGTGCGATTGGAAGGGGTAGCGAATGACAGACCCACGTGGACCCCTCTCGGCTGCTTCACGTGCATGCATGCACGACATGGTTGAGCGCATGTGTTTCAAAGTATCCGTGTGCACGCGCATGTGTCTGCATGGCACGGCATGGCGTGGTATGGCATGGCATGGGCACGGCATGGCACGGCATGGCATGGCATGGCATGGCAGATGGCAGTCTATTCATGGCGACTCCCATTGACGCCGCGTTCCTCCTGCTGCCCCTACTCGTTAAGAGCAGGATGAAGGTGCGCCCGGGTTTCGGGTGCATGGTATGGCTTCAACCCGCCCAGTCGCCACCCTTTCACCCATGGGCCTTGCTGCCCCCCTCATCCCTCGCCTCCCCTCGCCCACTCCCTCCCCGCCCTCTCTGCGCCTCCCTCTTCCCCACCGCCACACCCACCCCTGCCCCCCTGCTTCTTCTCCTTCTCTCCCCCCCCTCCCAATGCGCTTTCCAGAAGGAGGGGTCAGACAGCGAAGGCATGTTCCGGTCGCTGGATGAGATCTGCACCGTCGATGGATTCCCATCGTACGGCTGGTTGCAGTCGCAAGGCGCGTGGGACTCTGCCCTCGCTCTTATCACCGACAGCAGAGGTCTCTCTCTCTCTCTCGCCGCCCCTCCTCATGCTGCCTTAAGGCTCTCTAACTGTTGGGAACTCCCCCATCCCCCCTCACTCCTCCCCCCCATCCTCCTTCACTCCTCCCCCCCATCCCCCCTCATTCCTCCCCCATCCCCCCTCACTCCTTCCCCCATCGCCCCTCACTCGGTCCCCATCGCCCCTCACTCGGTCCCCATCGCCCCTCACTCCTCCCCCCCATCCCCCCTCACTCCTTCCCCCATCGCCCCTCACTCCGTCCCCATCGCCCTTGGTCAAGCTTCCTCTGGTTCCTGCGGTGTCCCCTCTTCATGTCCCCTCTCGTGCATGCTTGCTTATGCTGTACGCTCACATGCGCTGTGCTGTGCTGCTGTGCGGTGCTGCAGAGGTGGGCAGCACGCGTTACTACCGGCTGAATGACAGTCGGGTGATGGCATGGCTGGCATGCAAGGTGAGCAGGGTGTTGTGGTAGACTGGCTTGGGTCTGCTGCTGCCATGCCATCCGCCCACTCCCTTTACCACCTCCACCTGCCCACTGTCTGCTCCCTCTTCTCCACTCTCCTTCCCTTGCCTCGCACCCGCGCCTCCCCCCCTCCTTCGTGCGTCAGGTGGCGGCGGCCAAGGCGGCTCTGAGGCAGCATGGGGAGGCACCTGTGAGAGGGCTGCCGGATAGGGAGCTGGGTGGGTGGAGGTTGGTAGTGGCTTGTGTGCTGCTCGCGTGCATGGTGTACAGCAAGGTTTTTTTTTACAGAATGGCGTTTTCTCATGAGGCCAGCCATACCTGATTGCTGGCTTCTTCTCCCGCCCTCCTCCCTCCCCGTGGGTGCAGAGTCGTACGCAGTGGGCCTGCTCTCAGAGTACCTCCCTGCCTCGCTCCACTCCGCCCTCTGCTGCCACCTTAGCATCAGGTCAGTGCCGCCACCTCAGCATCAGGTCAGTGCCGCCACCTCAGCATCAGGTCAGTGCCGCCACCTCAGCATCAGGTCAGTGCCGCCACCTTAGCATCAGGTCAGTGCCGCCACCTCAGCATCAGGTCAGTGCCGCCACCTCAGCATCAGGTCAGTGCCGCCACCTCAGCATCAGGTCAGTGCCGCCACCTCAGCATCAGGTCAGTGCTGCTGCCACATTCATAGACCAGAGCTGCAAGGACTGGAGTTAGAGGTGAGGAGGAAGGCAGGCGGCCCTCCTTCCCTTGGCACACCTGGCATGACACCACCCCCCCTCACCACCCACGCCCCTCACTCCTCCCCTCGTGCCATTCTCTTTCTCCTCCCCCCTCCCTTGCTGCTGTGCGCCATGGGCTGCGCTGCGAGGGCCGTACACGGAGCAGCACGGACGAGGGGAAGCACACCCACGATGCCCGGAGAGGGCTGCCCACTCCACCTGCCGCTGCCAGTCAACACAAGGTTGGCCCGCGTGCTCCTGCTTGTGCCCAGTCTTTTGCGTTGAGAACCCTGCCGTGCATTCGTGACTCACTTGCATTCACTGTTTCTCTTGCCTTCGTTGTCTCTTGCAGCCATCGACTGCACCGCCAAGCGCGGGGAAGCCGGGCTCGTCGAATTCAAACCAGCGGGGAAAAAAGGCTCTTAGAACTCAACCAGGCGATCGGAAAATCACCTCCTTTTTTGGTAGGAATAGATAATGTACATTGCCAGCATAATATAAATAGAACTGTATTCCCCGTCGCATATTTATATGCTAATGTACTACCGGAGACATTACAATGAAGAACGCATCATTTGGCGGTTGGGGCACGTCGGTTTGGTCGACCCTGACGTGTGTGCATCCGTTGCTGGCCATTCCGTGGTGCACAATTCCGTGCCAGCCTAGGGACAGCACGGCACGATCACATCCCACAGCCCCTGCTCGTTGCGTCTCATCACCAGCCCCGAATCTCTCCTTCAGTGACCACCAGCCCCGCTCTCCCCCAATCTCCATCGCACTCCGCGCCTTGTCCTGCCTCTGCCTGCCTTACCTCACCTGCCGCCCGCCGCCGTCTCGCGCTGCCCTCCCTCCCCGCACCCGCTTGCCGCTCCAATCGCTGCTGCCAATCGTCCCAGGAGGGCAGTCGACGTCCGCGTTTCCTCCAACTCAACGCCACGTGGCAATCTTATGAAATCGCATGGCAGGCTAGAGACGTCGCATGGCATCGCATAGCATGATGGCGACGTCGCATGACGCCGCCGCTGCTGGCGCTGCTCCTGGTCAAGCCTCTCCGCCTGCCGTCCCCCCTGCTGGCTCGAATTCCCCCCTGCAGTCCTCCCACACGGGCACTATTGCTGCCGCTGGCCGCACTCTCTCCCCCCCGCTCCCCGTGCGCCATTCCGCCCCCCACCATGCGCGCCACCCCCCTCCGTTTTCCCTTCCCCAGCTCTCCCGCGCTTCCTCCTCCGTCTCCTCGTCTCTCCCCCTCTCCGCCCTCTCCTCCCCCGCGTCCTCCGCGCTCCGCCTGCCCTCCATCCCCTCGCTCCAGTCCCTGCACTCGCTCCGCTCCCTCTCCTCCCTCTCCTCCGCGCACGGCATCTCCGCGCACTGCCCCTGCGCGGACTGCGCAGAGGGCAGGGCAACGGCGGGCACGCGCAGCCCGTCGGACGGCGGGGAGGTGCGGTGGTACTTCAGCAAGGGGCATTTCGCCAAGGGCGGTGCGCGCAAGGATTCTGGGAAGGGGGGGTGGTGGGAGGGAGGTGGGAAAGAGAAGAAGGGGGGGGATTGGCTGTTGGGTGGTGGGGCCAAGCGGTAGGCGCAGCAAGGGGCAAAGTAGGGGCTGGGCAGGCAGGCATGCAGGCATGCAGGGCTCTGAGGGCTCTGCCCACTGCATGCTGTGTGCTCACCCCCGCTGCATGTGTGCCCATTGCTTTTACTGGGTTTCTGCTCGCCCTGCTTTACTCTCTGCGTGTGCAGCGGTGGCAGCAGCAGTGCCGCACGCCATAGTGGCCTCCTCATCCGACTTCCTGCGCTTCAGCGCGCGCGACTCACATGCCCTCGAGACCGCCTTCCAGCAGGTGCGCCTTCCACCAGGTGCGCCTTCCACCAGGTGCGCCTTCCACCAGGTGCATGCGTCGCAACAGGTGGGCGGCTTGCATGCGTGCATCCATGAGCCCGGCTGCATCGCTCCTGCACCCCTTGTTGCACGGTTGCCCTCGCCACCCCTTGTTGCACGGTTGCCCTCGCCACCCCTTGTTGCACGGTTGCCCTCGCCACCCCTTGTTGCACGGTTGCCCTCGCCACCCCTTGTTGCACGGTTGCCCTCGCCACCCCTTGTTGCACGGTTGCCCTCGCCACCCCTTGTTGCACGGTTGCCCTCGCCACCCCTTGTTGCACGGTTGCCCTCGCCACCCCTTGTTGCACGGTTGCCCTCGCCACCCCTTGTTGCACGGTTGCCCTCGCCACCCCTTGTTGCACGGTTGCCCTCGCCACCCCTTGTTGCACGGTTGCCCTCGCCACCCCTTGTTGCACGGTTGCCCTCGCCACCCCTTGTTGCACGGTTGCCCTCGCCACCCCTTGTTGCACGGTTGCCCTCGCCACCCCTTGTTGCACGGTTGCCCTCGCCACCCCTTGTTGCACGGTTGCCCTCGCCACCCCTTGTTGCACGGTTGCCCTCGCCACCCCTTGTTGCACGGTTGCCCTCGCCACCCCTTGTTGCACGGTTGCCCTCGCCACCCCTTGTTGCACGGTTGCCCTCGCCACCCCTTGTTGCACGGTTGCCCTCGCCACCCCTTGTTGCACGGTTGCCCTCGCCACCCCTTGTTGCACGGTTGCCCTCGCCACCCCTTGTTGCACGGTTGCCCTCGCCACCCCTTGTTGCCCCCTCGCCACCCCTTGTTGCACGGTTGCCCTCGCCACCCCTTGTTGCACGGTTGCCCTCGCCACCCCTTGTTGCACGGTTGCCCTCGCCACCCCTTGTTGCACGGTTGCCCTCGCCACCCCTTGTTGCACGGTTGCCCTCGCCACCCCTTGTTGCACGGTTGCCCTCGCCACCCCTTGTTGCACGGTTGCCCTCGCCACCCCTTGTTGCACGGTTGCCCTCGCCACCCCTTGTTGCACGGTTGCCCTCGCCACCCCTTGTTGCACGGTTGCCCTCGCCACCCCTTGTTGCACGGTTGCCCTCGCCACCCCTTGTTGCACGGTTGCCCTCGCCACCCCTTGTTGCACGGTTGCCCTCGCCACCCCTTGTTGCACGGTTGCCCTCGCCACCCCTTGTTGCACGGTTGCCCTCGCCACCCCTTGTTGCACGGTTGCCCTCGCCACCCCTTGTTGCACGGTTGCCCTCGCCACCCCTTGTTGCACGGTTGCCCTCGCCACCCCTTGTTGCACGGTTGCCCTCGCCACCCCTTGTTGCACGGTTGCCCTCGCCACCCCTTGTTGCACGGTTGCCCTCGCCACCCCTTGTTGCACGGTTGCCCTCGCCACCCCTTGTTGCACGGTTGCCCTCGCCACCCCTTGTTGCACGGTTGCCCTCGCCACCCCTTGTTGCACGGTTGCCCTCGCCACCCCTTGTTGCACGGTTGCCCTCGCCACCCCTTGTTGCACGGTTGCCCTCGCCACCCCTTGTTGCACGGTTGCCCTCGCCACCCCTTGCTGCTCCTGCCCACGCTGCATCGCCCCTCACCACCACTCCCTGTCCCCACCCACCCCTGCACGCCCTGCCATGCCCTGCCACCTCAGCGGGAGGAGGAGCTGCTCACGTTGTGGTGGAAGGAGTATGCCGACGCCGCTGTGGGGCCTGCGCCAGGTGGCGTGCTGCCATTGGCTCGGCGCGTGGCCCCTCTGCTGTCGTCCGATCGCATGCGGCCCTGGCAGATCGCCGCTCCCCTGAGGAACAAGCGGCGCAGGCGAGGGGGGTGGGGTCGAGGGGGGGAGAGGGAGAGGCAGAGAGAGATGGAGAAGGAGAGGGAGCAGGAGGAGGAGCGTGAACTGGCCAAGGCGAGGATGAGGGAGCGGAAGAGGCAGGAGAAGAGGCGGCAGGAGAGGGAGCTCGAGAGGGGCGATGGCATGTGGGTGGGAGTGGAGGAGGAGGATGACGTAAGAGAGGAAGCAGAGGAGGGGGGGGAGAGGAAGGGTGCGAAAGGGAGAGAAGATGGTGAGGGGGAAGCGTGGGGAGGCTGCAAGGCGAACGATGAAGAGGGGCTTGGGGGGGAAGAAGGAGAGGGCGAGGAAGGAGCGGAGGAAAGCGAGGGGGAGAGTGAGGAAGACGACGAGGAGCCCATGGGGGTGTCAGTCAAGGGGGGTCTCTATGAGGTGACTCACTGCTGCCTCGCTTCTTGCCTTCACTGTGCTCTGCCCTTCTCTGCGGACTTGTGTTGTTTACCTTCCATACTGGTCGTTACGCAGTAACACTATAAGTGTACTGCAAGTCTGCGCATGCGTCTTCATGTGGACCATGTGTGCCCTTGCTGTCTCTATGCTTATCCACCATCCCCCCTCCCCCCCTCGCTCACTCGCCCCCCCCCCCCCAGGTGGACCTCCCCCGCCGCCGCTCGTACGCAGTGTACTGGGAGGGCGAGGACCGCCGGGTGCTCAGGGGGCTGTGGTTCGGCAAGCGGGCGGCACAGCTGACGTGGCAGCCTCTGAGGGAGGACGTGGCAGAGCAGCTGGAGGAGGCGTACAGGAAGAGGGTGAGTGGAGAGAGGGGGGCAAGCTCCAGGATGATTCCTATCCTCACTCTTCTTTCCGCTATGTGCTTGCAGTTTTCCCCCGTGTCTCGCTCTCACCAGTCCGTTGCCCCTGCGTGCCGCGTGTCTACCCCCAGGTGTGGCGGCGGCGCTGGTTCCAACCGTCAGGGCTGTACGCCGCTAGAGTACCCATTGCAGGGGCAGGCGAGGTGAGCGCATGGGGAGAGCACAGGGGGTGAGCAGAAGAAAAGCTGACGTTTTTTTGGTAGGGGGCTAGTGCTGTGCATGTGCTTGGTAGGCTGGCACTGTTTCTCTTCGCACGCACCCACTGCAATTGTTCACTCATGCAGTCCTCTCACCCCTCACTACACCCTCTCACTCCCCCACCCCCCCACCCCTCCCACGTGGCAGGGCGTGAGTGCGCTGTTCACAGGCGAGGACAGCAGCTGGCAGGCGCAGCTGTGGGTGGAGGGGTCGCTGCTCTTCTCCTCGCCGCTGCACGCCATGGCGCTCCGCAGGGGCTTCCTGCCCGCCCAACGCACTGCCGCCGTACAGGTCACTCCACCACGATACTCGGTTCACCCAGCTGATGATTCTAGGGGCCCATAGCTCAAGTGAGTTGCTTGCTGCCAGTTCCTCCTCATCACCACCGCCTCCGGTTCCCCTGCCTCACCCCTTCTTTCTCTTCCCCATTCTCCCCCTGTCCGTGGTGCCAGCAGGAGGACGAGCAGCAGGTGAAGGAGGAGGAGCTCGATGACTACTGCTCCCTGGTGGGTCAATGCTGCCTGCTGCCATCCTGTACTGCCACTGCCGGGTGACGCCCATTAGAAGGAACATTCTGCTCTGCGCTGCTGCATCACACAAACCGTTTTGCTGATGTCAACTGCTGTTCTTTGAAGCCGTCAATCACGACTTTCTTCCAGCCTTGTGGACGCCACTAGTGCCCAAGAGAGCTTCTCTCCCTTGCTGACTCCGCATATCTCCGCCTGCTACTCCCTCCCTTGCACTGCTTCCCTCTTCTCTCCCTTATCCTCCTCTCTGCCGCCCCTCGCCAGGTGCCGGTGCAGCACGTGGTGTTCATGGTGCACGGTGTCGGGCAGCGCCTGGAGTCGGCGCACCTGGTGGACGACGTCACGGCGTTCCGCCACAACGCCGTGGCACTCAGCCACTCGCACCTCACCGCCTTCCAGCGCCACCACCACCGCTGCCTCTTCATCCCCTGCCAGGTGCCTCTTCATCCCCTGCCAGGTGCCTCTTCATCCCCTGCCAGGTGTCCTAACTGGTGCACGCTCATCCCTCTGCCTGACTGCTTCACTTCTAAACCATTCCCTCCTAAAGCTCATCTGACTCTGTACCCCTGGCGCCACCACCCCCCCCTGCGTGCGCGCCCTGCAGTGGCGGCGGGGCATGGCGCTGGCGTCGGAGGCGGTGGTGGAGGGCATCACGCTGGAGGGCGTGCGGGCGCTGAGGGACACCGTCAGCGCCACCGTGCACGACGTGCTGTACTACATGAGCCCCGCCTACTGCCAGACCATCATCCACTCCGTCAGTCGCCCTGCCACCCCGCCACCCATCTCGCCTCTCTATGCTTTCCTGCTGCTGCCTTCGTTTCCGTGCATCACTTCGCTCATCCATCCGTCCACTGCGGGCACAATCCGCCCCATGCGTCACCACCAAGCTAGCATCCCTCTCTCGCATCGTCCCCTTCTCCCCCACCCCCCCAGCTGACGTCGTCGCTGAACCGGCTCTACCGCAAGTTCAAGCGGCGCAACCCGGGGTTCAGCGGGCGCGTGTCGGTGTTCGGGCACTCCCTGGGCTCCGTGCTGCTCCACGACATCCTCTGCCACCAGCCCCCGCTCGCCCCGCCCCTGCCGCCGCTGCTGCCCCATGCCACTGACCTGGGACGGGCCAGTGGGGAGAATGAGGACGCAGGGAGATGGAAGGATGTAGAGGATTGGAATGCGGCTGAGGCTGCAGAGATAGGTGGTGAGGGTCCTGATGTATTATCTAATGCCCCTGAAGATGCGTCTGTTGTTTCACCTGATGTTGTACCTGAGTTTGTATCTGATATTGCACCGGCACCTGTGGCTGTGGCTGAAGCAGATGCGACACGTGAAGCACTTGTACCCACTGCTGTATGCGGGTGTGACTCTGACCTCTCGCCTGGCGCCAGCAGGGCCAAGCACAACATGCCTGAACGTGCTGCTGAGAGCAGGGGCGGTGATGGCCGCAGAAACGGTGGTGATGGGCGCAGCAACGGTGGTGATGGGCGCAGCAACGGTGGTGATGGGCGCAGCAGGGCTGGGGATGGGCGCACGGTGGTGGGGGGTGAGGGGCAGGCAAGTGAAGTGATGGGAGAAGGCGGGCAGGGGGAGGGGCGGGAAGCGGCAGGGAGGGGGGAAGGTGAGGCTGGCTGGGAGGAGCGGCGGATGGGGCAAGAGGGGGGAGGGAGAGGGGAGAGGAGGGCGGAGGGAGGGGGCAAGGGTGATTGGCCGGCAGTAGCAGCGGGGGCAAGGGGGGAGGAAGACGAAACAGCTGAGGCCCTGAGACGCAAGGTGAGGGCCTTTTCATAGTGTGCGGCCTGTGGACCAGCCACCTGTGTGAAAGCCCTGTGGCGCATCAACACCCCCCCAGGGAAAAGCATGTGACCCAAAGCATGTTCCCTCCCCATCTTCCTCTCCCCGTTTTCCCTCCCCATCTTCCTCTCCCCGTTTTCCCTCCCCATCTTCCTCTCCCCGTTTTCCCTCCCCATCTTCTCACCTCCCCCCACCTCAGCTGTGCGAGCTCCAGAGGGAGGTCGAGGCGTGGCGCTCCGTCTTCCACCGCCTCTCCTCGCTGCCCCACGTGCCTCTCACTGGCGTCTCCCCCTCCCTATCCTGCATGCCACACTCTGCTGCCACGCACCACCATGCCTCCCTCGCCCATCCACCACCACCTCCTCCCACGGCCGCTCAACCCCAGCAACCCCAGCAACCCCTTGCTGCCTCCAACCCCCTCCTCGCTCTGCCACCTGTCCCTCCCATCCTCCTCCTCTCCGCACCATCACCACCATCACCATCACCACCACCACCACCACCACCACCACCACCACCACCACCACCATCGTGCTGCCACCCCTCTGCCCCACACACCACCTGCCCCGCCACACCGGCCGTGCTGTCCGCCTCAGCGCCTCTGCCGGCTGCCCCTCTCCCCTGCCCCATCGGTGGGCCCTCTATGCGCCCTGAGCCTCGTGCTAGAGCCAGTTTCCTTGGTGCGGCTCCGGCCCTTGGTGCATGCGTGGTGAGCCCTGGTGACGCTCAGCGCAGGGAGGGGGCTGAGGGGAGCACAGGCAGCGGGGGGGAGGGGGGAGATGGGAGGGCAGGAGGACCAGGAGGTGAATCGAGGGATGGGAAGGATGTGGGAATGGGGCCATGCGGAGGGGAGGGGCGAGGGGGCAGGAAAAGGAGGGGTGGTCGAGCAAAGAAGGGCGATGGGAGTAGTGGTGGTGGGGGAGCGGCGGGTGTGACAATAAGGGAAGTGGGTGCAGTGGAGGAAGCAATGGGGAGGGGGAAGAGCAAGGAGAGGAGGGGGAAGAGCAAGGAGAGGAGGGGATGGGAGGTGGTTGAGGCGAGGAGGCAGAGGAGGAGGAGGAGGCTCGAGGAGAAGGAGAAGGTCGTTGCTGCTGCTGCCGATGCTGGTGCTGCTGGTGACATTGCTTGTGGCAGTGATGGCATAGCACGTGCGTGTGAGCCATGTCGGATGCTGCTGGCGAGGGAAGTGCGGCGTGAGCATGGGGATGAGCGCCAGAGGGGGCACGGGGGTGATTGGGCGCACCCAAGGGAATGTTCCACTGGGGCGCTGGATGGGTCATTAGGGACGGCAGCAGCGATGGCGCAGGGAGCAGACTCTGCTCATGGAGCTGTGGAGGCAGCACGTGCGGCCGGAAGGGCTGAGGGTGGCACGTGCGCGGTTGGGGAGGGCGGAGGCCTGCAGCAGAGGCGGGCAGAGGGCGGGGTGCAGCATGCGCACTGTGCGTGCTGGAGCGGCAGGAGCAATGCGAGCAGGCAGGGCGAAGAGGGAATTGGAGGAGGGCCAGACAGTGCAGAGGCGCAAGGAGAGGCAGGTGCAGAGGAAAGTGGTTGGAGGAGTGTGGAGGGGGAGGGGCATGGGGGTGCAGAGGCGGACGGGCATGGGGGCGCTGAGGGGGAGGGGCATGGGGGAGTAGAGGGGGAGGGGCATGGGGGAGCAGAGGGGGAGGGGTATGAGGCGGGGGAGAGGAAGGATGAAGGGACAGAGGGCGAGCGGGCTCCTCAAGAGTCAGTTGGTGCAGGGCCAGAGGGGAGGATGGGCGAGGGGAGCACACAAGTGATGGCTCGTGCAGTGGGTGCGGTGGAAAGGGGTGGAGAGGTGCAGCAGGGTGGGAGAGAGGATTGTGCAGTAGTGGAAAAGGAGATGGGGGGGGACGATGGGAGAGAGGGGGCGGATGGTGAGGCAGACGGGCTAAGGGGAGGGTACAGGGCGCGAGAAAGAGAAGAGGATGTGGGGGGAGGTGGGGCAGAATCGGAGGAGGGGCGGGATAAGGGAAAGGGGGAGGGAGCAGGGAGCGATGGGGAGGAGGAGGAGGGCGGTGCAAGGGTGGGAGCAGGCAGGAAGGGCGGCACAGGAGGAAGAGCGGCGAGGGGCACAGTGCATGCACGGAGGAGAGGCACGGCAGCAGCAGCAGCAGCAGCAGCACGCGCCCCTCCCCGCCAGCATGCGCCCAGCATCCGCTACGGCCGCCTGCTCTTCCCTGTGAGCGCACCAGGGCGTGCCCTCTGGATAATGCTCCGCCTTGCCGTGCCTAGCGCCCGTGCTGCTCACCTCCCTGCGCCTCGCTTCCTCATGCCTGTCTCCCCTCTCTAGTCTCCACCCTCTCACCACTGCACCCCCGCCCTTCCTCCGTTCCCCATGTCCCTCCTTTTTCCACCCCCCCGCTGGAATCCGCCCCCCACGGCACCAGGTCGACTCGTTCTTCGCCGTGGGGTCGCCCCTCGGCCTCTTCCTCGCTCTGCGCAACATCCGCCTCGGCGACGGCGGTGAGGGCAGACGGGTGGAGGGACGAGGGGGTAAGGAGGGTGAAGGGGGCGAGGGGGTAAGGCAGCATGAGTTTGAGGTTACAGTGGAGGGATGTGTGAGGATTTGAAGGGGCAGGTGTAGTATGCAGTGGGATGGGTCAGGCGAATAGCTTACACACGCGCTTGCCCCAACTCTTTTTCTCCATCCCGTGTTCCTCAATTCCGTTGCACCCCTCGCCCCACCATCACCATGTGTCCCAGGCGAGAGTGCGGCCTACTGGGGCATGGAGGGTGTGCAGGAGGAGATGCCGGCGTGCCGCCATCTGCTCAACATCTTCCACCCGCACGACCCCGTCGCCTACAGGTGATCAGTGATGTGCTCATCCGTACTTAGCCACATGCTCTCATGTGCGAACCCCGACTCACTCCATGCCAAGTGTCACATGCAGATTGGAGCCACTGGTGTCGCCCCAGCTAGCCCAGGTGCCTCCGGTGCTCATTCCGTACCACAGAGGCCACTACCGCCTGCACATCGCTGCCAAGGTGAGGCCCGTGCGGTGGCTGCCCTTTCACCGTGCTTTCTCACAACTCCTGCTTCCAGCTCACTCTCTCGTGCCGTTCACCCCCTATGCTTTTCTCTCATGGTACCTTCCCCCCCAACCGCCACCCCCCTCCCTCCTGCACTTGCAGCGCTTCTTCCAGCAGATGAGGGCCGGCCTGCTGTGGTTGCAGCATGCACTCGTCTCGAAACTCAAATACGCGCTGGTGAGGCAGTGCGAGGGGTGAGGCAGTGCGGGCGAGTGTTGCCGTGCTCCCGTTGTCTCATGTGCTTTACCTCTTCCACCTCCATGCATCTCACCACCTCCAGTGTTGCTCCCTCCACACCCCTCTCAACCCCTCTCCACCCCTCTCAACCCCTCTCAGAGCACTGCTTGGAGTCTACTCTGCTTCTCCCCTCCACCTCCTCGACCCCTCCCGGGTATGCCCTCACCTCCACCCATGTGCACTGCCACATGCCCCATGCCTCCACCCATGTGCACTGCCACATGCCCCATGCCTCCACCCATGTGCACTGCCACATGCCCCATGCCTCCACCCATGTGCACTGCCACATGCCCCATGCCTCCACCCATGTGCACTGCCACATGCCCCATGCCTCCACCCATGTGCACTGCCACATGCCCCATGCCTCCACCCATGTGCACTGCCACATGCCCCATGCCTCCACCCATGTGCACTGCCACATGCCCCATGCCTCCACCCATGTGCACTGCCACATGCCCCATGCCTCCACCCATGTGCACTGCCACATGCCCCATGCCTCCACCCATGTGCACTGCCGCATGCCCCATGCCTCCACCCATGCACCCATTACCCTCCCATGACCCCTCCATTACCTTCAGTCTGCTGTGCGCTCACTGCATGTCTCGCCCTGCTCTGTTTGCTCCTTTCTTTCCCCCTTCTCCCTTCCCCCCTCCCCCCCCCCAGCCCCTGACAGCAGCGCGCTGCCTGTCTTGGACGAGCGCTCGCAGCGCACGCTCACGCGCCTCACAGGCTCGCCACACGGCCGCATCGACTTCATGCTGCAGGTGGGGTCGCTGCAGGTGGGGTCGCTGCACGTGGGGTCGGTGCACGTGGGCCTTGGGCTGTGGCCGTGGGTGTGCCGTGCATGCGCCATGCACTGTGTGCCCCAACGTGCATGCGCCATGCACTGTGTGCCCCAACGTGCATGCCATTTCATTACTAGTCCAACCCCATCTCTCCCTCCTCCCTCCCTTCCTCCTGCATCTCGCTCTGCTGTGTGTCGCAGGATCCCTCCTTCCAGCACCAGTACATTCAAGCCATGAGCTGCCACTTGTAACTGCCCTCGCCTCTCCCCCCCCCTCCCTCACTCTTGCTCTCCCTTCCCGTGCCTGCACGACCACTGCCATGCCACACTGCCATGCCACACTGCCACCACGGCCGTGCCTCTTCCCCGCCCATCCTCTACTGTGCTTCCCTTGCCATTCTTTCTTGGCCCTGCATCCTCCATTGTTGTGCGTTTCCTGCCGCCCTAGCACTTTCTGCATCGTCATCTGCCAGCCCTCTCGCCCCTCTCCTCTCACCTTTCGTTCTTCCCCATGTTTTCCCCCTCGCTCCCCCCAGCGACGCGTGGATGGACAGCGACATCGCGCTGCTCGTCATCCGCCACCTCTACCACCACGTGCCTCGCCAGCCCCCTCCCATCCGCAACGCCCCTCCCTTCCAACCCCTCTCCACCCCGCCCTCCCCCGCCCTCTCGCCCCTTCCTGCCAGCCCTCCCACTGACCCCTCCTTCATCCCCCCCACCATCTGCTCCTCCCCCCTCCCTGTCTTCTCCTCTCTCTTGGCTGCCCACTCTCCCCTCTCCACCCCTCGCTGCCTCTCTGCTGACTTCTCCTCCCTCTCCTCCTCCTCCCTCCTCCCCCCCCACCCCTCCTCCTCGCCCCTTCCTCCTGCCCGGCCCTTCTCCCCTCTCTCTGCGCCCCCCACACCCCATGGACTCCCACCGGCATCGTACACTGCATCAGCACCACCTCCACCACCCGCCACTGCTGCTGCACCCGCCCCACCGCATTCCACCGCTCCCACCACATGTGCCCCCCTCTCGCGCCCGCCCTCCTTGAGGCAGCTGCGCGGGCACCAGCGCAGCAGCAGCAGCAGCAGCCTGCTGGGGCACCTGTGTGACGCCGTGAGCCCTCTCGAGCACTCCGCTGCTGCTGCTGCTGCTCACAGGCGCACAGGGCAGGTGGGACCTGGGGCAGGTGCTGCTGCTGGCAGCGCTGGTGGAGGTGCTGGTGGTGGTGTTTTGCAAAATCACCTGAGAAGACAGGGGAAGGAGGGGAGTATAACAGAGGGGAGAAGGGAAAGGAGTGGGGCAGGGAGTCAGGGAAGGGTGAGCAGGGTAGGAGCAGTGGGGAGGTGTGTGAAGCAAGCGCAGACACACATTGAGGAGGAAGGTGAAGAGGCAGAGGGAGAGGACAAGGAAGAGGAGGAGGAAGACGAGGAGGTGGCGTTCACCTTTTCCAGTTGGCGGGCGGCTCAACTGCTGCGAGTGCAGCTGCTCCTGTGACGATGGGGTAGTGCAGCACACTTGCTGTTCGGTGCATTTTTTTTTATGTGGTGTATTGTGTCAAAAAGAAATCTGGAATGCAAGAGTACTCTGTCCACTCTGTTAGGGGGTACTACTGCATATTTGGCCAGATGGTGGCTGCAGATTGTGAGCAGTCTTCAACAGCAGCTGTGACATATACAACTACATTTCTGAGCCCCAAGCTGCCTGAAGCAGTTATGGATGCATGGCCCCAACACTACATCGTATGGAAAGTCCTTCACCTAACAATTATGTCAAGCCTGCTTTTGGCCCAGAGGAAAAGCATCCAATGTTCTTGTCCAATAGTTTTGACTTCTCATAATGGAGGTTCTGCATTCCGTATAAAGGCGAAAGGTCACACACACAGAGCTTTCAATAACAATAAGGCATTGCGCCATGTCCCTGCTGTGTGGGTGGACTCACAGCTCCACCTGCTGCATGTCATCCACCCCTGTGAACCCATTGCTGCTGCCACCTGCTACGCCTCCTCCCCATGTGCCAGCGCTTGCAAACCCTTGCGGATGTGCTGCTGCCCTGCCTGCTGCTCCCTGTGCCCCTGGAGGCAGCATGGGGGGAGCAGCACCCATGTATCCCTGCACGCCCCACACGCCCTTGTGCTGCTGGGGGGGCGCACTCCCAGCTGCTGCTGCGCCTGCTCTCTGCCCTGCCTGGCCCGCTGCTGCTGCTCGTGGTGCTCGCGGCGCCGGAGCTGCGGATGCTGGTGGCGCTGCTTGCATCAGCGCGGGTGGCGGTGCCCCGGCTGTTGCTGGTGGCGCCACTCCATCACCTGCCACTTCCGTGCTGCTACCCCCACCCCCCTCCGCTACCCCAGGTGTCATCACAGCCATTGGGGCAGCGGGCATAAAAAACTTTGGCACCCCCCCTGCTTTTGGTGCTGCAGCTGAGGCAGCAGTGGCGGGGTGAGGGGGGGTGGGGAGCAGGGAGGCGGCAGGCGCGGGTGCCGGTGCTGCGGCCTTGTTGAACGTGTCCACGTACCTGGGGGCGGGGGGGGCGTTGTGGCAGGGGAGGAGGGGTGGGAGAGGAGAGGAGGACATGGGTGGTAAGAGAGTGAGAATAGGTGGTTGGAGGGCGATAGCGGTGCAAGGTACATTGCCATGCATTCAGCGGAGTTAAGGCAGCAGGGAAGGACCTACCTGGACCGCACTCCACTGCGCCGGCCAAAGCTGCCACCATAGGCCAATGGAGGGCCGGGCTTTGCTGCTGAGCTGGCCGGTGCTGCCGCAGGGCCAGCAGCTGATGTGGCAGCAGATGCTGACTGGACTGCTGACGTTGCAGCAGGCGGGGCAGCATCAACAGCCGGGGCAGTAGCAGGAGGAGCATTGGAGGTGGATGCTTCAGGAGCAGCAGGGGCGAAGGCGAAGGCAGTGGGGGGCGGTGCGAGGGTGGTCTCCACGACCTCGTCCTCCTTGCCGCGCTCCACCCACCGCTTGAGCTTCTCGTTGAAGTAGAACGTGTTCTCTCCGCCCAGCTTCGCCTGCCAGGGGTGGGCGTGGGTGTTCAGAAAGAATGATCTCGCTCTGGTGTGTGGGAGAAACTGCGCAGCCGAGAGACATGAGTGCTCACATCACCTTCACAGCATCCACAAGCACAAAAAATCCGCATAAACTCAACGTACCTCCCTTTCCCAACGCCGTCCTCGCCCTTTTACCCCGTACTCTATTCACCCTCGCTTACCTGCTTCCCCCCTCCTCCTCCTCCTCCGCCCCCCCCTCCGCCCCCAGCAGCAGCGCTGCCCCCCCAGAAGTAGCCAAAAAGGCGCCCCAACCCCTTTCCCCCTGGCGCTGCTGGCGGCTTGCCCGTGCCGCCCTTGCTGCCCTTGGCCTGGTGGAGGGGTTGGAGAAAGGGGTGGTGGGCTTAGATCAGATATGACAGCAGTGGAGGAGTCGGGGATGAGAAACCCCGTGAAACAGATCATGCACACATTCCACTGCTACCGTCATGCACACATTCCACTGCTACCGTCATGCACCCATGGCACATCATGGGCACGAATGTCCCTCTCACCTGCACAGCCTGCCCCATGTCGGGCGCCGAGGCGCTGCGCTTGTTGGACATGCCACTTGTCAGCAGCCCCTCCACCGACTCCTCTGACACCTGCCCCATGGACGATGACGTGGCGAGCAGCGACGATGACGAGGATGACGGCACGCCCATGCCATCTCCCTCGCCGCTCCCTGCCGCCTGGCCACCATCCTTCCCAGCGAGCGCCATGCTCGAGCTGCCCTCCGCCACGTCCTGCGGGCTCACTTTGCTCGGGTGCCCGCCCAGCAGCCCCGCCAGCGAGAAGCGGCTGCGAGGGGGGGCCTTCTTGGGGGCATGTGCACCTGGGGTGGGTAGATCTGCGGCAGAGGCGGACTGGGAGCGCGGCACGAGGGCGTGCTGCGCTTGGGGCACGAGGTCGGTGTCGCCCTCGCCGCTGGGGGACTCGCGGATGGGCGCCAGGTGCCCCGACGCCCACCCCGCAGCGCTGGGCGTGCCGTGCCACTCCGCTGCAAACGCCGGCATGGAGAAGGGCTCGCCCTCACTGATGGGCGGCGGGCGCGATACATCCACGGCTGCTGTGACTGCTGCAGGCGCTTCCTCCTCTGCGCTGCTGCTCACACCTCCTGCACCTGCACCTGCCCCTGCGGCAGTGTTATCCCCCATGGGAGTGTTGTAGGGCGGGGAGAGGGAGATGGGCGGCACGTCAGCAGCCACAGCAGCAGCTGAGGAGGTGGCAGGAGTTCTGGCAGCAGAGTCAGGGCTGTCGGACCACGTGTCAGTCGCTGCATCGTACCACTCGCCCTCCGCTGCGCCCTCCCGCTCACCCGCCACCTGCTGCTGCTGCACCGGCTGTTGCTGCGCCTCGCCTGCACCCACTGCTATCTGCTGCTGCGCCCCTTGCTCCTCCCCCGCCTGCTGTCCCCCGCCTTCGCCCCACTGCTGCAGCCCCACCTGCTCCTGCTGCGGCTGCTGCTGCTGCTCACTCCATGCCTGCTGCTCCTGAGTCCAGGCTTGCTGCTGTTGTTGCTGCTGTCCCCATTGCTGCTGCTGCTGCTCCCACTGCTGCCATTGCTGCTGCTGCTGCTGTTGGTCCCACTGTTGCCACTGCTGCTGCTGCTCTTGCTGGTAACCATCAGCGTAACCGGCATACTGCTGTGCAGCCAGCCCACTCTGCTCCACCCGCCCTGATTCCGCCACCCCCTGGCCCCACTCACTGCCACCACCTGCTGCTCCTCCCACAGCACTGCTAGACCAGCTCTCCCCCACCCCACCACCAGCAGTCATCGCAGAGGCAGCAGCACTGTAGCTGCTCGCCATGCCGCCATCAGTACCTGGTACTGCTGCAGAGGCAGTTGCAGCCTGCCCCTCTGCTAAGCCTATCAGGTTCGGCCCGGACGCACTGTGCAGGCCCGGGGACGAGGTGGATGCAGGCAAGGCGCGCTTGCCCAGGCCCCACCACCCCCCTCCCCCTGCCGCACTGGCCTTCCCAGCCACCCCTAGGTTCGGTGCCGAACCAAACCGAGATGACTCCCCCAAGCTTGGCTTATTACCAGCCCCTCCAGGCACAATGTCCCCCATGGCGCCTCCACCCAATGCAGACGCGACACCTGGTGCGAGGGGGGTGGCAGCAGGCCCCCCACCGACGATCTTTCTGGCGCCGCGGTCCAGGAAGCTCATAAGGTCGCCAAACACCCTTGCTGCCGCCACCCCGCCCCCCCCTGCCCCCTGCACGTGCCCCTTGAGCCGCTCCTCCATCTGCTCTGCCGCCGCCCTCCACCCCTCCACCTCCGCCGCCGCCCCTCGGCCCCGCCCACCCGCCTTGAGCATCTTCACCACCGCGCTACAGTACTTGAGGGCGACAGCCGGGCGGCCTGCTTCGGCGAGCATGGCGGCGTAGACGAGCTTGAAGGGCTGCAGGGGGAGCAGCAGGAACTGCGGGTTGCCGAGGATGGAGGCGTACTCCAACACCTCGCTGCGCTGGATGGCCTGCGGGGTCACAAACGTGCGCGGGTGCTTCAGGTGGTCCACGCCCAGCAGACACATGCGCGCAGACGAGGAGAAAGATTCTAAGCTGCCCGCAGCCACGAGGTAGCAGATGTGTGCGGCTGCCACGTCGCCCTTGAGGCGCCAGAGGCAGTCCCCGAGGTGTGAGATGACGCGCTCGTCCCCGCTGGTGCGCGTGGCCGCCATGAGCGCCACGTTCTCCCTCCACTCCGCCACCATCGCCCGCACGCCCCCGTCACCACTGCCACTGCTGCCATCACCAGCTCCAGCAGCAGCTGCAAGAGCATCGCCCCCCGTCTTGCTGGCATCAGCAGCAGCCTTGCCAGCAGCGCCACTCGTGAATATCTCCGAGGGCTGTTGCGTGAGCAACAGAGTGAGCGTGCGCAGCGGGGCGCCGGGGGCGAACTGCTGGGAGGCCATGGCATGCGCGGTCTGCAGGAAGAGGCGCGTGTCGCTGGGCCCGCCCACCTGCTGCGCCAGCAGCAGTGCCAAACCCCACAGGTGGCCCGCCTTGGCTGCTTCCAGCGCCTGCAGGTGCTGCCCCGCCAGCAGGTGCTGCTTCACCTCCTGCGCCGCTGCCTGTGGGGGGAAAGGATGGGAGGTGCGAGGGGTGGTGGGGTTGGGGAGGTGGAGAGCACATTGATGTGAGCCAAGAGGACGGAGATGACAGGTCATGGGGAGAGCCAGCAGAGAGGACAAGGGGGTGGCCTGGGAAGGGAGGAGAGGAGGGCGCACCTGGACAGCAGCCTCGTTGGGGATGGGCAGCTGGAGGTCTGAGAGGCGCGCAGCTGCAGGGGAGGCTGCCGCCAGGGGCGACCACGCAGTGGCGTACGGCACCATGGGGGCCAGGGCAGCCGTCGGCGCTGGCACAGAGGAGAAGGCTCCGGCTGTAGCAGCAGACGAGGCAGCTGTAGCTGCGTTGGCTCCCCCCTCTCCCACGAGTGCCTTGGCTAGCTCTGCTTCTGGCGTTGACTCACCCTGCTCATGGCAGATGGGAGGAGGCGTGGAGAGGCAAAGGTACGGCGCTGAAGCATAGAAAAATGTGAGATCGTGGGAGTGATGCAGTCTAGTGGTCATGACTCCCCACCCACGTGCACGCCACACCCCGCGTACCTGAGTAGATCGGCTGCCCATGCCGTCGCGCCTGAGCTGCCCGTAGAACTGGCACGCCACACGCAGCACACGCCACAGCAGCGCCACACTCTCCACGCCCGCTGCATCACCCTCCTCCTCACCGCTCCTCTCCGCTCGCTCCTCCAGCCACTTGCCTAGCTCCTTGGCTGACATGCCGCCACCTGTCAGCGGGCCATTGGGCGCTTGCTTGCCGGTGAGTGCTGCGAGGTAGAGGGAGTCGTGGGCGGTGGAGGCAGTGGGGTCGGCCTCTTGAGCGGATTGGCTGACGAGGTGAGGCAGGGGGACGAGCTTGAGCGTTGGCTGCACCGGTGGGGATAGCTGCAGGTGTTGTGGGGGGCCGAAGGAAGCGGGAGGGGGGGTTGGGAGGGGGGGAGATGGGCATTTATAGAAAAGATAAGTGGAATTGCAGGAATAGATGTGCTGGCGTGTGGTAATTCCAGGCATAAAAATACTACCAGAACACGAGCAATGCAAGAGGGGGAGGGTGCAGGGCGAGCAGCAGCACTGACCTCCACCTGTCCCTGGGAGCCGAGGGTCTGCCCCAGTGAGCTGCCAGGCACCACCACAGCCGCCCTGCCGCCGAACCCAAAAGATAGCAGCGTGTGCGGGGGGCGCCCCACCGACGAGAGCACCGCCTCCGCTGTGCTTGCAGGGGGCACGTGGTTGTACTGTGGCTGCTGGTACTGCTGCTGGTACTGCTGCTGTTGCTCGTACTGCCCGTACTGGTAGCCCTGCTGGTACCCCTGGTACTGCTCTGCATACCCCCCCATTCCTGCAGTCTGCTGCTGCTGCTGCGAGTACGGGGCAGCGGGCACCATCAGTCCCACCCCAGGCTTCACCCCTGTCTGTCCCGGCATCCAGGGGGCATTCGCCTGTGCCTGGCTGTAGCCGGAGCCTGCAGGGCCATAACCAGGGTCGGGCTGAGACGACCCTCCAGGGTAGCTGGTGGCGCTGTGCCCCTCTGCCGCACTGCTCTCCCCCCAGGGCGCAGGGGCGGGCAGGAACGGCTGCGGCTGCAAGGCCACTGGCGGCTGCTGCAGAGGCTGGGAGGCGGCACTGTCTGCTGCTGGTGGGAAAGGGGCAGCACCCTCTGCAGCCACTGCCTCGCCATCACGTCCAGCTGCCGACACACCCTGTGCTGCCACTCCCTCTGTGCTGCTATACTCTGCGGCTTGCGGCTGTCCCTCCTGCTGCTGCTGCTGGTAGTACCAACTGTTGTAGGCGTCATACTCTGTCTGCCCCCACTGGCTCCACTCCTGCTGCGCCCACGCCCCTGCATCACCCTGCCCTGCGCCACCTGCCGCCTCGCCTCCTGCTGCCGCACCAGCCGCAGTTTCACCAGCTGCACTCACTTCAGCAGCAGCGGCAGCTGCTTCTACCCCCTGCGTTGCCCCCTTCTCGCCCTGCCCCTCCCCACCACCGCCCGTGATTGCAGCAACAGCAGTACCAGAAGCAGCAGTGAGCGTGTCATATGTAGCAGTCAATTCTGGAGGCGCGGTGAGGCCAGGGAGGGGAGGGGCGGCCTCAAACGACAGCTGCATGGCAGCCTCGGGCTGAGATGCCGCTGCACTGCCTGCATCTGTGGCCACCCCCCCCTCTGCCTCCCCGTCCTTGGGCACCGTCTCCTCAAACTGAGCCCACTCGTCCGCCTCCGCCACTCCCGTGTGCTCCCCTGCTGCCACACTGCCTGCCACCACTGCTGCTTCGTCCCCTGCACCAGTCGCAGCCTCCACAGCAGCAGCAGCTTCGCCTGCACCAGAAGGCACCTGCTCGTCTGTGGGCACCCACTGGCCCGACACAGCGTCCCACTGCCACCCTGGGTACTGCGTTGCTATGGCTTGCCCCTCTGCACTGCCTTCTACGCCCCCTGCCTCCCCACCCATGGCCTCCGTAATTGAACCCTCGGCTGTAGCACCCACTGCCTCCACTGCAGCGGCCTCTGCTGCCTCGCCCTCGCTCAGAGCTGTCACTGCCGCCACAGCTTCAGCCCCCTCAGCCGCAGCAGGTGGCTGGTCGTCCTCCGGCACCCACTGGCCCAGCACGTAGTCCCAGCGCCACCCGGGGTACTGCGTTGCCACTGACTCTCCGCCTTCTGCTGCTGCATCTGAGCTGGCCTCTGCACCATCCGCCCCATATGCTGCAGCAACTGTGCTTGCCTCCACACCATCTGCTGCTGCAGGGGCTGCCTCCTCCACCTGCCGCCACGTGCCAGTGGCTGTATCCAGCACCCACCCTGGGTACTCCGTGACAACGCCTTCACCCCCTGCTGCCTCCACACCCTCTGCCTCTCCACCCAGCGCCTCAGCCACCGGCCCATCTGCGCTCGCTGCTTCCAGTAGCGCGGGTGCCGCCAGCTCTGCTCCCTCAGCTGCTGCAGCCACCAGTGGCGCTGCTATCCCGCCCCCACTGCCAATCGCGCTCCACGCACTTGCATCACCTTCTCCCAAACCTCCCTCCCCTTGCCATGGCGCCGCCACAGCAGCCGCCTCCACCAGCTCCTCCCCCAGGAACACATTCTCCATTCCTGCTGCGCTCTCCTCCCCTGCTACAACCTCCTCCGCCGCTACAACCTCCTCCGCTGCTACTAACTCTGCCCCTGCACCCTCGGCCCCTGTACCCTCTGCCCCTGTACCCTCTGCCCCTGCTATAACATCTGCCCCCTCGACCTCCTCTGGCCCACCGCCATGTGCTTCTGCTGCCAGTTGGCCCACAGCCGCCCCTGCCTGCCCTGACAGCTCCTGCTCCTCAAACACCCCGTCGCCCTCCCCCACCGCTGCTGCTGCTGCATCTGCCTCAGCTGAAGCAAAGCCCTCGCCGAAGCCGCCCTCCTCCCACTCACTCACACCTGCTGTAGTATCAGCAGATGTGGCAGCCTCGGCTGCTGCAGCTGCCTCAGATACTGCTGGCTGCTCGTCTGTGGCCACCCACTGGCCCAACACAAAGTCCCATCTCCACCCTGGGTACTCCGTTGCTATGGCTTCACCCCCTGCTGCCTCCGCACCCTCTGCCTCTGCAGCCACTGCTGCTGCCTCCCATCCATCCACCTCTCCCACTGCTGCCTCCGCAGCAACTGCTTCAAGCTCCACCACATCACCATAACTGCTCTCCCCTAGCCCTGGTTCCTCCCAGAAAGGCTCCGTGGAGGAGCCTTCTGGCTCTGCTGTGACTGCACCTGCCGCCTCCTCAGCAGCCATGCCACTAGCAGCAGCGGCTCCCTCGTCTGCACCCATCGGCTGCACCTCTCCCTGCTGCACCCCTTCGGCCCATCCCTCCTCCACCTCCTCGCCTACCTGCTGCTCTCCCTCTCCCTCCTCTGCACCCGCAGCTGCCTCTATCGCCTCCTCCTCCTCTGCTGCGCTGGTCTCAGCTTCAGCAACAACCTCCGCACCTCCATCCACCAACCCTGCCTCCTCCGCATCTGCTACCCCTTGCGCCATATCCGCCTGCCCCGCCACTCCCTCCCGTGCTGCCTCACTCAGAGCCTGCCCCTCCGCCTCCAACCCCACAAGCGACCCCTCAATGCCTTCCTGGACCTCCTCTGCTGCCCAGCCTATCGCCTCTGCAGGTGCTGCCGCATCTGCTACCATGCCTGCTTCAGCACCTTCTGCAACATCTTCCGCCCCCACCAAAGCCACACCCTCACCCATGTCATCTGCAGCAGCAGAGGCGGCTACAGGTGGTTGCTCGTCTGTGGGCAACCACTGGCCCGACACCGCGTCCCACGCCCACCCTGGGTACTGCGTTGCTATGGCTTCACCCCCTGCTGCCTCCGCACCCTCTGCCTCTGCACCCACTGCTGCTGCCTCCCATCCATCCCCCTCTCCCACTGCTGCTGCTGCCTCAGGCCCTGCCACGTCAGCGTCCCAACCCCTTGCCTCTGCCGCTTCCTCTGCCGCTTCCTCTGCCGCTTCCTCTCCTGGCATCATTTGCTCATCTGTCGCCTGGCTTTCCGCTGCTTCCCCTGATGCCTCCTCGGCTGCACCCGCTGCTGCATCCACTGCCTCCCATGACATCGCCTGGCTGTCAGCACCTTCGCCTTCAGCATCCCATGCAGCTGCACTGCCAGCTGCATCTGCCGCCACCCCCATGCCATCCTCTCCCCCTGCTGCACCCACCGCCTCTCCCTGGCCTGGCTCCATGCGCTCTTGGCCCTCCCCGCCTGAAACTACCGGCTTCCCTGCTTCAGCCCCTGCGACCACCTCCTGCTCCTCCCCAATGCCTCCATCTGACGCAGTACCTGCCGCCCACGTGCTTTCAGCTAATGCCGCAATTGCTGCTGTCGCTCCAGCATTTGCGGAGTCAGCAACAGCGTCTGCCCCCTCAGCAGCAGCAGGCACCCACTGGCCCAGCACATAGTCCCAGCGCCACCCGGGGTACTGCGTTGCCACTGACTCTCCGCCTGCTGCTGCTGCAGCTGTGCTTGCCTCCGCTGCACCATCAGCCCCATCGGCTGCCGCAGCAGATGCCTCGTCCACCTGCCGCCAAGTGCCAGTCACAGCATCCCACTCCCACCCTGGATACTCTGCCACGGCCACTGGCTCAACACCTGCTGCTGCCTCTACTCCCTGGCTCTCACCCTGCTGCTGCTCGTACTCCCAAGCTGCTTCATCTCCCACGTGCCCCTCCTCTCCCACCTGCCCCTCCGCTCTGGCCTGCCCCTCCTCTCCCATCCGCTCCTCAACTTTTGCCTGCACCTCACCTCCCTCTGCGTCCAGCCCACCAAACCCGCCCGCGCCCGCGCCAGCCACACTCCCCCCTTCCATAGCTGCTGCGTCCGTTACTGCAGCCCATTCCCCTGCCGCCTCCATCCCACCTGCCACAGCCTCTGGCTCGTTTCCTTCAGACACAGGCAGCAGGCTAGGCTCAGACCAGCCCTCCACCCCACCAGCCATTCTCCCAGTGGCTTGGGGTGGCTCAGAGGGCAGCGGGAGAACGGTGGGCTGGGATTCGAGGGGGAGAGGCAGAAGAGGAGCAGCAGCGAAGGAGAGGGGCTTGGGAGGAGGACTGCCTCGTACAATCCCGCCCTCATCCACACCCCCTTCCCCTGCAGCTCCTTCAAACGCACTGCTCTCAGCCTGCTCCTCGCCACGCTCATCTGCTGTCGTCGACACAGGCTGAAGCTCAGATGTGTCCACGGCAGAGACAGGTGGCAGGGCGTCAGCTGATGGGTGGTGAGGCGCCACAGGCATCGCATCACATGGCGCCCCTTGTGCCAGTCCTTGTGAAACTTCCGTCGCTCCCTCTGCCATTTCATCCACATGCATCCCCTCTTCTCCACCCCACCCACCCTCCAACGCCTCACCTGCCCCCTGTGCCTGTGCTGTGTCAGAGGAAGGCTCAGTGAAAGGCGTCTCACCCTCTGCTGCTTCCGCTTCAGCTGACACCCACTCAGGCGCACTGGCCCCGGGCGTTGCATGCTCCATGGCGTCTGCTGCAGTGACATCTCCTCCTGCTGCCGGAAAAGCTGCTTCTGCAGTAGTAGAGGCATCTGCTACAGCAGCGGTCTGAGCAGCAGCAGGTGGCTCATAGCCCTCTATCTGCCTCCACTCGCCTGCAACGACGGGAGGCAAAGGATGAGAGCTCAAGGATGGAGGTTGCACGGAGCAAGCAAGAAAAACAGTCAAATTAGTAAAAACCGACTGCATGCGTTTACAAGCTCAGAAAGAAGAAAGAAGTGAGAGGGTAAGTTTACTTGCACCATGACCACCCACCACTTTTGACAAGCACCGTCTCACTCACCTGCTGCATAGTCCCAGTACCAGCCAGGGTACGCCTGCGCCCACTGCCGCTGCTGCTCCTCCCACTGCTCTGCCGTCAACCCCCCCTGACCTCCGTACTGCCCCTCCTCCTGACCGCCATACTGCCCCTCCCCCTGACCGCCATACTGCCCCTCCCCCTGACCGCCATACTGTCCCTCCCCCTGACCGCCATACTGCCCCTCCCCCTGACCGCCATACTGCCCCTCCCCCTGACCGCCATACTGCCATCCCTCCTGCCCCTCCTGATCCGCCTGCCACGCCTGCCCCTCCTGCTCTGCCTCCACACCCTCCGGCGCGATCTGCTGCTCGCCAGAGTACTGCTCTCCCGCAGTCTGCTGGCTTGCGTCCCCAGCTCGCTGCTCCTCTGGATGCTGCTGCTCATACCCCCTGCCTGCTCCACTCTCCTGCCCTTCCTCCCCGTCCGCACCACTCGCCCGTCCGCTAAGCAGCACATCACGGCTCCCCTCCTCACCTCCCTCCATGGCAATGTCAGATGCAGCAGCATTCGAGCCCGCCCCAGCAGCCGCGCCACCCCCTTGCAAATCCATCCCCTCTACCTGGTCCGCCTCAGCGACAGCGTCAGCATCAGCGTCAGCGTCAGCGACAGCGTCAGCATCAGCGTCAGCGTCAGCGGACATGAACCATGCACCTGCATCATCCTCCCCTCCCACACTCACACCCTCCACCTGCCCACCCTCACCCTCTCCACTCGTCATCCCACCCACGCCAACAGCACCCTCTCCTGACACACCCTCTCCAGCGCTAGGCAAAGCAGACTCCACCACTCCTGCTCCAGCACCCTGTGCAGCCGGCAGCAGGTGCGGCGTGGGGCCCGCTTGTGCAGCCCCAGGCGGGCTTGGGTGCACGGCGTCCCTGTCCACGGCAGCAAAAAAGGCTGCCGCGTCCTCCTCGCTGGCAGTAGCCTTGAGCAGGCGAGTGGCCGCAGCCGACACAGCAGACGCCACAGAGGCAATCATGGGCGCCCCCAGTCGCACCGCACTGCCGTTCGCCAGCGCCGCCATCACATCCTCCTCCTCTTCCTCCTCCTCCTCCTCCTCCTCGTCCTCCAGCCCCCTCTGCAGCATGGCCAGCACGCCCACCTCGCCCGACGCCCCTCCATCCGCACCCCCATCGTCCGCGTCCTCCCCCACCCCCCCGAAGTCCATGCTCACCAGATCCTCCCACCCCAGCTGCTTCCTCCCCCCCACCGCTCCCCTTTCCCTGCCACTGGCCCCACCCTCTGCCCCTTCTGCGCCATCCGCTTCCCCTCCGCCCATCCATGAAGACAAGCCGGCTGCGCCCGGCACACTCCATGCAGGCTTGGGGCCGTCAGCAGCAGCAGCAGCAGCAGCAGCAGGTGGTGGCGGTGGGCTTGCGTCTGCTGCAGCGCCGCCCAGCATGGAGAGCACGGGCATGGCGAGACCCTTGAGGGCCAAGGCGCCTGCGCAGGGAAGAGATGACAGAGAGACGTCACACACGCTCTGCCATTCGGCCTCCGTGCTGGACCTAGTGCCAGTCGCCGTGCAACGAATGGATTCACACACACACTCACACACACTCACACACACTCACACACTCACACACACTCAAACGTGCACATATCCAGAGCGCCACAGCCACTGACTGGAGTGAGCTCACCTTGGTTAATAACCTGCGTGCCCAGCTTGGCGCCTGCGCCCTCTCGCCCTGCTCCAGCCTTGTCAAACAGATCGCGAATCTTGCTCTGCCTGTCCTCCCCCCCCCCATCCCCCCCTCTGCCATTGGCGGCACCAGGCATGCCACCCTCCGTCCCATCACTCGTCCGTCCCTTCTCCCCGCGCTGCTCAGCGCCACTCCCCTGCCGTCCCTCGCTGCCGTCCATCTCCTGCCCCCCCTGCTGCCCCGCCAGCAGCGCGTCTGGCGCAAGTATAGCGTCGGACGACCACGCCGCCACATCGGAGGCCGCCTTCACCAGCGACCCCAGCACCGGCCACGACGCCTCCCTCTGCCCGCCCGCCGTCCCCGGCCGTGCCATGCGCATGCCCACTCCGGGCACCCCACCCAACCCGAACCCACCCCAAGCGGACCCACCCATGCCTCCCCACCCATCCCCCTGCTGCCCCTGTGCGCCCGCCTGTCCGCCCATGGCAGCAGAGCCGACGCCCTGGAAGCTGCTGGTGCGCGCATAGGCGCGCTGGCTCAAGGGCCTGCCCGCAATGCCCCAGTCGTCGCCCTCGTCTATGCTCCCCCACCCATCCCCCTCTTCCTTCTCACCGGCGTGGCCCTTCTTGCTCGCCTGCCCCTTCCTCTGCTCCCCACCCGCCTCCTCGCCTGCAGCCAGCCGTGCAGCAGCGCCAGCAGCCACGCCAGGATGTGTGCGACCAACCTTGGCGTCAGCCTCGGCACCAGACCAGTAGGGGCCGTCCCGCCCGTTGGCCCAGGTGGTGCCTGCCACACCGCCGTCCTCAGCAGCGGGCCTCGTGCGCTGCTTCCTCACCTCAAGCTTTTGCTCCTCCTCCCGCCTCTCCCTCTCTCTGCGCTCCAGCTCTTGCCTCTCGCGCTCCTTCTGCTCGCGCTCCCTGCGCTGCTGCTCCAGCCGCTCCTTCCTCTCCTGCTCCCTCCTCTCTCGCTCTCGCCGCAGTTGCTCTTGCCGCTCCTTCTTCTTCCGCTCCTCCTCCTTCCTTAACCACTCCTGCCGTTCCCTCTCGTGCCGTTCCTCTTCCTTCCGTAAGTCCTCCTGCCGCTCCCTCTCCTTCCTTTCCTGTTCCTTGCGCATTTCAGCTAGTCTCTCCTGCTCCTTCTTCTCCTCCTCAATCCGCCTCTTCTCCTGCCTTTCCCACTCTAACCGCTCCTTTTCCGCCTTCAACTTCTCTTTCCGCTCCCTTTCCTTCCTCAGCTGCTCCTGTTTCTCCCTCTGCTTCCTCTCTTGCTCTCTCCGTACTTGCTCCTGTCGCTCCCTCTCCTCCCTCTCCTGTCGCTCCCTCTCCTCCCTCTCCTGTCGCTCCCTCTCCTCCCTCTCCTGTCGCTCCCTCTCCTCCCTCTCCTGTCGCGCCCTCTCCTCCCGCTCCTCAATCTCCTTCGCTTTCTTCTCCTGCTCCTTCCTCAACTCCTCTTGGAGCTCCCTCTCCTTCCTTTCACGCTCAACTCTCAATTCCTCCTGTTTCGCTTTCTCCCGCCTCTCCTGCTCCTTCTGCAAGAGTTCCACCCGCTCCTTCTCCTTCCTCTCTTCCTCCACCCTAAGTCGCTCCTGTCGATCCTTCTCCTTCCTCGCCTGCTCGAGCCTAAGTTGCTCCAGTCGTTCTTTCTCCTTCCTTTCTTGTTCTTCTCTAAGCCTCTCAAGTCTCACTTGTTCCTTTCTCTCTTGCTCGGCCTTCAGCTGCTCCTCTCGCTCTCTCTCCTTCCTCTCTTCCTCTGCTCTGAGTCGCTCAAGTCGCGCTTTCTCCTTTCTCTCTTGCTCAACCCTAAGTTGCTCCTGCCGCTCCTTCTCCTTCCTCTCGCTCTCTCTCCGCGCCTCTTCCAGCCTCTCCCGCTCCCGCCTCTCCTCCTCCTTCCGCAGCTGCTCCAATCGCTCACGCTCCTGCTCTTTCCGCGTCTCTTCCTCCATCTGCCGCTGCTTCTCCCGCTCCTGCGCCTGCGCCATCTGCACATCCCTCGCCTGCTGCTCCTCAACCGCCTGCGTCTGCTTCTCAGGGCCGGGCCCACCACCACTGCCAGCAGCACCACTGCCAGCAGCACCACTGTCAGCAGCACTCAGCTGCGGCGCAGACAGCCTCTTCGGCACGGCCCCCAGCAGCCTGCCTTTGCCTGCCGGCTTGCCTCCCAGCCGCGGCGACGTCAACTTGCGGGCGGCGGGCGCGGAGGAGGACGAGGTGGAGGACGAGGAGGAGGTGGGGGATGCCGGCGCGAGAGGAGCGGGTGGAGCCGGCGCGGCGGAGGCCAGCGGCGGCTCAAAGAAGGGCGCGGCCGCCGGGGGAAGGAGAGGCGCGGAGGCAGCAGAGGAGGACGAGGCGGAGCGAGTGGGCGCGCGGGGAGCATCGGCGTCCATGTCGTCGAAGCCCAGGAACGGACTCGCTGCCCGCTCGACGAGCTTCGACGGCACGGACGAGATCGGATTCGCAGAAGATGAAGCTGACGACGCTGCCGTTGCAGTGGGAATGCCATTAGCGGGGATAGAGTCGAGGGGTGGGGCACCAGTGACGGTAGACTGGCTGATGCTCCTGCTGCTTCCTCCAGTAGTAGTGAGAGTGGCAGATACGCTGTTGGCGACAATAGGGGTTGCCGCGGAGGAGTGAGTGAGGGCAGGGCGAGCGATCAGCGGCTTGCCCTTGACGAGCGACGAGCGCGACGGCTTGCCGGAGAGCCCCAGGAGCTTGATCGGCGCGGACGCGGTCCCCGCGCCGGACGACGACGCGCCGTGCGGAGCGGAAGCAGCAGCACGGGGGGCGGGAACGGCCGCAGGAAGAACCGAGCCTTGCGCAGATATCGCGGTTGACGATCTGCTAGCCGGAGCGACGACAGATGTCGCAGGAGTCGCAACTATCACCTGCGACGTCGCATTGGACGAGGGCGGTGCGGCGGATGGCGGCAGTCCCTTCACGGTCTTGGGAGCTGCCGCTCCTCGCTTCACCGCGGCATGCGGAGGTTGAACGGGCTCCGCTGCCGCGACCAGATTGTGCCTCGCAGATTCTGGCAGCAAAACGTCAAGCGGATCTGCCGGATGCACGTCCAGGATCGACGGATGTCGATGCGAATCTGACGGCTGAGATGCGCCAGCAGACTGCGAGTGTAGGGTTCGGGTTGCGTGACTGCCATCGATCGCAGCAGCGTGAGATCCGTAAGGCTCGGGGTTGCGCGAATCGTGATGCGTGGCCGGTGCAGGAGGCTCCTGATGTGCGAATCCAGTCGACGTGTCCGCAGGCCCGGCTCCATCTGACGACGACGCGAGAGGCTTGGCGCTCAGCCGTACTGCGCCAAGACCCCCTCCTCCGAGCTTCTTCTTTCGACTAATCGGCGGCATGGCTAACTTTGTGTATCACGGAGTACTAAAGCAATCAACGAACTCGAGCAGCAGGATGTACGCCATGGCGTCTGAGCAGAAATTATCAGCAGGGTTAGGAGTCTCCCAGATGTTGGAGTTTCCTAGATTTTGGTGGAATCTCGAGGGTGGGGAGATCTGGCATCCCTTTCCCAAACCAGCCTTGAACTTGTCAGAAAGGCTGTGCTGCAGATTGAGCTATGAGTACACGTGGTAGATTTAAAGAATCCCAGGTGTATGAACTAAGGTAGGACATAGCTCCAATATAGCATAGTATAGTCCAGTTATTGGAGACCCAAGTGTGCATTCGCATGTGGTACATATGAGACAGCGGTAAGCCAGGGACATGTATGTATATTCAGCATGCACAGTAAGCGAGTCTAGTATGTGTTCCCACCCTCCTACCCTGAAGTATACATCAAATGCATTAGCATGTGTAAGTAATTTATAAAGAAAAACATAACATGGTGCTAAAAGGCATACTTCCCTTGTTTTAGTGATGATATTTATATTCAGTCAACAATTACACCTGAAAGGACTGTATTCCAAATGTACTCGAGGGCAACGGATTGATCAAGCGACTCGATTACTGGCACAAGGGTTTCGAAACTGCTTGCCGATAGCAGATTTGCCAGTGGTTGGAGAAGCAAGCAATCTGACAACCTGCCCCATCATTTCACTTTCCGCTCATTTCACGGGCTGCTTGTCGCCTGCTACGGCAGAAACCAGTGTTCCAACCTGTGACTCAGCCTGAAAACGTCCTCCGGGCAGAAAATGCAGCATCCCTTCCCCCCAACCAGATTTGCTAGGGTTTTGAGATGACGAGCAGCGAGGCTTTCAGCGGAGACGAATCAGATCTGTTGAGAACCTCCATTCGGGCGAACCAGCAGCGTCAAACTTCAGACACCACGCCTGCTATGTGGCGCTCACCCCGCCTTCACCTCGCTAACTCGCTCAAAGTTCCACAGCGCCTCGTCGCCCCAGACCCAACTTTTATTTCGCGATCCGGCCACTTCTGTGGTCCCACGTTTCAGCCAATCGGTGCTCGATTTCTTTAGAGTTTTGGTGGGCTAACAGTTCGTTTTCTGCCTCCCGCCTGCGAAATCCAAAAATCTAGCCGATTTTAGCAGCAATTAGCAGCCGACGCGATGCGGTTTCGGTTGGGAGTGCCCCCAACGTGTGGTCGGTCCGTGTCCGCTCAGAATCCACTTCGCCCGACTCCCATTTTTCCCTTCGCCCGAGCTCATTTCTCCTCCGATTTTGCTCATTCTTGCGTCATTCTGCTCGTCCGTGGCCATTCTTCACGCCGCAACTCCATTTCGCTCCTTGGAAACTCGTTTCCGTCGTTCCTCAGCTGACAACCATTAGCACACACTCCTCGCTCCTTGCGAGATCTAAGGCTTCAGTTTTGCAATCAAATCTCCGCTTTTCGTCGCGTACGAATGGCGCGCTGCTGGAGAATTTCTCACGAGCTGGAGTAACCATCTTCGGTCGATTTTGTTGAAGGCCGCTCGTGTTTTTTGGTAAGTTACCGTAACTTCCTATTTATTAGCAGCTTGTTTTCTATTCGCTTCTGTGATGCTAATCCGACGGATTATTTTTCCGTTGCTGCAGATTTCATAAGAGCATACGGCACGTCCGCAATCGTTTTTGAACCAATTCTGCTGAAGGCTCTCGCGGTTGTCGAGGTAAATTCCCGCAAATTTGATTTTCGTAACGCTTGTTTTCCGGATTTCTTTTAAAGCTAATCTGACGGCATTCTTTCAACGTTTCTTCAGATTGGAGCCCGCAAGACCTACGCAAGAACGTACGAGGCGCATTAATTCCGCGCGTCGTCACATGTGCGCGCCCTCAACCGTCTGCTGGTAAGAATCTGAGCAGATAGCTCCGACTGTCATTTTCGCTCGTTACGCCTTCATTTCTTAGCCGTTTTTTCGTCGTTTCTTCGTCGTTTCTGGTCCGCGTCAGACTCCCCGCATTGCGGTGTGCAGGGAGTCGAGGCGAGGGAGCTGCACACGTTTGCACGTCACGACCTACCGACCCGCAGCTGCTGCACGTGCTTGAGCGACAGCACAGCGCCAGCACAGCGCCAGCACCAGCTTCACCTGCCCGTGTCACTCGGGTCAACTGTCCAGCTAAGTGTTTCCTCCCTCCATCCATCTACCCTCGCACGCTCGACCCGCCATCCTCTTTGTTGCCGTCACTCGCTCTGCTGCTGTCAGTCGCTTTCTCCCTTGAATCGGTGCCGCTGGTGTCAGCTTAGCTCGCAGGCCACAGACCCCCTCCCTGCAGGTGGACCCCCCCCAGGTACAGCAGGTACAGCCCTCAGGTTCAGCCACACGCCCTCAGGTATATTTCTCTTGGGTCTGTGGCTTGTAGCTGGCGCTCCACCAGTGGCCCCCTCCCTTCTCTCCCCCCCCCTCTGTACCTCACCCCACATGCATGCATCCCCTGGCCACTTGACCGCGCACTGACTCGCGCTGTGTGTGTGCGTTGCAGGTGGAGGGGAGGGGCGCGGGGGTCAACACCGACACTCCCTCTCGCCCCTCCCCTGTGGCCGTGCAGGTACCCGCGGGGATGGGTGGAGGAACGGCAGGAGGGCAAATCAAGGGAAGGAGAGTGGAGCCCACCCTCAGCCGTCCGTGTTTCAGCTTCCAGCTAAGTACCTTCTCCTCCCTGGACTTGCCTTGCATGCTGCTAGTTGCTCAAGATTTTCTCTCGTTTTAAACAGTCGTGCTTCCATGTTTTCTCTGACAAATTCTGGCCACTGGTTGGGGCTCGGCTCACAAGCCACAGACCCCCTACTGCTGGTATCCCCCCCTCAGGTTCAGCCCCCCTAACAGCCCCCCAGGTTCACCCCTACTGCAGGTACACCCCCCCAGGTGCCCTTGGGGTCTGTGGCTTGTGGTTCTGCCTCCACCAGTGGCCCCTCCTTTTCTCTCGCCTTTTTAGTTTTATCAGTTGACATTTACCCTTCATCCCTCCTCTGTGCACTGACCAGCGCTATGTGTGAGCATTGCAGGTGGAGGGGAGGGGCGTGGGGGTCAACGCCGACACCCCCCTCACGCCTCTCCCCTGTGGCCGTGCAGGTGCACACGTGGAAGGGCTGGGAGGGGGGCTGCCACGAGGGAGAGTATCTGGGGGTGGGGTTGGCCTCTCAAGGTAAGCCCAGCCTAATCCCACTCGCCCCTCCTGCCCCTTTCCCTTGCCTTTATTCCGCGTCAGTCGCAGCATGCCCTTGTTTCCTCGTTCTGGTTCTCTGCCTCCCAACCCAGGGGAGGCTCTGCATCCAGCCTTTTTCTCTCTCTCCTTTCTCTACCCGCCCCTTGTCTCCCTCGCAGGGAGCAGTGGGAGGGAGAGGGGCAGCAGGCGAGGCGGAAGGGGGCAGCAGTGAAGAGCGGAGGGGGCAGCAGGCAAAGGGAGGGGGCAGTGGGCGAGGGGGAGGAGGCACCAGGCAGCCACTCAAGCAGCGCTCCAGGTGTCCAGCTAAGTGCCTTCTCCTCCCTGGCCTTGGCCGTGCATGCAGCTGCCTGCTCATGCTTCTGCTTTGTTCTGCTCGTGCTCGCTTCCATGCTTCCTCCATTCAAATGAAGCCTCTGGTTGGGGCCCGAGTCACTAGCCACAGACCCACTTCTACTGCAGGTTGACCCCCTTAGGTATTTTTAGTACAACCCCCCCGAGGTAACCCCTCAGGTAAAGCCGTACAGCCCCCTCAGGTTCAGCCGCCGGGTCCCCTTGGGGTCTGTGGCTTGTGGTTTGGCCTCCACCAGTGGCCCCTCCCCCCTCCCGCCTTCCAGTGCTTGCAGTTTCGTCAGTTGCCACTCTTCCCTCATCCCCTCACTGCCCACTGACTCGCGCTGTGTGTGTGCATTGCACGTTGAGGGGAGGGGCGTGGGAGTCAACACCGACACTCCCCCACGCCCCTCCCTGGTGGCCGTGGGGGGATGAGGGGGCGAGGCAGCATGATCATCACTAGCACGAGGAGAGTATCTGGGGGTGGGCTTGGCCTCTCAAGGTAGGCTCTCCTGCTCCCTTCCCCTCCCTGCAACTCCATTGCTGCTGCCCATTTGCTGCTGCATGCCTTGTATCTCGCTGTGGCATCCTTATTGTGGACTTGTGAATTCCTTCTCCTTCACTGCTGGATTCCTTTTCTCCGCAACTTCACCCTTCCCTCGCTTCCCTTGCTTCTCTCACATGGTCTCCCAACTGCCCTTGCCTATCTCCCTCCCCCTTCACTCCCCTACCAGGTCACTTGGCATTTGTTGAAGATTGCAGCAGTGAAGCAGAGTAGCAGAGAAGCAGCAGCAGCAGCGGAAACAGTTGAAGTAGCAGCAGCGGTTGGGCTGGGGGGGTTAGGCAGGCTAGGCCTAGGTGTGAGTGAGCGAGGTATGGTGACAGGTGAGGTATGGTGACAGGTGAGGTATGGTGACAGGTGAGGTATGGTGACAGGTGAGGTACGGTGACAGGTGAGGTATGGTGATCTGATCCCTCCCTCTCTCTGTTTCCCCAACTTCTCAGGGTCCGAGGACCGGAGCAAAGACAGCACGGAGTGCAGTCCCTCTCACTTCACTCACCTCCCGCTCTCTCCCTTGCCCCCTTCCCCCCTTCCCCCCCTCCCCTGCAACATGCCTTTCACCCGGAGGCAAGGGCAGGGGGGTGGATCTCGGAGCACTGGACTGGAGCAAGGACAGCTGGAGGTGGACGCCCTCTCCCTTCACTCGCCTCCCCCTCTCTCCTCCCCCTTCCTCCCCAGCAGCATGCCTTCACACTGCAGCAAGGGCAGGAGGGTGGATCTCGGAGCGCTGGAGCAAGCCATGAGAGTGAAGCCCCCTTCACCCCTTTCACCCCCTCCCCCCCGCCCCACTCGCCTCCCCCTTCCCCCCTCCCCCCCCCGCCCTCGCCCCACTCACCTCCCCTCCCTTCCCCATCAGCATTCCTTGAGCACCGAGGGAGAGAATTCCCCACCATAATCCCCCTTCCCCTCCCAGCAGCCTCAGGCAACATGGCACCACTCTGCACCAATCTGATAGGTGGAGGTTAGGGTCTGCTGGCATGGGGGAGGGACTGGGGGATGTGGGGGTTGGGGGGTGGGGTGGGGGGAAGCATGGGAGTGTGCAGTCAGCTCACTGCCTTAGGGGCAGCATCCTCGGTGGTTGCACCTTGTGGGAGGGGTGTGGTTGGTGGAATCTGCGTGGCACGGCACTCGGTGCTCAAGTAACCGATCTGGCGTTTAAGGCTTAATGGACACCGTCAGAGTCGGCCGGCCGGCGGCTCTGGTTCGCGTCAGCTCTAGCCACGTCAGGGGTGCGATTTGAGTCTCGGGCTGGAAGCGCTTTTCCACCGCCACGCCTCGCCCCATGAGATGCATCCTCTGGGGTGCTGCTTCCCAAGGGGAGTGGGCTGTCTGCTGCTCCTACTGCTCACAGGTGAGGGAGGGGAAGGGGGGGGGAGGGGGGATGCTTGGGAGGGTGGGGATGGGATGCTATGGTGGTGAGAGGAAGTGGTGGTGGTGGTAAGAGAGGGAGGGGAGCGCAGGGGAGGGGGGTGAAACCCCAAGGGTAAGGTGAGGAAGGGGGCAGTGGAGGGGGGCTTCAGGGGAAGGAGAGAGCAAGGCAGGGGAGAAGGGTTGGGAACCCCTGGGTAAGGCAAGCGAGGGGCAGGGGGGAAAGGGGGGGTTGGAACCCCTAGGCTAGGGCGTGCCAGGGCAGAGGAACCCCCCTCTTCTTCCCTTTGTTCGTCTCAACCTGGGGGGTTCAACCCCCCTGTCTTGCCTTTCACTTGCCTTACCTTGAGGTTTCAAATCCCACTCCCCTATCTTGCCCTCTCCTTGCCTTTGAGGGTTTCGTACCCCCTCCTGTGCCCCTCCCTCCCCACACCCCCTCCTGTGCCCCTCCCTCCCCAAACCCCCCCCTCTACTCCTTATCTGTCTTGGGCAAGTGGGAAGGGGCCTGAAGGCCTCAGGGTAAGTCAGAGTGAGAGGGAAGAGAGACAGGGGGCATGGTTAACTTGAGTCAAAGGGAAGGGAGATAGGGGGCATGAAACCCCCTTGGGTAAGTGGAGTCTGAGGGAAGAAAGAAAGGGGGCCTGAATCCCCCTTGGGTAAGTGGAGTCAGAGGGAAGAAGCAGAGGCGGACTGAAACCCCCTTGGGTAAGCGTTGTCAGAGGGAGAAGAGAAAGGGGGCGTGAACCCCCCACCTTGGGTAAGAGAGTGAGAGGGAAGAGAGAAAGGGGGCGTGAACCCCCCACCTTGGGTAAGAGAGTGAGAGGGAAGAGAGAAGGGAGGCGTTAACCCCCCGTCTTGGGTAAGAGAGTGAGAGGGAAGAGAGAAAGGGGGCCTAAAACCCCAGTTGAGTCCGAGGGAAGAGAGAAAGGGGTCTGAAACCCCCTCGGGTAAGTTGAGTCAGAGGGGAAAGAGAAAGGGGGGTTGAACTCCCGCTTGGGTAAGTGGAGTCAGAGCGAAGAGAGTAAGGGGTCTGAAACCCCCTTGAGTAAGTTATGAGTCAGGGGGAAGAGAGAAAGGGGGTCTGAAACACCCTTGGATAAATAATGAGTCAAGGGAAGAGAGGAAGGGGGCCAGTAACCCCCTTGGGTAAGTGGAGTCAGAGGGACGAGAGAAGGGGGCGTGAAACCCCCTTGGGTAAGTTGAGTGAGGGAAGAGAGAAAGGGGGTCTGAAACCCCCTTGAGTAAGTTATGAGTAAGAGTCAAGAGAGAAAGGGGGCCTGAATTTCCCTTGGGTAAGTTATGAGTCAGGGGGAAGAGAGAAAGGGGGTCTGAAACACCCTTGGATAAATAATGAGTCAGAGGGAGAAGAGAAAGGGAGCCGGCAACCCCTTTGGTAAGTTATGAGTAAGAGGGAAGAGAGAACGGGGGGCTGAAACCCCCTTGGGTAAGTTGAGTCAGAGGGAAGAGAGAAAGGTGGCCTGAAACCCCCGTGGGTAGGTGGAGTAAGAGGGTAGAGAGAAAGGGGGCGTGAAACTCCTTTGGGATTACCCCCAGCTTAGTGCGAGCAAAGGGCAGGGGAACCCCCTTCCTCTGCCCTTGGTACGCCTTATGCTTGGAGTTTCCCCCCCCTCCCGTGTCGCTTCACTCGACACACTTGACCCGAACTGAGACTAAGGGGGTCACACTGGATTTATAGGGGTGAGACTGGTGAGGGGGGTGCAGGAGACCCAACTATTCAGGTGAGACTGGGGAGGGGGGTTCACACCGCAACTATACAGGTGAGACTGGGGAGGGGGGTGCAGAAGACCCCAACTATACAAGTGAGACTGGGGAGGGTGGTATGATTAAGTGGCAGCGAGGCAGGACAGGGGGTTTGGAATTCGGAGGGTAAGGCTAGGGAGGGGGGGGGGGGTAAGGGGGGGGTGCTGAAACCATCGAGTTAAGGCGAGCATGAGGCAGTGGGCCCCCCCTCCTCTGCCTTTGTCTCACCTTAACTTGGGGGTTTCAACCCCCTTTTCTTGCCTCTCAATCACCTTACCATGTGAGTTCCTACCCCACTCCCCTGTCTTGCTCTTACCTTTCTTTTGCGTTCCAACTATCCTCGGAGTTGAGTGGGAAGGGTGGCTTACAGTCTCCGTCTGTAAAATGCGTAGGAAGGGTGGGATTCAGACCCCAGATGTAAGTTGAGTGGAAAGGGTGGGTTTCAGGCCCATTAAGTTGAGTTGGATGTGTGGGTTACAGACTCCGTGTGTATTGAGTGGGAAGTGTGGGTTACAGACTCTGACTGTAAGTTGAGTGGGAAGTGTGGGTTTCTGAGCGTGACTGTAAGTTACTTCGGAAGGGTTGGCTTTCAGACCCCGAATGTAAGTCGGGTGGTTGGGTTTCATATGCATGCATAGTAAGATGGGCTTTCCATGCACAGTCATGATGGTACAATGCACAGTCATGATGGTACCATGCACAGTCATGATGGTACCATGCACAGTCATGATGGTACCCCGCACAGTCATGATGGTACCATGCACAGTCATGATGGTACCATGCACAGTCATGATGGTACCATGCACAGTCATGCTGGTACCATGCACAGTCATGATGGTACCATGCACAGTCATGATGGTACCATGCACAGTCATGATGCTACCATGCACAGTCATGATGGTACCATGCACAGTCGTGATGCCACCACACACGGTCATGATGCCACTATGCATTGTCATGAAGCCACCATGCAGAGTGATGGCTATGTTGGAATATACGCACAGAAGGCTTTGCGTATTGCGTATATACGCTTGCAAATATACGCAATACGCAGATACGCTTGGAATACGCGATACGTGATACCCGGGCTGCCCGGCGAAAAGAAAAAAAAAAGACATTTTTTTTCCCGCGACTTCGCGACGTCGCGATTTTTTTCACCCATGCTTTTTTGCCCATACCCCAGCCTGCTCTGTACGTGTTTGAAAGCCATCCCGTGTTTGTCGTTCCCCATTTCCGTCCAAATCTCAGCTCTGAAGCGAAACGATGGTGTGCTTAGCTAGGTGGCGGAGATTGCGCGAGTTACAGTGCTTGTTGGTCTTCTCCCAAAACGATGGGGGAGGTGATGGGGGGAGAGTCGAGCATTTGTGAGGAAAGGTTGGAGTTTGTAGATGGATGGGTGGGAGTTGAGTGCGGTGAAAGGGAGGGAGTTGGTTGGCTGAAAGCCAATTTGACTTTGTAGACGGGGGGGTTGAGTGTGGTGAAAGGGAGGGAATTGGTAGGTCAAAATTCGACCCCTCAGAAAATGCCTCTCATTTGAGAGTCGCGTTTTCAGAAACCCTAGCCTAGCCGCTCCCATCATGGCTTCCTTGCTGCCCCCTGGTTTTGTTTCCCTGCCCGGGCAAACCTTTTCTCCTGCCCGGCCATGCGTATTCCTGCCGTATTGGACCCCAAACCCATGCGTTTTGCGTATATACGCAAGCGTATATACGCTGGCTTATAATACGCAATACGCGTATATTCCAACATAGAGTGATGGTTCTACCATGCATGCATGATGCAATCATGTGCGCATCTGAGCCTCCTGAAGGCAATGTGCCATGAAGCCAGCATGCAAGGTGTCCACCCGCCCACCACCTCTCTCCACAGGACACCGTGCATCACACAGCTGCAATGTTCCAATCTGGGGCTGAGCCACCGGATTGCACTGTTCGTCTCTGCTCACAGCAATGTGTATGACTAGGGCAAGCAGCCTCAAGACTCTTCTGGCTCATGGTTGTTTGGTAGCCTAGTAGGGCCATGTTTAGCTCATATACCCTCTGTTTGCTGCCTGTACCCTGGCTGTACCCTGTATGATATCTTGTAAGACCAATGTATACTTTCAGAATTAACATCAACACCATGGCACATTTACATCAATGAGTATGCTTCAAGCAGCCCTTGAAATATAGATAAAGCGGTGATTTGTGCATTTTTTTTAACAGCTGACACAGTCCTTATCGAGTATCGGAGCATGCGAGTTACCATGTGGCTGACAGAAGTTCCTCCTCGATTTCTCCGTCACTTGGCGCTTTTCTCCCTGCTTCGCTGATCCCTGGTTCCTCAACTAGCTCGGCCCGGCATAGTTGAAAGGAAAGTGGAGTTCCTCTTACCTCGAACGTCTCGACTGGATCCTTTCTCCGCATTCTTTCGTAACGCTGGCGTCGATGGCGCTCGTGTCTGTTTATCCGCCGCACGAGTCGCGTGCGCGAGGTTCAGGAAGGTCAATACCTATTCCACGACTAGCTTCCGCCGTTCGATCTCGTCGTCCCGTCAATCTCGATCGTCCGCCTGATCCGGTCGCAGCCGCTCCGCTGTTATCGGATGACGCGATCGAGCCAGTTCCGTCGTTGTAGCGAACGAGTAGTGCCTTCTTGCACGGTGCCTTTTCGTCTCAGGCTGCCAGACAGCCACTCGGAAGCGAGCGAGAGAGCACAGGGCTGTAGCCGGCCATTTGTGAACCGCCGTTTTCTCCCTAAAGCCCGATGGAGCCTCTTGGAGCGTAGAGCCGCAGCAACGTGAGCACGAGGTGACGGCTCTGTGTAGTGCGTTCAGGCAACGCGTCGTGCGATCCAGGCGACGGCTCTGAGCGCTAGCAAGGCGTTGAGCACTGCGATGAGCAGGCAGCATCAGTACGAGCAGCAGCGGCAGCATGCGCGCGAGGAGGCGGCGATGGAGAACCTGATGGTGGCGGGAAGCCGCACCAAGAAGGAGCTGTCCGTGTCCGCGTCCATCGTCATCGACGACGTGCGATCCTTGCGATGCCTTCACCCATTGTCATTGATGCCGTGCTGTTCATTACCCTGAAGCGATGTTATTTCAACACCCATTGGCACTGTTGCAGTGTCATCTCAACTCAACATCCACCCACTCGTGCGATCTTCATGTCTGCATCTCTCCCGTCCTCCCCTCTGCGATCCTCTTCTTCCCGCTTCTCCCGACCGCAGGACGTCGCAGGGCCATCCGAGTCGCACGGGCAGCTGCCGTGCGCCATCTGTCAGCAGGCGATAGGCGTGGACGCGGAGGGGCGGGAGTTCGTGCCGTGCGAGTGCGCGTACCGCATCTGCCGCCCGTGCTACGAGTACATCCGCGCGCAGGAAGGCAACCGCTGCCCGCAGTGCCTCGCCAAGTACCGCCGCCTGCCCGGTAAGCTGTTGTGATGTGTAAGCCCACCCCCCACATCCGCTATCACAATGATGGCCGCCCGCGGGTGAGCCATGCGTCCCAGCCGTGTGCCCTCTCCCTGCCTCAGTCTTTCCTCTGCGACTTCTGGCCCGTTCAGTTGCTGGTCGTCTCACATGCCATCTGTCTCTGTGTGTCTGCGCGGTTGTGGCGTGGCAGGGAGCCCCCCTGTGGACGACGACCCGCCAGAGGAGGTAATTCGGCACCTCGAGGAGTCCATTCTCGACGGCCCTGCCACTGCTCTCCCCGCTGCCACCGCCCTCGCGCCCTCCGCCCTGCCGCTCTTCTCGTCCGCGCCTCAGCTGGCGCTGGAAGGGCCTGCGTCATCGCCCCCGTCCTCATCCGTCTCATCTGCGTCACCAGCAGCTGCTACCCCACTGGACCTCCCCTCTGCTGCGCCACACCCTGCTGCCGCAGCGGCTGCCAGTAGCAGCCATCCGGGCACGCCAGGCGCTCATGCCAGTGGCAGTAGCACGGCCAGTGGCAAGCACGCAAGTGCCACGGCTGCTGGCAGCAACGGGGTGGGCGAGCAGGGCAGTCCGGCGAGCGTCGTTGCTGCCGGCGGGGCAAGTCCAGGTGGCAGTGGCGACGAGAGCGCTTCCTCCGCCAGTGCGGGCAGCCCCTCCAGCTACGGCTATGGCAGCATTGTCTGGTTCACCCCCCGTAGACAGTGGTCCGCCTTGGCGCCTTCTGGGGCAGGTGCACCTGGGGAAGGCGCCTCTGCTGCTGCTGCTGGCGCCCCTGAGGGTGTGCCTTCCACGGCCATTGTCCCTGTGCGCGATGCTAACGCCTCTGCTGGTGCACCAGGGGCCGGTGGCGGAGAGGGCGGGCATGGTGTGGTGCCTATTGACGGTGCCCCTGCTGATGGCTCACCATTTATGTAAGCGCCGCACTGCATCGGTTTCTATCCTCTCGCACTGCGCAGCCTGATCTGATCGCATGCTGAGGGTTTGCCACGGGCACAGCCCGCGGCTTTTGAGTTGTGTTCTCTTTCCATGCCATTGCTGCAATGCCACTCACCCATCCTTATCTGCTGCTGACCTGGCCCCTTTTGTCTGCTCGCATCCCTTTGCAGAGTGGACGACACACGCCGCCCCTTGTCTCGCAAGGTGCCTGTGCCTTCCAGCATGCTCAACCCCTACAGGTGGGTCGGATGGGTGTACAAACCAGTCGCTGTCATGCTCCTCCATACCTTGCTCTTTCCATGTTGTCCTCTCTATGTGCCCTTTCCCTCCCTTGTGCATCCCGGCCTGCCGGGGACGAATGAATAAGTGTGTTCACGTTTCCTTGTATCTGCTCGTGTTCTCCTTGTTATCCTCTAACTCCGCTCGCCCCACATCCCTGCCTGTGCGTGCAGGTTCGCGGTGGTGGTGCGGTTTGTGGTGATGATTCTCTTCTTCAAGTTCCGCATCACCAACCCCAACAACTCCGCCTTCCTGCTCTGGCTCGCCTCCGTCGTCTGCGAGATCTGGTGAGAGTGCCCTGTTGCACCATGGTATCGGCCTTGGCTCGCTGTGTCTCCCACAGTCTGTAGTTCGTCCCCTTCGTTCTTTCCTGGTTTCACAATGGTTTCCTCTCACCCAATCATTCTTCGTTTGTCCTGCTGTTTTCACCTGACGCCAGGTTTGGAATCTCCTGGATATTCGATCAGATGCCCAAGTGGTCGCCCATCACCAGAGAGACCTTCCTCAACCGCCTCTCCCTCAGGTGCCACTCTGTTAATCATCCCTCCGCCTTTACCACCAGTGCCACACTACTCTAGAAAGTGCGCTTCTTCTCCGATGCTGTCAGGTGGATACAACAGATCTACCACGAAAACGAACCTCACCTCTCTGTGCATGTGTGCTTGTGCACCTAAACGCACTGCTTCCCCTTTTCCCCCAGGTACTAGCAGCAGGGCCGCCCATGTGAGCGACCGCAAGTGGGCGTGTCTGTGTCTATTACTGACCCCCTTGGTGCCCCCCTCCCCTCCCCTCCCCTCCCCTCCCCTCCATTCCCCCCCCTGCCCTTTTCTTCCATCAGGTACGAGCAAGAGGGCCGTCCATGCGAGCTGCCTCAAGTGGACGTGTTTGTGTCGACGGCTGACCCGCTCAAGGAGCCGCCCCTCGTGACGGCTAACGTCATTCTCTCCGTGCTCGCTGCTGACTACCCCGTCGACAAGTAAGCTACCACCACGGAGACTAGTGAAATTCTCATGTGGTCAATAGGACTCTTGACACGCCAGAGCCCGCTGCAAGAGCCTGCTGCAGAGCCTGCTGCAAGGAAGAGGCAGTGAGATGCATGTCAGGGGGCAGGAGGAAGCAGAACCGTGTGTGGCTGAGTCCTGAAGCCTCCCATGAGGTGCGTGACTCGCCTCTCTGCTTGTCCCTTCCTGAGCATCTCAAAAAGCAACTTCATCAGATCCGTCTTCCCCTCCCGTCCTTCCAACATCTTCCGCCCCTCCCCATCCTCCAGAGTCGCATGTTATCTGTTGGACAGCGGTGCATCCATGCTGACCATTGGGGCATTCATGGAAACTGCTAACTTCAGCCGCCTGTGGTGCCCTGCTGCCGCAATTGACCCCCTCTCGTTCCACTCTCCCCCCTCTCTCGTTCCACTCTCCCTCCTCTCTCGTTCCACTCTCCCCCCTCTCTCGTTCCACTCTTCCCCCTCTCCAGGGTCGCATGCTACCTATCAGACGACGGTGCGTCCATGCTGACCTTTGAGGCGCTCATGGAAACGGCCAACTTCAGCCGCCTGTGGGTGCCCTTCTGCCGCAAGCACGCCATCGAGCCGCGCGCACCCGAGATGTACTTCGCTGGGGGCGTTGACTACCTGCTGGGCAAAGTCAACGCAGACTTCGTCAAGGAGAGGCGACGGATGAAGGTGAGAGGGGCACGTTGAAGGTGAGAGGGGCACGTTGAAGGTGAGAGGGGCACGTTGAAGGTGAGAGGGGCACGTTGAAGGTGAGAGGGGCACGTTGAAGGTGAGAGGGGCACGTTGAAGGTGAGAGGGGCACGTTGAAGGTGAGAGGGGCACGTTGAAGGTGAGAGGGGCACGTTGAAGGTGAGAGGGGCACGTTGAAGGTGAGAGGGGCACGTTGAAGGTGAGAGGGGCACGTTGAAGGTGAGAGGGGCACGTTGAAGGTGAGAGGGGCACGTTGAAGGTGAGAGGGGCACGTTGAAGGTGAGAGGAGATGGATAGGACGGTTGAAGGTGGGACAGAGAATACGGGAGGAGCGAAGCCGGCTGAGGGGGAGAAGGGTAAAGATCAGGAGGATGTGAGCTCCTGGGCAAGGCTAAAGACCAGTTTAATGTGTGAGCTAGTGGTGACTGCATCCACCCTGACTCAACCCCTCACGCCCTGTCCTCCTGCCCTCCTCCCCCCCCTATTTACTGTGTATGTGCGCACATCAGCGCAAGTACGTCATGCTCAAGGATGAACGCGCTGGTGGTCACTCCACTCTCGATCTACTCCCCCCCTCACACCCTGCCGTCTCCCCATCCTCCTCCCCCCCCCCGCCCCCTTCCTCCCCTCATCAGCGCGAGTACGACGAGTTCAAGGTGCGCATGAACGCGCTCGTGGTGAAGGCGCAGGACAGCCCGCGGGAGGGTTGGACCATGCCAGATGGCACCGCGTGGCCGGGCAATGACAGGACCGACCACGTGGGCATGATCCAGGTGCGGTGCAGTGCGGTGCCTGGGGCAGTCATGTATTGTAGACTGCTTGCAGCAAAGAGGAGTAGGGTCCGTTTCTCATTACTCATGTGCTCTCGCAGCCCCCTTCTCCTGTCTTGTTCACCCTACCAGGTGTTTCCGCACCCCAAGTGGCATGTGCTGTGTGGTGAAGTTATTGCATCACCCTTTCCCCCCCACCCTCTATCACCCCACCAGGTGTTTCTGCAGCCCAACGGAGAGACCAAGGACGTCAATGGCGACCCCCTTCCATACCTGGTAGGTTTCTATTCCACACACCCACTGCTGCCACTACCCTGCCCTTGTCTTCCCGCTGTTGCATCTCGCTCTGCTCGCCCCTCTGTCTCACCCCTCCAACGCCCACTGCACCACGCCTGCTGCCTCGCTGCCCTGCTGCCCGCCTCAGGTGTACGTGTCGCGTGAGAAGCGCCCCAACTACGACCACAACAAGAAGGCCGGCGCCATGAACGCCATGGTGAGCGTGGCTTGTGATGCTCGGATTTGTCGGCATGCATTTTTTATGGCGAGGCAATCAGCCCGTGCCTTGCCTGGCATTGTCCTTCTGCATGGCTCTCATCTTGGCAGCATCGGCTCCTTGCCACCCCACCCATGCAGATGCGTGCGTCTGCCCTGCTGACCAACGCGCCCTTCATTCTGAACCTGGACTGCGACCACTACGTCAACAACTCCTGCGCCATCCGCGAGGTCAGCCACCCTTTACATGGGCACTTTAGCCATGCTTCCTCCTACCGAGCCTCATGTTGTCCATACCTCCTCATGCCACACCTTGTGTGTGTTCTCTATGCACCCTTCTTCCCCCCCGCCCCTATCCTCCCCCCCCAGGCCATCTGTTTCCTGGCGGACCCCCTGAAGGGCGGGCGCGTGTGCTTTGTGCAGTTCCCCCAGCGCTTTGACGGCGTGGACAAGAACGACCGCTACGCCAACCACAACACCGTCTTCTACGATGTGAGATTCATTCTATATGGTATCATATGATATGATCTCAGGTGTGCCATGAGATCCAATCGTTCACTACGTGACTCGTGCGCATCACATCGCATCGCATCACCCTGCTTCTCTTCGCAGGCAAACTACCCACCCATGCCACCACCACCACTATTTCGTGCAGGTGAACATGAAGGGGTTGGACGGGCAGCAGGGGCCCATGTATGTCGGCACCGGATGCGTCTTCAGACGCCAGGTGTGTGCTTCAGATGCGAGTCAATGCTGTCTGCAATTCCCAGTCTGCATCTCTTTTTACCACCATGATTCCTTCCCTAAGTGCGCATGCTCCATAACCCATCCCCCTCCATCCCTTTCCTTCTTTCTCCCCCCCCCTTCCCCGCCCCTCTTCCCTGCTAACTTCTCCCCACAGGCGCTGTATGGCTTTGACCCGCCCTCCAAGATGCCCACCAAGCGCCGCACCTGCTGCTCTCTCTGCCCTGCCTGGCTCTCCGGCCGCCCCTCCCCCGTGCGCCTGCCCTCCCGCCTCGCCGCAGGGAGGGCGGCGGGGGGAACACAGCAGGGGGAGCTGGGGGACGATGGGGCAGGCGCGTTCTCCTATGGGGGGAGGGTGAAGCGCAGGTGGTTCAGGCGAGGGGGGGGGAGGCGGGAGGAGGCAGGGGAGCAGCAGGGGGTGGCGATGATGGGGATGGAGGAAGGGAGGGGGGGGCGTGTGGGGGAGCATGGGGGGGAGGGGAGCGTGGGAAGTGGGGGGGAGAGGGGGTGGGAGGAGGGGGAGGAGGCAGCGCTGCTACCGACAAGGTGGCATGTGAAGCGGTTTGGGCTGTGCCACAACTTCATCATGACCGTCTTTGACGGCGTGGGGGGCTCCATGGTGCGCGCCTGGTAGAACGCTGGCTTTCTTCATTCACCCTGGCCTTCTTGCTCCCATCTTCGAGGCCAGTGTGTTCTAACGGGTGCTTTATCGTGCTGGCACGTGCTACCTTATTGGGGTGTTGGGCCCTACCATGCTGACATGCACTGCCATGCATGTGTGGTGTGATGGCAGGCCACGGAGGACCCCCATGAGGTGCTCAGTGACGTCATCCTGGTCATATCCTGTGGCTACGAGGACAACACCGAGTGGGGCACCAGCGTGAGTCGCTGCTTTCTCTTCTCCGTCATTGCCGCCCTTCTCCCATCCTTTCTGCACTCTTCCTGACGTTCCGCCTTCACTTCCTATGCCTGTTCTCAACTGTCGCCTCCTGCTGCCCTCACAACCGCCCATCCCATGTCATCACACCAGTGCGGGTGGGTGTACGGCAGTGTGACGGAGGACATCGTCACGGGCTACAAGATGCACACGCGCGGGTGGCGCTCCGTCTACTGCATGCCGCCACGCCCCGCCTTCAAGGTGAGTGGGCGTTATTGCTTCTTGGTACATCTTGTGTGCTCGCTTCTGTATGTGTTCGTGTCACTGTGTCTCTGTGTCCATGTCTCCATGTCTCTCATCTCCTCCCCCAACCCCTCTCCGCCTAGGGTTCGGCGCCAATAAACATGACGGACCGGCTAGCTCAGGTGCTGCGGTGGGCGACGGGGTCGGTGGAGATCTTCTTCTCGCAGCACAACCCCGTGTGGGCCGACTGCTGCTCCCACCTCAAACTCACCCAGCGCATCGCGTGAGCCCTCCCTCGGCCCCCTCCCTTGTCCTCATCTTTTCCTGCTCCCCTCCTGTCACCTCCCCCCCTTCCCCACCCAACCTCTTGTCCTCAATGTGCACGACCCTTTAGCTGTTCTTAGTCTGTGGCGAGCGTCGTCTGTCCCCCCTGGCAGGTACATGAACACGGCGCTGTACCCGTTCACGTCGCTGGCCCTCACCGTCTACTGCTTCCTGCCTGCTATCAGCCTCTTCTCCGGCCAGTTCATCGTGCCCAACGTGAGTGTGCGGGGGTTTAGGATGACGCAATGCAAGTACGCCAGTGTTTTCTGTTTTTTTATTATCTGCCACACATACATTGAACGTGTTACCGCTATCACAAGCCCTGCATACCCCCACCTTCATCTTCCCCCCCCCCCCCCCCCCTCCCTGCCTGTCCACGTTGTCCCCCCTGTGCTTACCAGATTGACAACTGGGCGGTGCTCTACTTCCTCGCGCTCTTCCTCTCCATCTTCGCCACCGCCCTCCTAGAAATCCGCTGGAGTGGTGAGTCCTGCCCTCACACCACTGCCATGCTCACGTGCATGCACATGCGACTCACTCTTCACACCCAAGCCACATTCACACACACTCATCTACCCAGAATTGCACTTGTGCCCATAACCCGTTCATGAGTCTCCACCTCTCTAAGCTTGGCACCCCAAGGCTAGTCTTGCTACAGTCACCTCTGCCATTTCTTTCATCTTGCCTCTTCGTTCCCCGGTCTTTGAGCCACCAGGCGTGTCGCTGGAGGAGTGGTGGCGCAACGAGCAGTTCTGGGTCATTGGAGGCACATCTGCGCACTTTGCTGCTGTGATGCAGGTAATGCGGTGCTGTGGGATGTGTAAAGGTGCTCCTGGGTGTGATTCCGAGTAGGTCACAGCGTGGTGATGCAGAGCGATATAATCATCAGCCAACCATGCATCATGACCTTTTCTTGGACTATATGTCTTAACCCTGAGCATCCGTGGTGCTTAACGCTTCTCCGACTCTCGTGCTGCCTGTCTTGGCTCTGTGTGCTCCCGTACTCTCCTGCCATGTGTTGGCCATGGCTGACGGACCCTCCTGTGCCTGTCAAGATTGCTAAGCTCTTGCAGGTAACCCTCCTCAATCCGCAACCACCTTCAAGCTTCTGAAGCTCCCCCCTCCCCTCTTCTCACGTGCCTCCCACCCTCCCCGCTCCCATGGCTGCCACCTGCGCAGGGGCTGCTGAAGGTGGTGGCGGGCGTGGAGGTGCACTTCACACTCACCTCCAAGGCCTCGCAGGACATGGAGGATGAGTTGGCGGAGCTCTACACCGTCCGGGTGAGCTGGAACAGCTACCTTAGAAGCTCAGGCTTGCATTTCTCAGATTGCTTTGCCATCCTTAGTCATCTATGTAACGAAATCACTCTCTGCTCCACCGCTTTTCTCTCCCCCCCCCCCCGCCCTTGTGCAGTGGACATGGTTGTTCCTGATTCCCCTGACCATCATCATTGTGAATGCATTCGCCATTTTGGCCGGTGTGGCGCACGCCATCAACAACTGGCAATCCACCGACTCCACCGTCAGTGGCTATGGCCACCCCATCAAGGCCCCCACATCCAATGCGGACCAGATTGGTAAGCTGTGATTTCTATGAGGTTGCCGCTCATGCTTGCGCCAACTTGATCTCTGTTCCTAATTTGTACTGTGGCTGGCTTCCCATCTTCAGGTCAACTTGTCGGCCAAGTGTTCTTTTCTGTCTGGGTTCTTCTGCATCTATATCCTTTCACAAAGGTGAGACCCATAAAACGGTTCAGTCATGTATGAAAGATGAAAACACCAAGCACTTTTCGACATGCACCCGATTACATATACTGTTACTAATTCGTGTTTTATGTGGCAGGGTTTGATGGGTCGTAGCAACCGCATGCCAACGCTTGTCATCGTCTGGGCTATGCTTTTGGCAATTGTTCTGTCCCTCCTATGGGCTCGTATCTCAATGAATTAGTTTACTGAAAGGCAATTTAGGAGAATGCATGTGGTTCTATATTTTAGATTTGAGTTCTAATTGTACATCCCGAGTTGTCGTATTGGTCGTTCAAGTGTCCTTTTGTCGTCGAGTACCATTTCCATTATTGCTGAGATTTCTACCAGTCCAAACATTTGCTGTGATGAACCGAGCTTACATTTGCTGAAATTTCTACCGAGCCCAAGCATTCCCGTTCTCTGTGTCGCGAACGGCAACGGAAACTCTCATTCCAGTCAGACCTTTGGCGAAAAAGCGCTGCCAACCAATCACAAACGTTGTCCTCCCCACCTTTTCGCGGCTCCTTTCCCGCTGGTCCACATTTCCCCTTCCACCTCCAAACACCGAATCGCACGCGCCCAATTTCCTCAAATTCCACTCCCAGCTTGCGCTCTCCCCTCCTCCCCACCTCCAGTCAACTCAGCACCTTGGAGGGCATCACCCTAGATGAGGCTGCACCACATCCCTTCTCCCTTACCATTCGTTCGCTTCACTCCCTCACCCACCACCATTATCAGCCGAACGACTCGCAAAAGCATCACACAGAGCGCCAGTTAGGGTAAAAGTTGCAGTGAAGGATTAGCATTGACGCAGGAATCCCGCAGTGTCTCTAGTATCGGCAGAGAAAGTCGCCTGACGTGATTGGTGATTAGAGCGTCCTTTCTAGTTAGCACAGCAAAACTTTCCGCGGTTCCTTTGGAGTCGGCAGCGAAGTAAAGAAGCAGGGGTTCCTTCTGATCGTCAGCGCCTCTCGGTCGGTCCGCCATGGACGCTCGTCGCGTGTGCGCGAACGTGGCGGCCTTGGCGCTCGTGCTGCTCGTCGCCACGCCCGAACTGCTCTCCGACTCGGGCTTTCAGACCACCAGCACCGTCCCCTACCGCCGCGAGCTCAGGTGAGACGAAGAAACCTTACAGATTGAAAATGCGGAATAAGATGCACGCGTAGCGAGGCGTTAGATCGTACTCTTTATCTCATATGGTTCAGAATCTCAAGTTCCTCTGTTTTCTACGCCTCCCGATGCCAACCACCCTCCACTCGCGCCCGCCATGCAGGAAACCGCACGGGCCGCTACAGTACAACGCGCGCGAGACGATTCAGCTGCTGCAGGAAGCCGCGTCCCTCGTCACCCGCGCCGCGCACTTACTGCGCGCCGATGCGTCCCTCCTCGCACCCTCCTTCTGGCTGCGCCCCGTCACCGCCGCCACAGTCAGCCCGCCAGTGGGGGACGCGCGAGCGGGAGAGGTGCGCGGGGGGCGCAAGTACTACGTGAACCTAGTGCAGACGGCGCGCGCGCTGCAGAACGCGGTGGTGCTGCTGCGGCAGAAGCAGCGGCGGCTGGTGATGGGGCAGATCAACAACGCCATGGCCGCCATCGACGGCGTCAAGGTCGTGCTCGTGCCCGCCGACGACCGCCGCGTGCTGGAGCATCTCAACGTCGCACGGCGATTCGCAGACCACGCGAAGCTGTCGTTCATGGGGCAGGAGCAGCGCGATTGAGTCGCAGGATGGTCGCACGAGTGGGGTCGCGCACAGTACGGCAAGGAAGAGTAGCATGGACAGGGACACGCTAGAGACAGGGACAAGCTAGAGGGCGGGACACGCTTTGTGTCTAAGGAGACGTTTGTCCAGCAACCATTCTAGCATTCTAGATTTGTTGCAACTGTTCCATGGCTTGGCAACCGGGATAGCTGGTTCACCTAACACTGACTCCATTTATTACAACAAAGCACATGGTGCTCGTAGCGAGCTTATTGTAGCGCTTGGCACTAATTAGCAATTACTTCTCTACTCAGGAGATGAATACGAGAGGCTATCCTCAAAGCAGCTTGAAGCCAGCATGAAGGAAGGAAGGCATGGCGCTCATTGCTCCATGCACTCACGCCCTCTGGGCTGCCAGCCATGGGAGAAAGCGGTGCTGCAGACTCGTCTGACTCGCCCTGTGACCTCACTCGTCACTGCCCATGGATGCTCCACTGCCTGCCCATGCTTCACCGCCTCCTGCTGCTGGTGTGCATGCTGGCGAGGCGCGTGAGTCGCCGCTTGTGGTCCCTCTGCTGCACCTCCTGCACTATCTCCACATCCGTGGGGGCCAGATGCCTGGCACGGGTGGGGAGGGGGGGAGGGGGAGAACGCACGGGTGAAGGGAGGCGAGACACAAGGGGATGGAGTGAGGTGGAGCTTGACCAGCGAGCAACGCAGTCATTCAGGCCAAGTACCTCCGAGAGCTCGTGCCATAACTGGATCTTATCTAATGCTCCGTACCGTGTGATGGTTAAAGCAGCGAAGGTGGGGAGCAGCGCGCCAACGGTGGCGACGAGCACGATGAGGTAGTAGCTTGGGCGCAGCAGCAGCATGGGCGCCATGCCGTGGAAGGAAGAGACCCACGTGGGAGGCAGGTAGCTCACCACGGCCAGGAACACAAACCACAGCACGATCGAGCCCCACACGCACACATGGTGGATCACCGTCCAGTACTGGCGGGGGGAGGGCGGGACAAGAGGGATATTAGCTTGCACAGAATGCTTTCGGGAGCCATGGAGCCATGAAGCCACGGAGCAAACAGCATGACCAGGTAGGTGCTGTAATGATCACACTTGAATCACTGGTGTGGTCGCTGGCAGCCAGCTCCAGGTTGACGGTGAGCACGAGCGCGGTGAAGAGGGTGGAGCCCCGCGCCGTCAGGTCCAGCATGCTCCTCACAAGACCACGCTGGCCTCACACCCAAGTACGCTGGCCTCACACCCAGGCACACTCAGCCAACTGACCTGAATGGTGGCAGCTAGCTCGAGGTTGACGGTGAGCACGAGCGCAGTGAAGAGGATGGAGCCCTGCGCCGTCAGGTCCAGCACGCGCCCGTCAGTCCCCGAGGCGGAGAGCAGCAGCGGCAGGAAGGAGAGTGCGAAGAGGATGGCCGCCTGCACCATGCCCTTGCCCATGGCCACCCCGATGGCCCCCGGGGTGAAGAGACGGTTGTGCTGGCTCTGGTGGTGTGGGAGCGGAGAGAGGAAAGTGGGAGTGGGGAACAAAGAATGCAAGCGAGTGAGCAATGGAGGGGCTTGGAGAGCTCGAGGTGTGGATCGGGGGGAAACGAGGGAGGGAGAAGGGAAGATCCAACCCTCTACAGTCGTCCCAGCGAAGGGAGAGGGATCCAGGCGGCACAATGGCCGGGGGGAGCAAGGGCACAAAGAGGCATGATCTCATCTCGGCATAAAGCCTTGGGTACCGGATGTAGTAGACGGCCTTCACGTCCTGGTGGAACAACGCTTGATGAGACCCACCCTTCACAGCACACCTCACAGAACTGCAGTGCGCCAGTACTCAGCTCACCTCGGCGTAGAGCCTTGGGTATCGGATGTGGTAGACGGCCTTCACGTCCTGGTCGAACGCCCCCACGGCCGCCACGGGCAGCGCGGAGAAGAGCACCTGGAAGAGCGCCAGCAGCCAGTCAAAGTACACCGGGCTGCCCGAAAACATCGCCAGTGCGTTGAAGAAAAATATGGTGAAGGCGAAGTTGTGGCACTTATATAAGAAGTATTTTATCATGTAAGTGATCCGCCGGTAGCTCCACGCCCCGTGCACCAGCAGAAGGCGCTCCACAAACCGGAACTGACCAATGGCGAAATCAGCTGCCATCACCGCCTGCTGCCCCTCCTCCCCGGCTATCCCCACCCCGATATGTGCCTTCTGTATCATGCCCACGTCGTTGGCCCCATCGCCTATCCCCAGCGTTATCATGCCGCCCTCCGTCCCCACCATCTCGGTGACCTGCGCCTTCTGCTTGGGCGACACGCGGCAGCAGATGACGGACGCACAGGCCAGCGCTGCCTGGAGGAAGTCGGAGCGCAGGGCGGCGGTGGCGAGCACGTGCGAGAGCGCCTTGCCGTCGATTACGATGGCGTGCGGTGCGGCGAGGGGCGTGTGCGGCGCCATGGCTGCTGCTTTGGCGGAGAGAATCTGCGAGTGGATGGCCCTCACTGCGAACTGATGGAGGGGGGGTGTGCGAAGAGGGAAGAGGTGAGTCCTCGACATGCAGCACATAAATCTCATCTGGCTCATACCCAATACCATCTCACCTCTGCAGCATCATTACCAGCAGCAGCAGCGCCGGCCACCATCCCCTCGATGTCGTCTAAGAACGCCGAGTCTGCTGCATACCCGGCCATGCCCCACACACCGTACTCCCATGCACTCCCATCCCGATTCCATGCCCACTCACCTCTGCCACGTCAGCACCCGCAGCAGCAGCGTCAGCCTCCATCCTCTCGTTGTCCTCCAGAAACACCACATGCTGCTGCATGCCCGGCCGCAGCAGCCGGCACGCGAATCCGATGTTGACAGCTGTCTCGAGCTTGTCGCCCGTGAGCACCCACAGGCGGATGCCCGCCGCCGCCATGGCCTCGATGGCCTGCGGCACGCCCACCTGGACGAGTTAAGGGATGGGAGGAGGTGGCGAAAGGGGTGTGAGGGGGGCTAGGTTGGGGTTGAGGCGGTCGCAACCAGCGGAGCAGCTGGGGCCATGGAAGCAGCTGGGGTGAGGTGAACCCTCACACGCTCATGCCACGCTCATGCACCTTCCTGTGCTGCAGACATCAAGGGCAGCGTGCACCCGCCCACCTGCAGCTTGTCCTCGATGGCGGTCGCCCCCAGCAGGATGAGCCCCCTCTCCATCTCGTCCGCCAGCCGCTCCAGCTGCTCCGCCTGCGCTGCTGCGTCCGCCACCTCGCCCTTGGCCGCCTCCCACCGCGCCTGCCAGCTAGCGTACTCCTCCTCCCCGATCTCCCGCCACGCGATGGCCAGGGTGCGCAGGCCCGCCTCGGCGTACGTGCGCATGTGCTGCTCCGTGATTGGCCGGTGCCGCTGCGCCTCCTCGCTGCCGCCCAGGCGGTCCATGACTATGTTGTCCGCGCCCTTGCACAAGAGGACAAGGTTGCCGTCCGGCGTGCGCACCACCACACTCATGCGCTTCCTGCCATGGGGGGTGGGAGGCGATGGAGGGGGCAGAGGCAAGGGGATGACAGGGAGGGATGAAGCCACGGCAGAGGCACGGTACCTGAGGTGTCTAAGTGGCCCATCCCACGTAGTGATGCACATGATCCGAAGCCACATGAGTCGTGCAAACCCCATGCTGTGACGTTTTCACTTTTTCATGCACCATGCCCAGCACTTTACCTGTGGCTGGTGAACTCGAGTGTGTTGAGCAGCGTGTACCGCCTCTCCCCCGCCACGGCCCACCCCTCGCCGTACTCCACCACGCTCACGTCGCGCCCCTGCCGCCCCGCGAACAGCATGCCCATGCGCTTGCCCGCCACCACGAACGCCGCCTCGTCCGGCGACTCCGCCAGGAAGCGCACCGACTCGGGGTCGATCTCCCCCATGGGGGGGCTCGCCAGCACTTGCCTCCCCTGCTGCCCCCCTCCTTGCTCCTGCTCCTGCCCCTCTGCAGGCTGCCTGCCGCTCTCGAACGACGGCGCTGGCGTGGCCTGGGACGCCGTTCGGAAGGAGCGGAAGGAGTGGAGGGAGTCGGTGCTGCGCCCGTCCGCGGTGTGGTAGCTGCGCATGCTGCCGCCCACGCTCGTGATGCCGCCGTCGTCGCGTGCTAGCGCCTCCTGGTAGTCGTCCTCGTCGCCGCTGCTGCTGTCGCCGTCGCCGATGTGCACCACCGGGCCCGCCTCCCATCCCTCTCCCGCACCACCCCCCATGGTAGCGCCACCAGTAGTCGCACTCGTAGCGCCGCCCTCCTTCCCTACACCTCCCCCGTCGGCCGCATCGCATGTGTCCGCCACCACCGTATGGCACACCGATAGCACCTCCAGGAACCGCCGGATCTCCCCTGCTGTCGGCTGCGACCGCCACTTCAATTCATCCAGCCTGGGGTCCTTCATGTTGTACCCCTTTTCCAGGGGCTTTAGAGGGGTGTATACCCCCTCCTCCCCCTCCACCTCCTCATCCTCGTCTGGGATTGGCTGGCCGGCTCGCTCTGCTGCCGCCTTCTCTACCTCAGTCACGCCCGTGCCGTACGCTATCCCCGCTATAGAGCACTTGAAGAAATCCATCTGGTTGCGAGTCAACGTGCCAGTTTTATCCGACAATACTGTGTGCACCATACCAAGCTCCTCGTTAAGGTTAGAGGTGCGGGCAGTAGCGGGGATATCCTTTTCCTCGTAGTACATATGCAGGTCGAACGCTATCGCCGCAGCCTGCACTAACTTCACGAGCTCCATAGTCACATACAGCGATATAGGCACGAAGTAGCCGTACAGCACGAGCGCCGTGAAGAACTGCGTCAGCGCCGCCAGCGCGGGGTTTTCCCAGTCGAACATCGCCTTCGCCACGCCCGCCGTCCCGGTGTAATCGCCGGGTCGCAGGTACCACTGCTGCGGCATGTAGCGGCCGAGATACACGCCGAACATCACGGACGACAACGTCGCAAGGCCCACCAGCACCACCAGCTCGAACATGATCACGAAATCCAGCCGCCTTTCCACGAAGCTGCGCTTGGACGGTGGGTCGGTGGCGTTCATCATGATCTTGGTCTCGCGGCCCGTGTACACCACCATCCCCACCGCCCACCGCGTGTTGCGCAGCCGCGATCCGCGCAGGAGAATGTTCGCCGGAGTGATGAAAATCGGCGCTGCGTCACCGGGATTTTCCGCAGAGTCTTCCGACCCGATGCTACTAGTAGCACTCCGCCCGCTAAGAGCGCCCTCGGTGCTGGTTCTGAGCAGCATTTTCCCCGTGAAGGTGTAGATGGACGCGTTCGGGTGCTCGCACTCGACGCGTCCGCGCACGCGCGCCAGCTCCGCCACGTCCATCGCGTGCGTCTCGTAGACCGCGCTGCGCATCTTGAGGTTCGTCTCGCCGTCCAGATTCATCGTCTCCACGTAGCACGTGCCGCCCTCGCCGCTCGCCGCCACGCAGATGATGTCGGCCGGAAGAAACGCGTCGTGCGGCACGCGGATCAGCTCCCCCACGCGCAAGTCGCGCCACCGCCGCGTCGCCTCCGTACCGTCCGGCCGTATGACCGTTACTTTGCGCTTATTCGTCTCGTAGTCCGATCGCCCTCGCTTTACATCCTCCCAGAGCTCCTTGGCCATGGCGAGCCCCACGACGAAGACGAGTGGCGGCACCGTGGCGAGCGGACTCACCGGGGAGAGCGGCGTGAGCGAGATGCACGCGTGGAAGAGGAAGTAGAGGTTGGCGACGCGGCGGAACTGCTCGAAGAGGCCGCGCGGCAGGAAGGTGTACCACATGTACTTGGTGGTGCGGATGCGGTTGCTGCTGAACCCGAACTCGTCGTTGCCCTCGGGCTCGTTCACGAACAGCACGCGGCTGGGTCCCGGGTCCTTTTTCCCCCACAGATCGCGCAGCCAGTCTCTAAACTGCCCCATTTTCGAAGCTCGATACCAGAGCTAGTATTTGATACAGGCGGATGCACGTGCTAAACGATGGAGTCAGGAGTATGTTGCTTACAGGATGAAACAGCGGGCCTAAGGAACGAAGATCGACAACGGGGAGGAGCCGAGGGCGAGACTAGCGTGAGATGTAGGAAGCCATGGTTCAATCGAAAGCATCAGCGAATGAGCGCTCTGGTGCCGTGAAGGTGAATCTGTCCCTTCCCTTCCCCAACACGGCGCGAAGTGTTGGAAGCGCGTGAATGAGGGAAAGGCGAAGAGGGTGCACAAAACCCGCAGAGGCAATAATTGTGGTGTACGTGTGCGCTGCGGAACCCGTTCGGATGCGTACCAATAATCGCTAAGTTGGGTGAGGAAGGCAGGTTTCGGGTTCGAGAGGGATTTGTGAAGAGTGGTCTGTTGCCCGTACTTGCCGTGACTGATGGTGGTACAGCACACTACTGTATATCCTTGCCCGAGTCAAATGGGTCAAGGGAGAGATGCTCCCCCCGTTATTTGTGTTGCATTGGATACGGCGAGCATGATTGAATCCCTAGAATATGAATAACGATGAGCCAAAACCTTAGCAAATACAAGATTGATCTATTATATGTAGCATTTTATAACCTTAGCTACAGCATGTATAAGGTCAAACAGCTGAGGTGCATTGTCTCACTAAACGAGACTCTTCCCACGGCCAAAAGTGAAACCACGGGTGCCATCAGGCACACGAGGTCCACTGGGCGCCACAGCCCCAATAACAGGGCCATTAGTGGTTGGGTTATTGGCTGCAGTGGAATAAGGTAGGTAGAGCTCCAGTGTGCGAACCACCCCTCCTGGAGCACCAATAGCAACCGTAGTGCTCATCTTCCCACCAGCCTTCCCAGCCTTCTTCCCATCCAATCCACGGCCATGTCCCACTGAAGTCTGCGGCTGCTCCAGCTTCCTCCTCACCCAATCATCCGCCTCCGCCGAACCTCCTGCCTTGCTTTTCTTGGTTCCATTGCGGTCAGCACTGCGAGCAGCGGGCTTGGCCTCACCGTCCTTGACCTGCTTGCCCTTGCTGCTGCGCCGAGCAGGGCGTCCCGTGTTGCCGTCCTGTGCCTCCAGGAAGTGCGGGTGGTGGTACACCCCTGCAGCAGCGACGGTAGCAGCAGAAGGTGACGCGGCAGTAAGCATGGGGGCGGAATCGCCCTGATCCAGCGCGGAAATGGGAGGGGAAAGCCTGGCGGGCGGGGAAGCATCGGGGGAGAAGAACTCGTCCAGGGGGGAGCCGATGGTGAACTGCACGTTCTGGCCTGCATCGGAGGAGCCGGAGCCAATGGTGGGTTCGGGGGAGGTGTTAATGGGCGGAGGGGTCGCGGAGTTAGTAAGGGCGGTGAAGTAAGGGGCGGCTTTCGGAGAGGCGATTGGGGAGGGCATGAGGGGGAACACGTCTGGGAGGATGACGTCGGCGGGCAATGCGGGGAAGTCCGCGGCATCAGCCGCTGCGAAAACGGGTTTTGCGGCGGTAGAGGAGGCGGCGGTAGATTTCGGAGTGGGGGGCGCGCGGAGGGCCGCCGTGACAGCAGCGACAGTTGCGGCGGGTGGCGCAGCGGCGGAATCGTCGACGGGACGGGGCGCGGTAGCGGCAGCAGCGGCAGCACGAGGTGAGTCCTTGCGCCAGTCCTTGGTGCGGCCGCTGAGAATGTCGTCCACTATCGCCTGCACGCCCCTCGGCGCTGCCGCACCCGCGCCTCGCGGCTTAGGGGAATCAACGGCGGACAGGGGGCGGCGACGGGAGGGGCCGGCAGAGGAGCTAGCAGCGGCGGCTGTCAGCACGGGGAGCGGAAGGACAAGCGGGGCACAATCGGCGGCATCTGCCACGTCCTGTTCACCCGCAGCAGCAGCGGCATCGCTAGCAGGCAGCACGTTAGCCCATGACACGACGGGGATAGTATCATCGGCGGGGGGAGCAGCGCACGTGTCGAGAATTGAGCCGACGAATGTGGGCTTGGGCGCGGGCTGGATGTTCAGAAGCAGAGAAACTACAGCCGGCGAAATAGCTGATGCGGCGGCTGTAGCGGGCCTGCGGCTGAGCTGGCTGCGGTAGGGGCGATCGGGGTCAGACGCGGGAAGAGCGGGGGATTGCGGGGTCGGTGCTTGCGGGGAGGAAAAGCTGGCGGAATCGGCGGCGGACGCGAATTTTGACGCGGCGGATGCGGCGTTAGTGGCAGCAGGGGATGGGGCGGGCGGGTTCTTCAAGGGGCGGAGGAGATGCGCGATGAGGTTGTCGGAGAGCGGGGCGTGCTTCGCGCCCGCTGCCCGCGCCTGCGACAGAATGACTCGCGATGCCATGGCGGTTCAACGAACATATGCCACGGGAGAATGGGAATTTACAGATGGAGCTGATAGCGGCGAAAACGCGTGAAAATCGGCGAATCGACTGCTGCGGTGATGCGCTTGTCTTGCTAGGTGGGGCAGTAGCAGGAGGGGCAACAGGGAGCCAAGTGCACGCGAGGAGCGAGCTGGGTTTGGCTGCGCAGCAGATGGAGGGGGGGATGGAGGGCGAAGGCAACACAAGCTGACGGAAACGACGATGAACGTAAGAATAGAGCGGGGTGGAGCTAAGAACGAAGATCTTGGAAGCACCACGCGCAACCAACCAACCACCTCTGCTTTTGGGCAAGGCTGGGGGTGGGGCGGGGGGGGGGGAGGGGAGGTGTATCGAGGACCAGCAGCACTGCTGGCGGATCATGGTTGATTTGAGAGGGATGAGTGGCGGTGCGGGCAAGTCGCATAAATTCGGGCTGGCGACGAGAACGAGTAAATGGACGGCGATGAGGCACGCAAATACTCGTCAAGCTGTTCACGACGGAGTGCATCGACGGCTTTCCCTGCCATGCTGGTTTGTGCGAAAACCGTGTGACGCTGACTGGCTCGTGAGTGGTGCATTGCTGGAAAATGCGGTGCGATGGCAACGACAGCACTGCGTGGGCTCATCTCCCTGGTCCTTGCTGTCAAGGAAATCGTCCACCCCTGGTCAGATCGACGGCGCCGATTCCAGCATTTGAACATCCAACGAAGACCGTTCAGCCGAAACGAAAGCCCACAAGAGAAACCCCTCGGACTGCACCAACCACGACACGAGCAAGACATCCTCTCATGAACAGTCAACAGCAACACCACACCTGGTCGTTTCGGTAATTCTAGCACACGCACGATATAGGGAAAGTACATCCACGCTCAGTATTAGGGTCCCCGCTATTACGTACGGTCAGTGGAACGCTATAGACCATCATTATTAGTGAGTTCGTCACACGGCTAGTCAGTTGGATTCCACGGCTAGTCAGTGACTGCTGGTAAACATTCCTACAAATGGTCAGTAGACGTAACCCCCGCCCATTTTGGGCAGATTTCCCGCTCGCAGCAGCCCAACAACCATACAACTGTAATAATTGTGGGGGCAAGATTTTTTTCGCGCCAATGTACCGTGGAACCCGACTGACTAGCCGTGTGACGAACTCACTAATTTTGATGGTTCATAGTGTTCCACTGACCGTACGTAATAGCGGGGACCTTAATACTGAGCGCGGATGTACTTTCCCCATGATATATAACATGGAGTAAGACTTGCTAGATTTGTTACTTGCTAAATTCGTCACATACTTACCCATCAGCATGATGAAGTCATACAATCATAATTGATAAATCAGGATTTAGAAATATAGGGAAACTAAAATAACTTCTAAGAATTCAAGCTATTGTGCCACAACCACGAGTGAACAGTTGAAAAGGGCTCTATGGGTGATAAATCCCATCGAATATTTATAAATCTAAGCTTGAAGATATCCACCCCATTCTTGCCTTTCTAGTTAAATATATTAAGCTTTTCACTTTCACGTTTTATTGTTTGATGTAAAGTGTGTGCTTCACTTCATGCGTTACACTTCATCCTAGCTGTAAGGAATTGCGATTCCTTAATGGGGTTCGCTTCAGCGAGTATACGCAAACCCTTCGGGTCCACAGGCTCGGCCCTCGGTTCTTGCGCCAAACCAGCTCCCGCCGACCTATTTGGTCCCCAATATGACCCCGAGTTGCCCCGAACCCATTTCGCCCCCGTCACCCTTGGGACTCTCACCCCTTGATGAGTCCAACCCTCGATATTCAACCCTGGTCAATCGCCCTATATATTCCCTAGGCCTCATTTGTATCTTCATTATGAAATCACGTCCCTCTAATTGAATACTGTGCTATTCTCTGTGTTATAATTCATAACAGCTGGTATTGGAGCTACGTTCCTGCCCATCAGGTTTTCGAGAGCGGTGCAGATCCTATCGGGGAAGGAGGTGGAAGCATGCTGATGGCAAGCGGGCGACGCGGAGATTAATTACGTGGGCATTTCTGATGCCGTCGGATCCTGTCCGATGGACGGCTGGGATTAGTCGATCCTCACATTCCCCGATCACGGGCGGAATTATTTTGTGTCCTCGTGTGGCGACATTTTCGCCGTGTTTTTTGGGTTTGTTCACTAGTGTTTTTATTTTCAGGAGGTGCTAACAGAATTTTATGATTGGTTGCCGGAAAAAACGAGTCGTCATGAGGCGACAAGTGCACAGGTGGCTGGTAGTTGGTTATCAGCAGGCCCTGAGATTGCAAGCTTTTCACCATGATTTAGGGTAAAATCAGGGCTTTTTCTAGGGTTGACCCTGATGGGACAATTTTTTTTCAAATACAACATGAAATTTTACGGTTTTTTATGAGTGAACTCTGAACCCTTAGCTTTGCTAGTGTAGTGTGCCCTGTTCGTCCAGCCTACTGCCCGACCAACCGTGATTTGGGAAATAGCATATTCCGAGCCCCCACACCCCACCCGTGTTTTTCGAGATTCTCCCTCACCCTCCCGGTCTATCACGCCGATTTGACTGTGACCAACCATTTTCTTACCCTGCTAGAAGCACGCGTTTTGAATGTAACCCTGCGCGAAAATTTTCAGGGACCCTGATCAATCAGCATAAAATGTTATGAGAGGACAGAAAAATCAAGGAACCAAAGGGGGGGGGGACCCTGAGCTATCGGTGCCCCTAAATGAATCTGAGGCCCCAGTCGTCAGGAGCACGCGGAGTGACGACAATGGCGGGACATACGACGAAGTATGACTGCGCGCCATGAAGCTGCAAGGTGAACTGTCGCTGTGTTGTGGGTACCGCGTTTCCTGCAGGCTAGGTGCGGGCGATGGTCGGGACTTCAAACACTGTTTTGGCAATCGGCGGATCCGACAATTTCAATCGACACGATCGCATGAGGCACGTGTGGATTTGCAATTGTGTGGGAGCAGCTGGGATTAAAAGCCGACCTGCATGTTGCACATAATGAATGGAACTGCCAAGTAGCGCGGAGGGCAATGGCAAAACTGTAAACGAATGAATACCAATAAAATGAAAGACAATACCATATATAGGAAACCTAGGCTAATCTTAACCGCGTGATGCACATGTTCGGAGAAAGCATTCGAGGACGCGGAACACTTTGGAACGACGCGAAAAGGTTCGGTGTAGCACGTACGGTGACGGAACTAGGGCCTAGTCCGGCGACGTGTACGTTCAGTGTACCCACTAGCTGTGCGCCTCAGTAAAGAATTACTAATTCCTTACATTGCAACACCCTTTTTTTCAAGGTGTTGCATTTTGAGGACCTGTAACCGAGAAACTATTGTCAGGCTGCCAAGAGTTCGTGATGAGTTCTTGCCTGGCAGGGTTGTGAGCCTCCCAGAACTTGGCAGTATTGCACAACTGCCAAGTTCCGAGAGAAGGACGTGGATTGTCACAGGATCGAATGTGTCGAGGAAAAGTTGCACTATCGATTGATACAAGGCGCTTTTATACTTCCGAAGTACATCAGGTAACTAGGTTTATCCTATCCAAAGGGAATAGACCCTTCTAGAAATAGAATCACCCTGCGTATAGCCACGCGAGGCTATTGGTTTTAAGAGATTACGGCAGGATTACGCTAGATATAGCACGCTAGTACATCCCGAGCCTGGTTGGTGATATAATTATAATAATAGGATAAACAAAAGGATAATAAGAAAAGAGGAATAGGAAACCAAATGGGATGTGATAAAGATCAAAGAAACCAGGATAAAAAGAAGAATGAGATGGAGGAAAAAGATGAGAAGGAGAAAGAAGTGTAACGGGATCGTACTCTTACACTTCCCCCTGCTTGACAAGGTAGTCGCGAAGAGAACGACGAGCGTTACCCATCTCGGATTCAGGAACCCGACTATCCTAAGAAGGATCATAACACTTCCAACGAATGAGAAGCTCCACGGTGCCATTCCGACGACGGTGGTGTGCGAGCACAGACTCGACCTCGTACTCGGGTTCATCGTGGACGAGGACGGGCGGTGACGGCGGGGGTTGGCGTCCGGTGAAGACCGTGTTAGGATCTCAATATGGCTTCAGAAGCTGGACATGGAAGGCGTTATGAATCTTCCAAGTAGCTGGCAGGCGTAAGCGGAAGGTACATGCAATAGAGGTGACATGTGCTTCGACGAGAAAGGGCGCGCAGAAGCGAGGTCGTAGTTTGGATGGGAGATGACTGATGTCGAGATTGCGGGTGTCGAGTAGAACTTGGTCTCCCACAGTGATAGTATGGTCAGTGCGATGGCGATCGGCCTGGCGCTTCTGTTGTTGCTGAATGTCGAGGAGGCGCTTGTGGGTCCGATCCCAAAGCTGATGCATGGTCCTGATGAAGTCGTGTGCAGGTTGGACTGTGGCTGATACCGTCGGTTTTTGTGGCATGAGCGGATGGAGTTCGTAACAGAGGAAGAACGACGTCTGTCTAGTAGCGACGTGAGTGACGTTTTTGTAGGCAAACTCCAGGACGGGCAGATGCAAGTCCCATTTAGAGAGTTCGTCATTGCATGCTGCGCGAAGGAGTTGCTCTACAATTTGGTTTAGGCGCTCGGTCTGTCCATCTATCTGCGGATGGTAGGCGGATGACATGGCGAGTTTTGTCCCAAGCAGAGACATCAGTTCCTTCCAGAACTTGCTGGTGAACTTGGGGTTTCGGTCGGAGATGAGTGAGGTTGAAATGCCATGTTGTGAGATGATATAGCAAACGAATAGTTGTGCTGTCTCTTCGGTGCGTGCTGTCGTGTGTGTCGGGATGAGGTGTCACATTTTGGAGAATTTGTCGATGACGACGAGGTTTGCGTCGTGACCGCTTGTGGTAGTTGGTAACCCGGTTATGAAATCCAGGCTAACCACTTGCCATGGTTGTTCTGGGACAGAAAGAGGCTGTAGCAGTTCTGCCTCTTTCTGCTTGCTGCTCTTCATCCGCTGACATGTAACACACTAGGTGACGAATTTCTGGACGTCATCTGCCATATGGGGCCAGTACTAGTGCTTTGCAATACCGGTGAGCGTTTTATTGCTACCGAAGTGTCCCGCGTATAGGACATTGTGGTATTCTTTGGGTAGATAACATCTCCACGTCTTGAAGGCGATGATAATTGCAAGGGCCTCCTTGTCGTGTATCCGGTAGTTTTGTTCTGCCCCGTGTAGTTTCTTGCTGAGGTAGGTGATTGGTTGCAGTCCATTCCCCTGGTCTTGCATCAAGACTGCTCCCACTGCCTGGTCACTAGCGTCAGTTTCGATGACGTAGTCGCGTTCGGGGTCTGGCAAGATGACTACGGGTGCGGACGTGCGTGCTTGTTTCAGCTGCTCCACGGCTTCCTGATGTTTTGGTTCCCACTTATAGGGCGTGTTCTTCTTCAGCAGTTTCGTGGGTGGTGTTGCGATTTTTGCGTATTGTGGCACGAACCTGTTGTTTTAGTTAGTGAAGCCTAGGAAATGCTGCAACTCCTTCACGTTGTCGGGTGTCTTCCACGTGCGTACGGCTTCGATCTTCTTGGGGTCGACGTGAACTCCTTGAGCGCTCACCTTGTGTCATAGGAATTGGACTTTCTCGAGGGCGAATTCGCATTGGATAACTTGACGTAGAATTGTTCTCGTCGAACAATGTCGAAGACGCGTCGTAGGTGTTGGACGTGCTGCTGCATGTCGCGCGAGTACGTGAGGATGTCGTCCAGGTACACCACCACGCATTCGTCCAAGAGTGGGGGTAGAATATGGTTTATTTCGGCTTGGAAAGTTTCTCCCTCTGGATCATGAGCTTTCTTGACGACTGCGTGTGTCGTTGATGTCGAATTTGCTGAGCTGGATGCATCCGAATGAGGAGTTCGGGGTTTTTGCAGCTTCTTGTAGACCCCCAGCTTCCTCTTGATTTGCTTTAGCTCCACCAACGTCTTCCCTGGGGAATGGGTAGTCGTTGTGGGCTGGTATCGGAAGAGGGCGTTGACTCCGTGGAAATGTCGGCTTCTTTCCACACTCCTTAATTTTGTCCCCAAGTTTTCCGGAACCGGTGTGATCTACACAAGTTTTTGCTTTTTTTCTGGAGTCCCTCTTGAAATTTCTCCAAGGCTCTAGCCTCTCGAGAATCATAAGTTTTCATTAAAGCATTTTTCGGAGTTTCCCCAACATGACCCCGAGTCGCCCCAACCCCATTTCGCACCCGTCACCCTCGGAACTCATTTCAACCCCCCTCAATCGCTCTATATACCTGATGTCCAGTCAATCGCTGATTCATTACCGTAATCACCCGGATAGACGCCCTTAGGGGCGTATAATAGGACTGGTTTGAAAACGTGGGGGGGCGTTTAATTGAATAAAAAATATACGCCCATGGGCGTTGAAAAAGGTATATAAGCAAAATTGATTTTTCTACATCAAATTGTAACTTTTGCTTTGTTTCATGCGATGGGATCATTTCTATGGAAGATTCTCAAGTCCACCAGGCTGAAAGTCCAGTCGGCAATGTGCCAGGCTGGAAGCAGGTGGCTCTGACGCGAATCCTGCTGGCGCGAAGTGCCGAAGGACGCAAATTGCGCTTCTGGCTGGCACAGAGCGAAAATTCTCGCTATTACCCGAACTCGTTCCTTCCGTTTTGCACAGTTTTTACGAAATATTAGAGGGGCGTATAGGGTACACACTTTCGAAAAGTAAGGGGGGCGTTTAATCAAATAATAGCTATAAGGCCCAAAGCACGAGATAAAGCCCATGGGACTTATCCTGCGGATGGGCGTCTATCCAGGTGATTACGATAGATGCTACGTATTCTTTTACAGTCCCATCAATCTTAACGCACGGAAAACGGAGCAATTGACACAAGCCCAAAGATTTGCAGCAGTTACCACGTCGGATACGAAGACCTCCAAACGCGCAGACGTGACGTTCTCATTACCTTAGTTGCACGAGGAATGCAAAACAAACAACAATGGTCAGCCGCTTTAGACTGGAAAATGCCAACGAGGTAACCAGACTACCCTATATGGGGCCAACTCGCCCGTGAAAGTTAAGTGGTCGACTTTGGAGCACCCGCTAAAAAAATAAAACTAGGCCTGAAAAGGAATTCATGTGTATATTCCCTAGGTCTCATTTGTAATCATGTTCCCCTTATTGAATACTGCGCTATTCTCTGAGTTATACACATGACGTCCAGTGGAACCGCCCATTCGTCAGAGGCCCCCATGCACTCGTCAGTCCGACTGCCACGGATATGCAGGCAACGCCCCGTCATGGACTGGCCCAATTTTGGGCGGCTCAACCACTTGCGACACTGTTGGGAGCGAACATGCAGAAGGAACAATTGTAGGTTGACTCGGAACCAGGGTGCGATTATGCGACAGTTACCGGGGTACACGGGAGAAACAACGCATGTCTTCCATGTTTCAATGGGTCCTGCCAAACGGGTAACCAAGGTCCTACTTTCAGGCCCAATTTGCCAGCGATTTGAAAGCGCCCGTTACTGGAGTAACCGGCCAAAAAAACCCTGGGCCTCTTTCAGACCTCTGGTGTAATTCATAACAATAGCCGAGCTGCCACACGACCAGGACACGGCCAACCAGTTTGCGTCAATGAGTGACGACAAGTCCGCACTTCGGAGCAGCAAAGGTGACGACAGAGGCTCACGTTGGGCAATCTGGCATGTTGTGAGGAAATCAACGCCAGCTGTGGCAGATGGGCCAATTGGTCCGTCCATGAATCAGGGGACTCTACAGGCCTCCACGATGATCCCTTTTCCCACCACTTACAACCGACACCATCTTCACCACATCGAGTTCTGATTGAAGCGCACTGTATCTCACAAAAACTCTAACTTTCCCTAGTCAAGAGGAGGACGGTTTGGACTAACCAGAGAGCAGCAGAGCAACAGCTGTAGGGCAGGCAGACACCCACCTGGGCTGCTCCCTGCCCTGTGACCCCCTATCTCCTCCCCACCACCCCAGCCTCACATCGCATCTCATCCGCCACTCGTCCTTCCTATCCCACCCCCCACTTTTCAAGATCACGCCGAAATGTTTTCACCTCCTCCCCAAACAAGTGTGAAGGCACTCTCTTTTCTCAAGTGGTTCGTATTTGCTCTCCCCTGCATTGTGGTCGTCATCGTCTCGAGGCGTAGTTCTCCCATCTTGGCCTTGCAAACACGTACTAGACAGTAAAACGGTTCGAGCCTCGAGCCAACGCGCTCACCCTTTTCATCGAGCAAGCGTCAACGCACAGCGACGCAAGCTAGGGGGCGGCTGTTGGATGGCGTCGGCGGCGAGTGGCGTGACTCGGCTGTTAAGCAGGAGTCTAGCTTGGGCGGCATTGGCTGTCCTCATCAGCACGTTCGAATCCGGCGGGGCCGCCACGCGACTGCTGTTCGCTCAACCTCTGGCTGGTGGAGGAGGTTCCGACAGCGTCCGTAAATATAGCACTCAGAATATTAGCGATCATGCGTTGAAAGGTGCGTCAGACGCGGCGTTAGATCAGGCGGCAGAGGCGGCGGTGAGGGCGGCGTCAGCGGCCGCGGAAGTTGCGGAAAAATCGGCCGGCGGTTTCTGCCCGCGAGATGACGTGGCGTGCTCGCCGGCTGTCGCCGGGGTTCCAGGCGCAAGCGGTGGCGGGCAGGACGCGAAGGTGGCGGCTCGGATCGACGCCGCCATCAGCGGCAGCGGCGGCGCGGTAAACGCGCAATTCGATGGCGGAAACAGCAGCAGCGGCAGCGGCGGTGGCAGCAGCAGCGAGGGGGAGGTAGCGCGGCGGGTGAGCGAGCGGCTGATGGCTTTAATCGCCGAGGGGCGCGACAAGCTGGAAGGCGACAGGCTTGAGGAGGCCGTGGCGTCTTATAACGAGGTGCGAGGCCGTGGCGAATTATAACGATGTATGAATGCAGCGAGCGAACGGATCTTGACGCCTTCTTTCATGAGCCCCCATTCAACGCTCCCCCTCCTCCTGCACCCGCCATGCTACCCACCTCCTCTCCTCACCCATCCCCCCCTCCCTCCCCTCCCCTCCCCCACATCTCCCCCCTCCCCCCTCCCCCCTTTTCGCTGCAGGCGGAGCGGCTGCTGCGCCGGCTGTACGAGCGGCTGCTGCACGGGCGGGGAGTGGCGAAGGCGCTACTGCACCGCCACGACGGGGCCGTGGCGGACTTCGAGGAGGTGAGCACGGCGGCAGTCTCGTGGGCTTACAACCCTAAACCGAGAGCTCCACAGTCCTACCACGCATGTCGCATGTCGCGGCACGGTGCCGCATCCTCCTTTTCGTTCCTCTCACACCCGCTACTGTCTCACCCTCTATTGACACATCCTCTACTGTCACACCGTCTATTGTCGCCCCCCCGCTCCCCCCAGGCTTTGAGCGCGAACCCGGGCAGCGCGGAGCTGTGGGGGGAGGTGGGCGTGGAGCGCGGGGCGCTGGGGCAGCACGACCGCGCGTACGAGGCGTTCAACCTCGCGGCGGAGCTGGACCCGGGCAACGCGGACACGCGCAAGCAGCGAGGTGCGTGCGACGTCCTTTTGACGCGACTGAAGGAATGCGACGCGTTCAGCGGTGCCATGGAGCTCGGCAACGCGGAGACCAGGATGCAGCGAGGAGGGGGGGAAGGGGGGGGGGGGGGGGGGGTTGGAAGGGCGTGCGCGCCGCTGTCATGAATCATGAGCCGCCGAGAGTCACGAGTCGAGAGTCACGAGTCGAGAGTCATGTGCCGTGTCGTGTGCCTCTACCACCCACGGGTCTCTCAATTCCCCCAGTCCTCTTCCCGGCATTGTGTGTGCTGCACGTGCACCCTCCTTGCAACCGCGTGTCCCTGCAGGCATGAGCGCGTTCAAGAGCTACCGCTTCAAGCAATCGCTCACCGACCTGCTGCCCGCGCTGCACATGGAGCCAAACAACGCCGACCTCAACCGCGACGTGGTGAGGCTCGCAGCGGCGCCGAATGACTCTTGTGCTGGTCTTGAGAATTCTCAAAGCCAACTCTGCACTCCCACGCACCTCACCCCAGCTGGTGTCCACCGCGGCCCAGCTGGTGTCCACAGCGAGGTGACAGTATCGTCACGTCGCCCAGGAGAGCAGCAGGCCTCGTCTGCCTGAACCGCGGATTCTCTCCTCTCCATTCACCATCGTCCCTCGAGCCTGCCTTGACAGCGCTCATTTGCGCCTCCCCCACATGCCACCTCCTCTCAACAGTCGCTCCCCCCTCCCCCTTCCCATGCTCCCATCCTCCCACTTGCAGGGCCTGGCGTTTGTGCGGTCCAACCAGTTCCGGCAGGCGCAGCCGTACCTAGCCAAGGCGGTGCAGCTGCTGCCGGGGGACGCGGAGGTGGTGAAGGAGAAGGGGCGGCTGCACCGCCTGCTGGGGGAGACGGACGAGGCGGAGCGAGACCTGCTGCGCTCGCTGCAGATCCAACAGTCAGTGCTGCTCCTTGCGCTCCTCCCTCCCTCCCTCCTGTGCTCGTCCTCTCTCTCCTGGCCTCTACGCCTGTCGCTCGCTTGGTCTCCTCGCCGCGTTTTGTGCGTTGTGGCTTCCTGCTTCCCTCTCATGGCCTCTCTTTCTTGCCCCAGCCCGCTACCGCTACCGCTACCGCATGCATTACCCCCCACGACAGGCCTGTAGCCCTCCCGCACTCAACTGCGGGACGATCCAAGTGCCCCACCAACACTCTTCTCTTCTGCCCTCCCTCTCTCTCCCATCCCTCGCTCCATCACGCGCTGTCCCAATCCGTGCGCCTGTGACCCCCCGTGCAGGATGCTGGAGACGCATCACAACCTCGTGCTGCAGAAGCGCCTGCTGGGCGACCACTGGTGAGCACTCAGCATCCTGCTGAGCCTGTGGACCGTGTATTAAGTGCATACCTTGTTGGCCCTGTACTCGTCCAATGTCTGCCATGCCCTCTCCACCCACCCCCCTCTCCACAACCCCCCCACATCCTCCTCACAACACCCCCCCCTTTCCCCTTTCCGAAGCTGCCAACCCACGTATCCTCGCCAAAAACCATTTCTTTCTAACGCCCCCGTTCCCCCCCCTTCCCAACCCCCCCCGTGCCCTCAACGCCCTACTCCATGCCTTGCCGTGCCTCCGTGCAGGGCCAGTATCCGCATGGCGGAGGTGGGGCTGGAGGCGTTCCCAGGCAACATGGAGCTGCTGCACGCACACGCATCCAGCTACCACGTGCTGGGGGACCATGCCACCGCGGTGAGCGCTGTGTGCAGTGCAGCTGGATGCGTGACTTGCATGCTAGCAACAGGGGCCCACACCAGCTGCTTCCGTTCACCCCATGCCCTGCAAATGCCTTCTCCCATGTGTCTCCCTGTGACTCCATGAGACTCCCTGTGCCTCCCTGTGCCTCCCTGTGCCTCCCTGTGCCTCCCTATGCCTCCCTGTGCCTCCCTGTGCCTCCCTGTGCCTCCCTGTGCCTCCCTGTGCCTCCCTGTGCCTCCCTGTGACTCCCTGTGCCTCCCTGTGCCTCCCTGTGCCTCCCTGTGCCTCCCTGTGCCTCCCTGTGCCTCCCTGTGCCTCCCTGTGACTCCCTGTGCCTCCCATTCCCCCTCTCTCCGCCCCTCGTGATGTGTCTGTACGACCGAATGCTAGCCGTGCAACCCAGCAGCATTGACCAACACTCGTACTGCACGTGGGTGTTCTCCCACCGCCTCCTCTTCCTACGCGCCTCACTGTGCCTCCCTTTCCCCGCATTCCCCCCCTCTCCCCCCCTCTCCCCCCCTCTCCCCCCTCTCCCCCCTCTCCCCCCCTCAGATGAGCCTATACGACCAAATGCTAGCCATGGACGCCAAGCCAGGCGGCGACGCGTCGTACTGTGCGCGCGTGTTCTTCCAGCGCCATGTGCTCGCCTACACCGTCTCCAAGCTCGACCAGCCGTTTGACGCCTTCCGCCTCGACGACGACCTCGAGGAGGACATGCGGGTGAGGCAGGACTGCTCTCTCCTCATGTGCCTTCTTCCACCAGTTTCCTCCTCCTCTCCTCGCCTCTCCTGTGGTTGTTTCTCCCCTCCACACGCACCATGCCTCACCTCACCCTCCTTTCCTCGGTGCTCTGAGCCCCTCAGCGCCACCGCCACCCCGATGGCCCACCCCAATCCATCCGCCCAATTGCACCCCTTTTCTCAATGCGCCCCTGCCTCCCCCCTCTCTCACCGGGCGCAGAGCAAGTGGGCCACGGGAGGGCGGCCTGAGGCCGTCAAGGACTATGCCCCGCTGGCCGTCCCCACGCACCAGTTGCATGCTGCCACGTGGAAGCGCCTGCCACGGCTGTCCGGGGATGCTCTGGAGCTGGTGGCAGCGGCTGACGTGGTGGGTGGGCGCACGCACTACGACACCGATGGCATGCTCAGGAATACCCAGCAGGTGCGACATGGCATGGCATGGCATGGGATGGCATGGGATGGCATGGCATGGCATGGCATGGGATGGGATGGGATGGCATGGCATGGCATGGCATGGCATGGGATGGCATGGCATGGCATGGCATGGGATGGCATGGCATGGGATGGCATGGGATGGCATGGCGTGGCATGGGATGGGATGGGATGGCATGGCATGGCATGAGATGGGATGGTGGAGACGCTATGGTTGGCGTAGGCATGAGGAATCCGATGGCATGCTGGTCAACACGCTGCAGGTGGGCCTGGCATGATGCGTGCACTGACATGCCATGCCCTTCTCCTCGCCACTGTGCCCATTCACACTCCCCTCCTTTCCTTCTCTGTGTCCGTCCGTCCCGCCCCGCAGATCCGCATGGCGGGGCTGGCAGCGCTGGACGTGATGCAGCGGGTGCGCGGCACGCTGGTGGCGATAGCAGACCAGATGAGAATAGCGGAGCAGCTCTTTGGGGGAGATGGGGGGGACGCGGTGTGGCGGGAGCAGCTGGCGCAGGTGCTGCAGCAGAGGCGAGGCGGGCAGCGCACGGGACGAAGCAGACGCGGCAGCAGCAGCAGCAGCACGGCAGAGAGCACTGACGAAAGCAGCACTGGCAGCGATAGCGGCAGCATGAGTGGCGACATCAGCAGCAGCAATAGCAGCAGCAGCAGCAGCAGCAGCAACGGCGCCGCCAGCAAGGGGAGGAGTGTTCTGGACAGGTCGGACCTGATGACGAGCTGGAGGGCCGTGTTCCGCGTGCTGGTGGCGTGGCGCCAGGTGTCGGAGGCCATGGAGCCCGTCGCATGGAAGGCGTTCGGCCGGGACCAGCGGTGGACCAACATAGTGTACCGCACGGACACGCCCATCTTCACCTGGGTCATGGGGACCGCTCGATACCTCGCCATCTACCCCAAGTAAGTAGTTTGCTGCCTGTGGGCGGACGCTAGACCAGCGGTGGACGGTCATAGAGTATCGCAGGGACATGCCATCTTCAGTTGTATTTTGAGTGCGTATGACTCAAAATACAACTAGAGTATCGCAGGGACACGCCATCTTCAGTTGTCTTTTGAGTGCGTATGACTCAAAATACAACTAGAGTATCGCAGGGACACGCCATCTTCAGTTGTATTTTGAGTGCGTATGACTCAAAATACAACTAGAGTATCGCAGGGACACGCCATCTTCAGTTGTATTTTGAGTGCGTATGACTCAAAATACAACTAGAGTATCGCAGGGACACGCCATCTTCAGTTGTATTTTGAGTGCGTATGACTCAAAATACAACTAGAGTATCGCAGGGACATGCCATCTTCACCTAGGATCTAGCCGTCTAACCCATGTGCGTTGCCCTCTGCAATGCACTGCCTGCTCACGTTACTCATGTTACTCACACCACCCACATGACCCACATCTCTCACATGTTGTTCCGCCAAGCAGCCTTACGGACTCTCTTCTTTCAACCACCTCCCCAATCCGCCCCTGGCCCTTTACGCCCCTTGCCTCAATGCATCCCCCACCCCCCCTTCCACGCCTCTCTCCCCTGGCAGGGCGGTGAACGTCACGCGGCAGGGCCTGCTGCAGACGGAGAGGGCGTTTGACACCGCAACGCACCAGCCGTTCGACGTGCCGCGCAGCACATTTGGCGATCAGGTGTGCCTTGATTCGCCCCCAATAGGAGCACGCAAACGCACCTGCGCCGCCAACTCTCTTCCTTCTGAGCCTTGTCATCGCCACCTGTGAGCCTTGTCACTGCCACCTGCGCACGCGCAAGCGCCTCCCTCTGACAACGCCCCCCTCTTCTCCCATCACCCCCCCCCAACAGCTAAGGGCGGCTGAGGACCACGAGGCGCTGTTCAATGTGATTGGCCGAGACTTCTATGTGCGCCTGCCGTGCTACAGCCGGGCATTCCCAGGGTCAGTCAGCACTCACTGGCCGTTTAACTCAGCGCCTGCCTCATGTGCTCTCATGCCATCCGAGGACGTGCCGCAGCATGATGGTCCACATCATCACAATTTCCTCACCTTGTGCTACTCCTTATGGGCTCACGCCGAAAATGCTCTCATCCCTCCCATCCACCTCGCACGTCCCCATGCCTGCTCCCCGTGTCATTGTTAACTCTCAACCTCTCGTGTCTGCTCCCACTCCCCACACTCCACGCTCACAATTCCTGTTGCCTGCTCCCACTCCCCACCCTCCCACCCTCCACTTGCAGCAAGGATCTGGGAGGCACAGAGTTCCGACTCAGAAAACGGTGAGGCATCTGCTTCTTTTTAGACTCATGCACCCATACATACATGCATGCCCATGCACGCATGCATAGACGCATGCCCATGCACCACGCATACAGTCAGCCCCATCACTTCTGTCTCGCTGCATACCATCATCACAACACACGAATTCAACCCGTCAACACGGTGTCACGCAGCCCATACCATATCTTCCGCTCTTCACCCGTTCCGCTTTCCTCCCCCCCAACCCCCCTTCCCCATCCCCTCCCCTCAGCCCCTTGGCGGTGGACTTCGATACAGTCACAACCATAGAGAGCCCGCGGTGGAACGCGTTTGACGCGGAGCTCACAGCGGCCTGGCAGGGCTTCATGGAAGCTTCCCTGGACCACCGCACCAAGGCCACCGACCCGCACGCTTATCGCGAGCGCATCCAGGACCACGTCCTCAGCATCGCCTACTACTGGTAGGGCTGCCTGCCTGTGCTCTAGAAATCACCACCACCACACCTTGATTAATTCCCCACTGCCCTCTTTCCAGAACCTCCTTGTGGCTTCTTGCTCCGGCCCTCTGCCTCGATGCTTCTGGATATCTGATACCATCTGCTTTCTGAATTAAGCTCTTGCTCCTTTCGCGTTCTCACCGCTTGTCTGCTCTTATACTCCCCGGGCCTCCCCTCAGGTTCCAGCTGATGCCGCTGTCGCGCGGCTCTGCCATGGTGGGGCTGCTCTCCATCCTGGGTCTGTCCCTGGCTGCTGACATGGAGACCACCGCACGCATCCCAAGGGACCTCCTGGTGAGTTGCACAAGGGATTAGTTAGCTGGGGGGGTAATGGGCTGGGGGGTAGTGAGCGGAGACACGAGGCAGACATGGCCACGGACATGGGCCAGACATGATGCTCTGTTGCCCGCTTGGGTCAGGTTGCAGCAGAGCAAGAACGACCTCAGCTTGCCTTGGCACTTGTGCCCACCGCTCCATCCCTGCCACCCTGCCGTACCTGGGAAGCCAGAATCAAAGATTCATCTGCCAGCACACTGCACTGCTCAAATTGCTCTCTCCCTTCACCTCCTCCTCCTCTCATTCACTCTCTTTGCCTTCCTTCCCCCACCTCCTGTTTTGCCCCCATCTCTCTTCCTTCCCCCACCTCCTACCTGCACTGCTTCCCGGCAGGTGGACTGGGAGGGGCTGCTAGCAACGACGTTTGAGGAGTTTAAGAGCGTGGTGGCACCATGGCTGTTTGAGAACACCAGAAGAGCGCCCTTCCACCTGCCTAGTGTGCGAGACACATTCCCCACAACGCGGCATGTGATAGCCGCTCTGAGCGATGCTGGTGGGATCCTATTGAGAGATAGTGCTTGAATGGAATGCTCTGGTTTCCTATAGTCTGTTTTTCATGCTTCCTGGAGTGTAAATAGTGAGCTAGGCCTTGCGCCACACAGCATACACACACATACAGACAACCTGTCACACACGCTTGCACCCAAACACTCCCAAACAGTGGTTATTCCAGCTGCATTGCAAACTAAATCAAGCATCACCCCATCACCTGACCTGATGGCACCTGAGCTCCTCAAGCTCTGCATTTTCTTCTTATTGGCGGCAGAATCCGCGTCTTACACCTGCTCTTCATTCCTGCCACACGCTCGCACCAGACCGGAGCATGTCTCCAGTGTTGTAGGGGCATGGCACCGCCACCCCACAAGAGAATCAGTTAGCGTGTTAGAATATCAACATTCCGAACATAAGCAGCAGCTGAATCTGATTGATCATCTATAATGTGCCGCAACCCAACCCCAGAGCCTCTGCATTCTCGCACTGCCTGGCACACCTACTTGCAACACCCCTTGAGAAATTCAACGAGCCACGTTCACCCATGGTAGAGCTGGCCGCGAATGGCGCCCTGCGGGAACGAGGGGGATGTCACGAGCGCGTAGTACGTGCGGGGAGCGGCGAGGATGGCCTTCATGAGGTCCTCCAGGGTCTTCCCCGAGGCCGTGTTGACGTTCTCCGCGTTGCGCCACACGCCCTCCATGATGTACCGGAACACCTTGGCGCGCTTCACGGGCTGCGGGGTGAGCGTGCGGTTCTTCCACGCAGTGGGGAACTCGAGCTGCGTGGCGCCGTTGGCGTTGCGCACGCCCTGGTTGACCGTCACCTTGTCGGGGAACGCCCAGTTGCCCACCTGCATCACCGCCACGGAGTAGCGCACGCTGTACGCCTCCCCGTTCCTGCGCCGAGAGGGGAGCGCGAGAGCGGAGCGCGAGAGGGGAGCGCGCCAGCCATAAACAGGGGAGCAGCGATGGCGACGTTAGCAAGGGCTTGGAGGAATGATGGAGAGTGATTGGCTGGCAACCGCGCCGCGGAGCGGTCACGGGTGCCACCAGTGGTGAATGCGAGGGTGAAGGAGCGAGGGATGATGCGAGAGCAGGCGACTCCGGGTCGCGGCGAGCCCGAGGCTTACTTGAAAAGCGCCAAGCCGATTCTGCCGGACGACTTCCGGTCGCCCGTGCTGCCCACGACCTGCCCTCCGCGCATTGTCGTCACCACGCGGCCTGAAACGAGCCAGATTAATCGTTAAAGCGAAACCAAAAGATATGTGGCGACGGAAGCTACTATGAGCACTAGCATAGACAACATTGCAGCCGCAGCGGAACAGCGGGACGAGAAGGGCGAGCGGGGACGGCCTACCAACTCACATGCCGATGGACTGTGCGTTGCAAGCACACGCTGCTACGGTAAGAAGCAGAAGGGCGAGACACGGCCTGAAAGCCATAGTTGTAAAGAGCCTCGAGGCAGGAACGGCAGTTGGAGGGGCGAATAAAAATTAGAGGGTGCTTTGAGAAACTGTCTGCTGAATGTGGGTCTCTCCGGTGCTATGTAGTGGCGACTTATTGGAGGTTCAGGGCGAGCCGTGCTTCGCTTCGCTTGGTGTGCTGGGTTTGGCTAGGCTTGCGCCCCGAACGTGGCACGACATGTCGACAACCCACCGCCATCTCATTTTGCGGCGCTCGAGGCCCGCCTGACCAGAAAAAAGGGGCACCATCGAAACCAGGAATTCTGAACAATATCGCGTAATGGGGGGTACTCTTTGCGAAATGCTTGCCGGAAATGGGGCTGGTTACCATATTATTCCGAGCATTATTGCGAAACCAGTTACCGATTCGACGTGAAAGCGCTTTCCACGGCGAAATGCAAAATACAAAATATACTCTCTACAAACTCACTACATCATGCTGCATGAATGTGTCACATCAATAAAAGAAACTATTCTAGTATGTGCCATTGTTTATGAGATGTGAAAACGTAGTTTAGTGTGACCTGAAAAAATAACTTTTATTATGAAACCGAAGGTTCCGCGCCACACCTTCATTCCGGTACAAGTTTCTAAACCAGAGATAGGATACAAAGGAAGCTTTCTAAACAGGAGCATGTTTGCATTGATGTTTTATTCAAGCCTTAGGGTAAATAACATTAGCATCACCAAAGTTTCACTTGGGTGGTTATTTTGGGGGTATGAGTGGCATCTTATCTTGTATGGTACTTGAGGAAGCATATGTCCACCCAACCCTGAGCTCACAATAAATCGCCTCTCCCTCCACCCACTTCTCTACCTCATCGTCTGTTTGAGAAGCCACCAGATTGCTCTTCCCGTGGACTGCATCGGTGGCTTGCATCTATGATTGCGTAAGACTCAGGAAACCATTGCAGGGGAATGTGATTCATGATTCGTAGCTCAATGCTGCAATCACATGGTGCGTGGTTGGTAATACATCCTCAACTCTGGCTAGGTGCCAAGGCGAGCTTTGAGTAGAAGAGAAGAGCCACGGAGCAATCGAGCCATGGAAGTCTTCAAGGCGAGAAACCAGCAAAGCCTCCCAGTCCACCTGAACGGAAGCAAGCCACGCATGGAAGTCACACGGTTCTTTCTAGTGCCTCATCTTACCAGGGCAGAAGGCTCCCCTTGTCCTGGAATACTCCAGTAGATGTGAATTTGTCCCTCCAGTTGTGCGTCCCTCTTATCTTTACTATGCACTACCAGGTGAAAGTGAACCAATCCGGTTACAACAAAGATGTTTGCTTGTGCCAAGTAGTTATCAGGCCCTATTTGCTGATGCGCGTGCCACATATCAACGTAGGCTGCAGAAACGAGATAGAAGAAAAACCCTCCATTGCCAGCACGACTGCACAAGCACCGGCCATCCTACCTGCACCCCGTGTGGGATGAGCGTTGTGGTTTCCATGTCAGCAGCCATGGAGAGGCCGAGGATGGAGACCAGCCCCGCCATGGCAGAGCCGCGGGTCAGCGGCATCAGCTGGAACCTGATGGGGAGTGGGGAGTGGGGAGGGCGGGGGGGAGAGGAGTAACGGCAGGGAGGCACTGAAGGAGTGACAGTCATGCGCCATGATGGGCGGCAGGAGTGGGAGAGCCAACCAGCAGTGAGCCAAACAGCAGTGAGTCATGTGTTGCATGCACAAGTGTAGCTACGCATGTGAAACCCTTCACAAGCAGTAGGGTACCCAAGCCACCAGCAGACATGCAGCGTCTATCCCACTGACCAGAAGTACACCAGCCACAAGCAGGCATGCACCGCCCACCCCACTGACCAGAAGTACCCCAGCCGGAGGATGGAGTGCTGAATCCTCTGGCGGTACAGACGGGGGTCCGCTGCCTCTGTCCGTGCGTCCAGCACTGCCGCACACAGGGCCTGGTGAGAGGGGGGTTGGGGACGCACGAGTGGATAGAGTAGTGAGTTAGAGACATTCATGCAACTGATCAGCAGCAGCGTACAAGCGGAATAAGCAGGGCGGGCGGGGTTGGTGTGGTAGGCTTCAAAAGCAGAGGGGTGTATTGCATGACAGTGGGAGAAATACCAAGGGAGATAAGAGAGATTTCTTACAGAAAGGGACTCACAGGCACATGCAGACACACATGCTGATGCGACATGCATGCAGTGATGTGCGCCTGCACATGCCGTACAAGTTGCGCATGCCTTCCAGAGCTACAGGTGCCATGGCACTGACCTGCCACGCGGCAGCGAGCTCGTGGTCGAAGTCGCGCCACCGCTGGGGGCTGACCGGCGTGTGCGTGTAGAAGTCAAAGGAGTGCGTGCTGGAGATGGTGCGGGCAGACAGACAGGAGAGAGACAGTGGAGAGAGAAATCAACGTGGAGTGTGGGTGAAGTCGAATGAGCGCATGCCGAGGATGGGGAGGCAGGACAGGGAGAAAAAGAGAGATATATTCCAGGGGAGGGGGGGTGAGACAAAGGACAGGGCAGTGTAGACAGGGAATGAGAGAGCGTGTATGAGGGGGGGCGTGTGGACACAGGGCACATGCTCTCCCACACCCTGAATGCGATGAGCGGCCCCTGGCAGGGGAGCGCAAGAGCAGCTACTACTCAGTGTGCGATGGCTGATGCGAGGTGGTACTGATAGAATGGGGAGAGCACGCGGCAGTGGCTTACGTCTTGAGAATTTCAAACTCTGACCCGATCAGATCCTTCCTGTACGTTGGGCGAATGAGGTGGGAGGAGGAGGAGAGGTGTCAGAGACAACAGGTTCAAAAGAGGAAGTGAAACGAGTGGCCCGCCCTCTGGAATGTGGCTTTAGCACGAATAAAAAATGATGTATTCCACAAAAGCACAGCTGCAGCAGGAAAGGTGTACCCTGGGACGGCATGGCTGTAGCAGGGAGCGCGGACGAGAAAGTCCTTCCCCACGGCCTGGTGCATGGCCTGCAGGTCAGACGCTCTGGCGATCTGAGTAAGGGTTTCGGGTTTAGGGTTTAGGGTTTAGGATGACGGGGTGAGGGGAACTCGTGAGGCAGAGAGGAGGGAGGGAGAAGGGAGGATGGTAGGGAGTAGGAGGGGAGGGGGAGATGATGAGGCGGGGAAAGAACATGAAGAAGAAGCGCATGGGTTGGCAGAAACCGAGGCAGTCTGTTGCTTGAGGAAAGCAGCACTGCAGTTGCCATGGCAGGCGCAGCTCAGCATGGCAGGCGCAGCTCAGCATGACAAGCGTAGCTCAGCATGGCAGGCGCAGCTCAGCATGGCAGGCACAGCTCAGCATGGCAGGCGCAGCTCAGCATGGCAGGCGCAGCTCAGCATGGCAGGCGCAGCTCAGCATGGCAGGCGCAATCAGCTCACGAGGTCGCCGCGTGTGCTGCGTGGCACAGCGAAGGGGCGGTATTGGCCCTGAAACGCCTGCTCCGACTCCAGCAGCGCCCCCCGCACCGCCTCAAACGACCTGCACCGTGCACACGCGCTCACAGGAAGGGCCACTTCTGAAAACGGTGCAGAATAGAATGTGGGTGAGGAGAATGTGAGAGCAGTGCATGGCGCGTGCACGCAGGGATGAGCGTAGGAGGAAGTGCGTGGGCTTGGCAGGATGAAGGGTGACACACTTATGGGCTGCTCTTGCACTCACTTGTTGAAGATGGGGTAGTACTTGAACTCACTTGTTGAAGATGGGGTAGTACTTGAACTCACTTGTTGAAGATGGGGTAGTACTTGAACTCACTTGTTGAAAATGGGGTAGTACTTGAACTCACTTGTTGAAAATGGGGTAGTACTTGAACTCACTTGTTGAAAATGGGATAATACTTGAACTCACTTGTTGAAAATGGGGTAGTACTTGAACTCACTTGTTGAAAATGGGATAATACTTGAACTCACTTGTTGAAAATGGGGTAGTACTTGACAGTCTGCAGGTCCCACACCTTGATTGGCGTGGTTGACCGGAAGCCCTGCGCAAAGCGATTTCTGGAAAGAGAAGCAGATCGTACATCCCCCCCCATGCCATGAGGCATGGCAGCATGCCATGGGGAGTTGGTCACCCATCATCCCATCACATACCCCACTCCATTGATGTGACAGATATGCATATAATCGATCAAGGAAGATGAAGAAGATACCAAACGACCAGCAGATCTCAGTGACCTAGTCCAAGGCCCTTAGCTTGGCACTAGAATGGGAGGGAGAATGCACATGTCAGGAGCGATCACAATGGGCGCCCACCTGAGTTGGTCCTTCCAGAGAACAGCATCCGTTGGATCGGCGACCTGCCTCCATCTCGTGATCACGTCATACACGTCCCTCCAACCCCCCAGCAACCCACTGCCTGCCCCCTTGCTGCCGCGGCTGCTCTTCCCCCTGCCCGTGCCCCGACTGTCACTCCCCCGTTGCCTCTGCTTGGCCCTGCTCGTCCCCTCCTCTCCTCCTCCTCCTCTTCCTCCTCCTCCTCCTCCTCCTCCATCTGCTTCACTTGTGATCGCATCACCTGCAGCTGCCGTACCGCCCTCTGCCTCCTCCTCCCCCTGCTGCTCCTCCTCCAACTGCTGCTCCTCCTCCCCCTGCTGCTCCCGTTCCATGGCATCCCACGTCGCCCTTGCCTGTGCCATAGCATGTGATGTGCACACACGGGCGACCCAGGAATAGACCAACACACAAAGGCTTGTGCTCCTGCACAATGACACAAGTTCCCTAGAGATGCACAATGTCTACTAGCCAGCTACTATTCTGGCTCGCATATAAGCAGATCTCATCTGCTACATCACTACGAGTGGTCACCACGAGTGGTAACCCTCTGATAAGATGGCGGCAGGGCGGCATTCATTGTCTCACCTGCTGCATCACATCCAGAGCGGCCAGCCCCGCCATGCGCAGCTGAGCGGCGAAAAGGAGGGGGAAGGAGTGGAAGGGAGCAGTGGAACAGAGCTTGTAAGAGTAATAAAGAGTCAATTTGACAGCAGGTAAGTGAAACTGAGTGATGGCAAGTAAGGGGAAGCCAGGGGGGATGGGGGGAAACAGAGCGCAGGAGATGAAAGCATGTTGGCGGCACATTTCTCTGGACTCCGCACTCTGCACTTTGCACTCTGGACTCTGGACTCTGGACTCTGGGCTCTGGGCTCTGGACTCTGGACTCTGGACTCTGGACTCTGGACTCTGGTCTCTAGGCCACGGTAGTGCCGGTGCACCACGGTAGTGCCCGTGACTCCGACTGGAGTGCCTCCGACCGGAGTGCTTCCGACCGGAGTGCCTCCGACCGGACTGCTTCCGACCGGAGTGCTTCCGACCGGAGTGCTTCCGACCGGAGTGCTTCCAACCGGAGTGCTTCCGACCGGAGTGCTTTCGACCGGAGTGCTTTCGACCGAACTGCTTTCGACCGAACTGCTTTCGACCGGAGTGATTTCGACCGGAGTGCTTTCGACCGGAATGCTTTCGACCGGAGTGCTTTCGACCGGAGTGCTTTCGACCGGAGTGCTTTCGACCAGAGTGCTTTCGACCGGAGTTCTTTCAACCGGAGTGCTTTCGACCGGAGTGCTTTCGACCGGAGTTCTTTCGACCGGAGTGCTTTCGACCGGAGTGCTTCCGACCGGAGTGCTTCCGTCCAGACTGCTTCCGTCCAGAGTGCTTTCGACCGGAGTGCTTCCGACCGGAGTGCTTCCGACCGGAGTGCTTCCGACCGGAGTGCTTTCGACTGGAGTGCTTCCGACCAGAGTGCTTCCGACCGGAGTGCTTTCAACCGGAGTGCTTCTGACCGGAGTGCTCGTGCACCACGGTGGGCTCCGTACTTTGGGCTCCTGACTCTGGGCTCCGTACTCTGGGCTCCGAACTCTGGGCTCCGTACTCTGGGCTCCGCACTCTGGGCTCCGCACTCTGGGCTCTGTACTCTGGGCTCCGTACTCTGGGCTCCGGACTCTGGGCTCCGTACTCTAGGCTCCATACTCTGGGCTGCGTACTCTGGGCTGCGTACTCTGGGCTGCATACTCTGGGCTCTGTACTCTGGGCTCCGTACTCTGGGCTCCATAGGCTCCGTACACTGGGCTCCGTACTCTGGGCTCCGGAATCTGGGCTATGTACTTTGGGCTCCGTACTCTGGGCTCCGTACTCTGGGCTCCGTACTCTGAGCTCCGTACTATTGGCTCCGTACACTGGGCTTCGTACTCTGGGTTCGGTGCTCTGGGCTCCGTACCCTGGGCTCCGTACCCTGGGCTCCGTACTCTGGGCTCCGTACTCTGGGCTCTGTACTCTGGGCTCCGTACCCTGGGCTCCGCACTCTGGGCTCCGTACTCTGGGCTCCGTACTCTGGGCTCCGTATTCTGGTCCCCGTACTCTGGGCTTCGTACTCGGGGCTCCGGACTCTGGGCTCTGTGCTCTGGGCTCCGTACTCTGGGCTCCGTACTCTGGTCTCCGTACTGTGGGCTCCATACTCTGGGCTCCGGAATCTAGGCTCCGTCCTCTGGGCTCCATACTCTGGGCTCCGGACTCTGGGCTCCGGACTCTGGGCTCCGTACTCTGGGCTGCGTACTCCGGGCTCCGTACTCTGGGCTCCATACACTGGGCTCTGTACTCTGGGCTCCGTACTCTGGGCTCCGTACTCTGGGCTCCGTACTCTGGACTCTGGACTCTAGACTTCGGACTCTGGATTCTGGCCTCTGGATTCTGGCCTCTGGTTTCTGGCCTCTGGCCTCTGGACTCTGGACTCTGGATTCTGGCCTCTGGATTCTGGCCTCTTGATTCTGGCCTCTGGATTCTGGCCTCTGGATTCTGGCCTCTGGATTCTGGCCTCTGGCCTCTGGATTCTGGACTCTGGCCTCTGGATTCTGGATTCTGGCGGGCATGTGTCTTTGCTACCTGCTGGCGGTTGGCCATAAAGGCATCGCAGTGGTAGTGGGCGCGCTTGCCGATCTCGTCCGCTGCTTTGATCAGATCCAACGCTTCACGGGGCAGCTTGGGCAGGGACTGCAACGTGGCGCGCTGTAATTGGTGTGCAGCGACTGAGAGGGGTCGGTAGCCTGGCAGTGTGGCTGGGGGATCCTTCTTGGTCCATGCCTCCTGGCGAGGTTGGGGGAGGTGTTTTGTGTAGGGGTTATGAAGGGCAGGTGGGCCACGAGAACAAATATGAGGTGGGGATGCAGGGGAAACAAGGAGGGGATAAAATGGGAGAGTTTTGCAATAGCAGGCGGATATCATGCCAGTGGTTGCACCCACCAAGAGCGATGCAGATTTCTGGATTTCTGGCAGATGAAGATAAGAGGTTTCTGGCAAAGGTCGCTGGGGACAGAGATGGGTGACTGGAGGGGGGAGAGAGGGAGGGCGTACTCTGAATTCTGCGGTGGAGTGTTGGTCGAAGCGGATGGCGGAGAGCGGCTGCTGCAGGTGAGACACCGTGTATGCCAGGGCCTCCCGCTGAGAGGGGAGTTGACGTCGCGGGTAGGAATAGGAACAGAGGGAGCGAGAACAATAGATGCGAGCAAGTGAGGGATTGAAACAAAAGCCCCACTCTTTGTGTTCGTTTCAGGAACCTTACTATGTACCCTGCACACCGCTTGGCTCCATTATGAAATGCGCAGCATGTGCCTGGGTGGGAAGAAAGCAATCGGCTACATCACACAGGGCATTGGCACGCAACTGGTAGAACATGGAGTGGAGGAGAGCACCTGGTAGAACATGGAGTGGAGGAGATCCTGCCCCTCCTTGTCCCTGGGCTGCAGCGCCAGCGCTGCCTGGTACTTGAGCATCTGCAGACACACCGATCAGGGGGGTGCATGCGCACATGAGACAGTAATGAGACGTCTTAGAACATGGGCTGCAGGGCCAGCGCTGCCTGGTACTTGAGCATCTGCGGACACACTGATGAGGGTGGTGCGCATGCGCAGATGAGGGGGTTGCGGGGTGCAGATGACGGCTGTGAGCTCTACCACAGCACAGAAAAGCGATAGCACACGAGCGCATGGCGAGGAGAGAGGGAACGCATGTGGTATGCTCACGGCTTGAGAGTGGTCGCCAAGGGCATGCAGGCTGCTGGCCAGGGCATGTGCCAGCTCCACGTCACCCCCGTCCAGCTCCAGCCCCTCCCGCGCATAGCGTACGGCGGCCCTGTGAGGTGGGGCATGCGCGATTCGAGACATCTCAAAACAGAGCATGCATGCTGCGGGCAAGAGCATGCGCCAGCTCCATCATCCATGTCTCCCCCATCCAGCTCCAGCCCCTCCCGCGCGCAGCATATAGCGGCTCAGTGGGGGGGATAGCAGGGGGTCGTGGGGCGAGGGGGAAGGAGAGAGGGAGAACAACAGGAGGGAAAGATGAAAGGGATGAAAAATCAAAGGAAGCAGAAAAGAAATGGAGGGTCTATACGGGCTCAACATGGGGTCTGGTACTCAACAACCCTAAGTGGAAAAACCTCCCAGAGGCAGATCCCTGGACATTTTCCAGTGAGCGCGGCGTCAGTAGACAGGTTAGCAAGTAGGAAAAAACAGTAAACCAAAGAAGTGCTTATGTAAACGTGAGTTCGGCGTAGTCGGAGCTCTTCTCTTAACAACCAATTAAACCTCGTCTCGCCCAAGCCCCATGAAGTGGAAAAACCTAACAGAGGCAAACTTCCCTGAAACTCTTCGAAGCACAAAGTAGCCCACCTGTAGTCACCCAAGAATCGGCTGACAGCAACGAGCTCCTGATAGGTCGCCACAGACCTGGGGGGTGCACGGGGCCATGGGAGGGCAAGGATGCAGGCGTGAGATGAGAGTAGCATGCGTGAATAGTCTCGGCTCCAAACCATCTACGTACATGGAACCCCCACTCACAGACTCCAGAATGGGATAGAAGTGGGATAGAAACTATGCAGTGAAAACCCAGCAGGGGTGAGGCCCAGGGGCGGTGGGCGGCGGGCGGCAGTCGGTGGGATTTCAACCCTAGATCTTTCCCTACCAAAGTTTTCTTCCATTTCCACTAGGGCACTGGGTGCATAATAAATCTTGTACCCTTGGCTATCCAAGACTTCAAGGATTTATGCCATCCTCATTGTTAGCCATTGCCGTCACTGCTGTTGTCGTTTTTGCCATCATTGGCAATGGCCGCGGTGGGTGGGGGACGGTGGGTTGTCTCATGGATGTGGCACTCACGCTTTCTCTTGCGAACGTGGCACTCATGCTCCGTAATGCCATAGATTGTGAGTGGGGGTTCCATTCCATTTGCCCTTGGCTTTACCACCGCCATTGGCACACACACGCTCACCTCTTACTGTGCTCACCTTCTAATTTGCAGCACTTAACGTTCTAATCTGCAGCGCTCAACGTCTAATCTGCAGCGCTCACTTTCTAATCTGCAGCACTCACTAGCTAATCTGCAGCACTCCCTTTCTAATCTGTAGCACTCCCTTTCTAATCTGCAGCACTCCCTTTCTAATCTGCAGCACTCCCTTTCTAATCTGCAGCACTCACTTTCTAATCTGCAGCACTCATTTTCTAATCTGCAGCACCTTCTAATTTTCAGCACTCACTTTCTTATCTGCAGCGCTCTCAGCAGCGCTTGGATGGCCTGTTCCACGTCGCCCACCTCCTTGTGCGCACGTCCCTTGGTGTGCCACAGGTCAGCATCCTGGGGGTGGCGCCTCACTCCCTCCGCAAACACCGCCAGCGACTCCCGCCACCGCCCACTGCCCCCTATGGCCAGACCCTGGGGCGAGTGGGGGGGGAACAAAAGAGAGGGAGAGGACAGAGATAGTGAGGGGAATAGAAAGCAGTGAAGGAGTTGAGGAAACAGGTCCGTGTCCTGGGGGTGGTGCAACGCACCCTCTGTAAAGGCCACCAGGGACTCCCGCCACTGCCCACTGCCTCCTATGGCTAGTCCCTGGGGCGAGGGGTTGGGAGAGGGAGGGGTGGGGGGGAGGAGAGGGGAGATATATAGAGTGATAAAGGTGCTGGAGAAACGTTCATTGCATGGGTGGTGCATAGGTGCTGGAAGGCAAGACACGCATTATTGAGGGAAGAGGCTTACAAGGCCGCGAAAGACGAAGGGCAGAGAGGGGTCGAGGTGGATGGCCTGTTGAAAGTCCTTCTCTGCTGCGAGGAAGTACTTGAGGTTGAACGAGAGGATGGCTGGCATTGGGGGGTTGGGGAGAGGGGGGTGGAGGGGGAAAAGGAAGCGAGGAAGATGTAAGGGAGGGAGGGAAGGAGGTGGAGATGGAGAGGGGAGTGACTTGGAGGACAACATAAGAGTGGGGAAGAGGGGGTGGCTGAGAGTACGTGGCAGCAAGCTCAGCTGAGTGCAATGCAGAGCAGGCATATGCTTGACCGAGCCAGTGACTTTCACCTCCACCAATGCTCACCTCGCCACCTGACAGCTTCAGCGTTGGATGGGTCCAGGTCAATGACCCGCGAATAGTCCACTATGGCCTTCATGGTGGGTAGGGGGGAGAGGACAGAGAGGGCAGAAGGGCTAGAGGCGGGGAGGGACAGCAGTAGCTGTGTCACTTCGGGTTGTCTCATGCAGCCGAGTATGGCATGATCTACTATGATAGAGAACACCATGGCAGCATGCATCGCAAGGGGAAGACGGTGCAAGAGGAGGAGAGAATGGTGCAAGGGGAAGGGGAGAATGGTGCAAGGGGAAGGGGAGAATGGTGCAAGGGGAAGGGGAGAATGGTGCAAGGGGAAGGGGCGAATGGTGCAAGGGGAAGGGGAGAATGGTGCAAGGGGAAGGGGAGAATGGTGCAAGGGGAAGGGGAGAATGGTGCAAGGGGAAGAGGGGAGCGACGCAGATGACATCGTACATCATGGCGTGTACCTCAACAGTCTTGCCCATCTTGAAGTACGTGCCGGCTCGGGCCATGAGGATGTCCGTGCGCATGGGGTATGCCGCCACAGCCTGCAACCCCAGCACAACACCAGAGGGAGTGGGAAAGGTAAATTATGGAACCCGCAACAAGACATGGAGGCAGAGGGAGACAAGAAGGCGGGAAGGAGACAGGAAAGGAGATGGACGTGGTACGGAGGACGTGTGATTCTTACTGTGGAGAGGTCAGCCAGTGCCTTGTCAAGCTGCCCCAGGGCGTTGAGGCAAGAGCCGCGACCAAGAAGCACTTGGTCCCTCAGTGAAGGAATGGAGGCCAGCTGGCAGGCAGTGATTGGAAGATCAATAGACAAGCATGGAAGGCAAGGGCGGAGTCGTTTTGGTGATTTTGAACTTATGAAAGGAGAATTGTGGATTGACAAATGAAACGGGAAGAGGGGGGAAGAGCACAGTGTGATGAACCGAAAATGTAGAAGTAGTCATAAGAAGTGCAGAGACAAGAAAATGACAGCGGATTGTGCAGCAAGGACTAGCACAGGCAGGCACGGCGCATTCCCCACCTTGTTGTAGATCGCTATAGCTTCCTTATATCGCCCTCGTGCCATCTGCCAGGAAGCAGAGAGCAGGCAATGAAGTGGCAGAAAGGGTGCGCTCGCATGACCACACAGAATCAGGGATTGTGCTTGCCCCGCACGCATGCTGTCTGTCCTCAAACTGCACGTTCCTTGCACAACCTCGTATCCCCCGTCACCTCGTATCCCCCGTCACCTCATACCCAACACTAACAGCAAAGTCAGACGGGAAGCATGCCTTATTCTAGTCAGCGGCCTTGGAAAGAGAAAGGGTTAGCCTGACCAAGTGACTATCCACCGCCCACCTCATCGTTCGCCTGCTTCACCATCTCACGCTGCTTGCTTGTCACCTCCGCTCTCCCCCCATCCTGCTGCTGCTGCTCCTTTCCAGCTTTCCCACGCCGGCCTTTGCCCTTTGCAGCATCTTCAGCCTTTGCCCCTTTGCTGCTTTCCCCCATCCTTCCCATCCCACGCTTCTTCTCCTGCTCCTCTCCCCGCTTGCTCTCTTCGCTCCCATCCCTCTGCGCCCTCGCCGCCACGCCAGGAGGCCCATCGCCGAGCAGCAGCAGGCCGCAGAGCTCGGTGCTCTCCAGCTGCCTCAGCCGCCCCACCGAGCTCTCCTCACACCGCACGCCCTCCAGTGCCCGGCTGTCCCCCCTCTCTCTTCCCCCTCGGCCTGTGAAGACACTAGTGGAAGAGTCGTTAAGTGCTGGTACTGGCGGCTGCTGCAGACGGTACAGTTTGGTTGCTGCGGTGGAAAGGGTGGGGGAAAGGACAGCAGCGGAGGGAGGGGGATGTAGTGCATGAGGGTCTTGACATAGCGTGTGTGGGGCAGCGGGTGTGGAGAAGGGCGACAGGTACGCGAGCAGAAGAGTTCTGAAAGGCAGAAGAGGGAAAGAAAAGCATTGTAGGCGGAGTCAGTGCATCGGCTGCTGAGCCTACGGCGGATCCTGGCGAGAATGCTGCTGAGCCTAAGGCGGCGGGCTCAGCAGCACCTGCACCTGCCGAAATATCAGCAGCACCTTCGTTGACTGTGTTGTTTTCGTCACCTTTTCTGATGAATGGAGCAACGCAGGCGGGCCGAATGGTCAGGGACTGATAACCGTGACGTTCACGAACAGGCTGAGCTGGCACTGACGCGATCAAACGCGCCTCCCAGTCGCACAGACAGGGACTCCTGAGGATGACGTGGCGTGACGGTGATGCATGGCACTGGACAAATGTCAGACGAGATGATCAAATCGTTCCGTACCATCAATGTGCCTATCGCAATGCGACGTTAGGTCTAATTTACGTAATGTCGGTGCCTCGCTATAGTCACGTTCTCACGTTCTCACGGTCTGGAGTGTCGACGCTCTCACCAGCTCAGCTCTTCAAGAGACGACAGGAGACCCGCAGCGGCATAGCTCCGTTCCTCTGCATCGCAGCTGCGCGCCGAGCTTGGCAGCACGAACCCCGCTGTCTGGCCCGCCGTATCTGCACCACTATTGCTACTGCCTCCACGCTTAGTCGAGCTGGCTACATTAACGGGTGCGGTGTGGTACGAAGTCGAAGGAGCGGTGTAGTATCGACCATTGAAGACCGTGCATAGCGTCAGATTCAGCGAAAGGCATACAAGCGTTGCGCGACTAGCGCGAAGCGACGGAGCCATTCAATGCGGACAGCGGGCTATGCGGACGTTGCACGCAAACGCTTTTCGTCTAAACAGAATCGGCCGTGAAATTGCGGTGATTATGAAACCATAATGCCTCGAAGTGCAAGCGGACAATCGTCTGGCCTTGGTGACCGCGGGTCTTGTTTAGTCTTGTGTGAGTGATGGGGAGCGCCACATGACAATTTCCAAGGGTGTGGCTGGCGGAATTCTCGCCTGGACTGATGGCATGTGGAATTCTCTTCAAGACCAGAATGTGTGGCTGATAAAATTCTGGTCTGGACCGTCTCATGATCAGTGTGCGACCTGGAACGACAGACTTGGCGACGGTCGCGAAAATTTCAGGAAGCAGTGTCTTTTCAGGCGTCAATCAGCGTGTTACCTGAATTCCGCGAATATAACAAATTGCAAGTTCGAGGGTGCGAAACTTTCTCACTTCGCCACAAAGTCGGGACCAATGGCGGGAAATTCGCAACTGTTTTGACTGACGTCAAGCGGGCTCCTGTCAGAACGTCTGACAGATCAATGTTGGACCGTCCAACATCAGCCAACTGGGCTGTTCTGGTATGAGCAGGTGAGCTTCAAGTTGATCGGGCTGTACAGCAGCATGAATCTGAGAGGTATACTGGTTCTAGGGGGAAAACGGATCTAGTGCTCTAGGCGACTGACAGTGAATTACGACCCAGGCCTGCATGTTAGTAGGCTTAGTAGCATAGACCCGCGTTCGACCGTCTGGTTCAAGGAAACAGCCGCCTCCGGCATCCAGAGCATCAGTCAAGTAGGCTTAGCAGGGTAGATCCGTGGTGGACCATCAGGAAATAGCTAGTTCCGGCGTTTCGGCGTTATTAGTCATGATAGGGCTTTAGGCTTCGATCAGTGTGGTTGCAAGGATTCTGGCGATCGGTGATCGACGAGGGTTGGTGCACAGGCAGAGCCTCTTAAAGCTTCTTCAGACCGCTGTCATCTCAGAGTCCACCTCTCCCTTCAGGCAATTCGTGCTTTATTATCAGAAAAGGGGGCTCTCTGAAGCCGCAGCTTCTGTTTCGTTTTTCTCGCATAGCCTTCCCGGCTCTTTTTCCCTAGTCGATTTTCAGCTACACGTGTCGTCACCGGAATGGCCCAGGAGGTGGTAGAGGCGTGCGCTCAGCAGCAGTGGTCGCGTGCCGTTAAGCTGCTGACGTCGCAAATAACGGAGGCGGAAGAGGCTAGCGGGAGCCCAGCCGAGATCGCGATGTCGCTCTGGTGCGTTGCACACAAGAAACCTACAGATCAGGTTATGATTAGCGAAAAAAAAAGCATCCCGCTAAGTTCGTCAGCTCGCGCTTCTTTGAGTCCGCTTGGCGGGACTTATAGTCTTTCCTGTTGATCTTCATCGAATTGCCTCCTCACCAATTCTCGTCCTGAACGTGCTCTTTCTCGACTGATAAATCGCTTCAGTAGTCTTCACTCGCTGGGGAATTCTAGTCGCTATCAATTTCATGACCGAATAGCCCTTCATGTCTGGCTCTCCCAACGATTCCCGATCCCCGTGGTGCAGCAACCGCGCGTGGTGCTACCTGCACCTGGACCTCAACAAGCACGCGCTCAAGGACGCCACCAGAGCCACGCAGCTCGCGCCCAGTCAGCCTCTCGCCTTCATGCGCCAAGGTGAACCCGCTCTTCCAACCCGTTGGCTGCTGTTCGGTTCTGACGTCCGCTAAGTTCGCCGCTGATCTGATTGGTAGCCGCGCTCCTGCCTCTGTACTCGTCGTCTTGCCGCACTGTTCACTGCATGTACCGTTGCCTTGTGAAGGGATCATGCATCCTTGTGAAGGGATCATGCATCCTTGTTAGACTTTGAGAATTCTCTCCCTCGAACTGATTGTTGCTCTGCTGATTGGTCGTCGCTATCCTGAATCGATCGTTGTTCTCTTGAAGCGGTCCTTGCTCGTTTCAGTCTGTCGTTGCTGTTCTCAACTAGCTATTATGCTTCCTATATCTAAGGCGCGTGCTCGTTCCCCCAGCTAACAGCGCGCTCGTCTCCGTGTTCCTCTCACCCCCTGTGCTGGCGATGCAGGTGCGGCGTGGCTGGCGCTGGGCAAGAAGGACGAAGCCAAGGCGGCCTTCGCCCAGGGCTACCAAGCCGCCACCACCACAGCTACCACCGCCGCCACCCTCCATGCCTCGTCCTCCGTCGACCTTGAATTCGCCCTGCGCCTGCACATGCTCTCCATCGACCCGTCCTCGCCTCTATCCCCCACGTCCAAGCTCCGTTCTCCTTCTCACCAGGCCCAATCCGCGAGCGCAGGGAATGCGTCTTTTGCCTCTGCGGATTCGCCTCGTGCTGATGCGCCTGTGTCCTCCCCTCGTGCTCCTACAGCTGCTGCTGCTGGCCAGAATGGTTCAGTGATTGTAGAGACAGGCTCGGGAGATGCGTCGCCAGGCAAGGCCAAAGGGAAGGGGATGAATGGGGAGGTTGCGACTGGGGAAGGTGGGAAGGTGGGGGGTGGTGCGTCACCTAGTGAGCAGAAGAAAGAGGGGAAGAAGAAGGCGAGTGGGGAAGGGAGTGGAGGAGGAAAGGGGTTGGGAGCACGTGGCAGCCTGGCATTGGATTTGATGATTTCACTCGGGATTAACCAGGTAAGGAAGTTGTGGAAGTATGAAGCTGATGAAGTGTGTGTGCCTCGCATTTCCACGATTGCCTACGCACCATGCGTCTTTGATACTGTGGCTGGCTGGATCTATTCCCACCTGGTCTATGCTGCTGTGTCTGCGAGCGTTGCGTGGTAGAACGGGCTGCTTCCAAGTGTCGTTGCATGAAAGCGTCATCTTATGGGTCGCTCCTGTTTTCTTGGGCAGGTCAATTCTGGGAAGCTTGACGATGCGGTCAAGACCTTCGATCAGGTACTCCTTCCTGCCCCATTTATCATACTTACCTAGACAACGGAAGTCCCTGCTTTTCTCTAAGCCGACCTTACCATGTTCCCACCTCTCCCTCTTCCTTTTTCAACCCCCTTCTCTCTCCCCCCACCCCCCAAATCCTTTTTCTGCTCCCCTCTCCACCCTATCCCCTTCGCCCTCCGCGGCAGGTTCTGGAGTCGGACAGCCGCGCCCTGGGTGCGCTGGTGGGGCGGGGCACAGCGCGGGCGCTGCAGCGCAAGCTCAAAGAGGCGGTGGCTGACTTCACTGCTGTGAGTCCACATGCTCGCATGATCCTCTGCAACCACCGCTCTTGCGTTTGTCAGCCCATTGAAGTTGCGGATTGCATCGTCCTGTGCTCTCCCTGCCTCCCGCGTCCACTCCCTGCCCGCCTCTTATCGCCTGCCATTTCTCAGGCCATTGAGATCGAGCCACGAGCAGCAGAGGCGTGGAAGCGGCGGGCACAGGCCAGAGCTGCGCTGGGGCAGATGGACGAGGTGAGAAGAGAACTGGGCAGATGAACCAAGTGAGGTATACCGAGCGAACACTCTTTCCTACTTCCATTGATGTGCTTCACACTCTTCCCTCGGACTTTCTGATCAGTCCACCTGCTCCTCCCTGCACACCCAGGTGATTGAGGACTTCACTCGAGCGTTCACCATCGACCCCTCCGCCACTGACGTGCTAGCTGAGAGGGGTGAGTGACTTGGCGTGTTGTGCTGAGAGGGGTGAGTGACTTGGCGTGTTGTGCTGAGAGGGGTGGGTGACTTGGCGTGTTGTGCTGAGAGGGGTGGGTGAGTGGCATGGGGGCTTTTGTTGACGCGTCTTACCTCCATTGCACGTGGAGCTGACTTGAGCCCTGGCTTTGTTGCTCCTCAGCAGCATGCGCCTTTGTGAGGGAACGACAGCATGCTTCCCTAAAACCTGAATCCCTACCCTTCAGTAGAGGCAACTTGACGCACCAGAAGTGCGACTCTTTTTTATCCGCACGTTGCTGGGTCTGTGCTGCTGTTCGTGTGCGGCTGTGCTGTCTGTGTGCGAGCAGGAGTGGTGTATGTGAAGCAACGGAACTACCGTGCAGCCATTTCCGACTTAAAGACAGCTCTGGACTCCAACACCAAGGACGCCAACGCGTATAACTTCCTTGTGAGGCCTCTCTGCTGGGAGCACGTCACTAACTCGCTGGACCGAACTACTGCCAGATTCTCACGCCAGGCCATACATTGGGAGGGCTGGAACAGACTGTCATGACGTGACACTGGGCATTGGGCATTGGGACGTTGGGCATACATCATGACGTTGGGCATGCTTTACAGCTTCTTGCTTCTCACTTTCTCATTCGCCCTGTTCCAACACTGAATTTCCACGAGCCCTACCCCTCCCCGCTGTATTGTTGCCTAACTGAGCCGTCCCATCTCCCGTGTCTCTTCTGCATGATTCCCTTGCTGGTCTGTTCTGGCATGATCCCTGTCCCAGGGCCTGGCGCTGACAGGCACAGGGGCGTGCCTGGATGGTGTTGCGGCGTACAAGAAGGCTGTGGCCCTGCGCCCAGATTTCAAGGACGCGTGGGTTAATATGGGGCAGGCTTATAAGGAGTATGGCGATGCTGAGAATGCTGCCAAGTGCTACCAGAGAGCCCTGGAGGTGGATTCAAGGTGAGATATTCTGTCATTTAAATATGGCTTATGGATGCCTATTGCAGGCAGATCTTTTTTGGAATTCGCTTAGTTGTTTCTGCAATAAGTCTGATTACCGCCACAGCGAGTCTCTGCTCTTGCCTCTCTGTTCCTCCTGGTCCGTCTCACATCCACGCTCCTCCGTTGCCTTACAGTTTCTTTATTATATTCCCGCTGCCTCTGTCTCTCTCTTTCCTCGGTGCGCTGCAGCTTTGCCACGGTGTATCGCTACTGGGCGCTGCTCAAGCATGGGGTGGGCGACCACAGGTGAGGGAGGCGGCCACAGGTAAGGGGGGCGGCCACAGGTAAGGGGGGCGGCCACAGGGTTTGCATGATGGAACCAGAAAGTCAAGAAACACTTAGGGACGTGCAGCGAGCCTTCTCTGTCGTGCACAGAGCACCTCCCTGCCTTCCACGTCAGCCCCCCCACCTGGGACTCCCTCACCCTCCGCTGCTTGCTTCTCACCAAGTCGCCCTCTCTTCTCTGCCCCCCCTGCCTCTCGCCCGTTCCGTATGGCTTCTGCTTCTCTCCTTGTCCCCCCGGCGTCCCTCCCGTGGCACCAGGGGCGCGGCGCAGATGGCGCAGAAGGGGCTGAAGCTGGAGCGCAACAACATCGAGCTCATGTACTCCTATGCCTCGTCCGAGCATGCTGTGGGCGAATACGCCACCGCGGTGAGCGCATGCGCATGGGTGTGAAAATTCGTGCTAATTCCATGATTGTTTTGGCCCAGGGGAACTTGAGCTTGCGAGGCACGCATGCGCACAACAATCCGTGCCTTGTCCCTGGGACCCCCCGAGGTGCGTGCATGTACTATGAGACTATTGAGTCGACTCAAAGTTCAATGCGTGCCTTGTCCCTCCCCTCTGGCCCCCCTGCCAGGTGCGCACGTACGACGAGATGCTGGGCGTGGAGACGGACTCGGAGTCGAAGTTGCTGCAATTCCTCGGCTTCTACCAGCGCGAGATCGCGCTCTACACGCTCCACAAGCACGCCGCTCCGCTCGCTGACTTTAGTCTGGACAGGGACCTCGACCCCTTCTTCAAGGTGAGGGCATGGTTGCTTAGTGGACCTTCATCTTTGTAGCACAACTCTACTGGAGGCACACCGTTCGATCTTCTGTATGGTACACTCTTCCAAAGAGGCTGATCCCTGTCTATAAACTGCCTTGTCTTCCTCCCCTCCCCTCCCCCTCCTGCTGCTCCTCCTGGCCGGCCTGGGTTGTCGCAGGAAGCGTGGTGCAAGAAGCTCCCGCCCACGCTGCTGTTCCCTGGTTACTCCACGCAGCCAGTGCCCCCATCCATCGCTGTGCGCCTGGGGAAGAAGGGGTCCTCTGCCGCGGGGGGCAGCAGCAGCAGCGGCGGCAGCAGCGGCAGTGCTGGCGGCGGTAGTGGTGGTGGGGGCGGCCTCAAGGGCGGTGGGAGTCAGGAGGTGCAGCGGCTGCTGGAGATAGCAGACCGGATAGGGCGGCGCACGCAGTACTCATGCCCTGGCTTCCATGCCAATGTCCGCCAGGTATGGCTGACTGACTCTTCAATGTCGGTTTTCTGCTGATATCAGGTGGTTCCTTGGTGAGTCATCAGGTTCGATCATTTGGCCCACGTGTATTTTTTTTTTGTCTTTGAAACTCGAGCGCCCGTACATAGGGACCGGTGCTTCACCCAGCATTCCCTAGTGCCTGTCTGCTTGGACCTTTGGATTAACCCGTGTTCCCCTGATGCACTTTCCCTTCTCCAGTACCGCATGGCTGGGCTTGCTGCCATTGAGATCGCCCAGGCTGTAGCAGCCGCCTGGGAGCATCGGGAGGAGGAGGCTGCTGCCGCTACAGCTGCTGCTAATGCTACAGCCGGTGGCAGTGCCTCGCCTGCATCAGCTGCAGCCGCCGCTGTTCTTGCTGAGTTGGAGGATGGAAGCGCTGATGTGTCGTCCTTCTCCAAGTCATCTGCTGCTGACGTGTCGTCATCTCCGAGGTTATCCTCTGATGACGTCTCGCTATCGCATCTCTCATTGGACGACTCTCTGACTGACGATGGGGGCAGCAGCAGTGGGAGCGAGGCAGTGGCAGGGGGGTGTAGGAGTCAGGAGGACAGGAGGAAGGGAGGGGGGGCGGGGAAAAGCGGTGGAGGCAAGGGGGGCAAGAGCAAGGGTGGGAAGGGAGGGGGGCGAGGGAAGGGAGGAGGTGGAAGTGGAGGGAAGGGTAGCTCTGCAGGTTCAGGGGGGGTTGGGGCAGGCACAGGTGCAGGGCAAGGGAAGGGGGGAGGGGCGTCAGGGGGCCTGACAGCTAAGGGCGTGGCAATAAAGGGGTGGAGGGACGCTTACTCAATTGCGGTGCGGTGGAGGCAGCTGTCGGAGCCGTGTGACCCGGCTGTGTGGGTTGACATGCTCACGTGAGTATATAGAATATAGACAGTCAGCGTCGTGTGGGTGGAGGCATGTGTATTATTGTATTGCGGTGTAGTGGAGGCAGCTGTTGGAGCCGCGTGACCCCGCTGTGTGGGTTGACATTCTCACGTGAGTAGGGCGAGGGGTGTCTGATGGATCATAATGAGCTTACTTGATTGTAGGAGAAGTTTGGGTGGGCATGGTCACCTGAGTAGGGCAGGGAATGCTGGGGTGAACCATGGTTGATCGATATGACAAAAGCGAGGCTAAGGGAAGAGACCGTTAAGCTAGGATGCCGCGCCGCGCGTTACTGGTGAGGATATGTGCGTCTAATGCAGGAGAAGAAGCTTGATTCCACTGGTAACGAGGCGTAAGCAAGTACCAAAAGGCTTCTGGCGCAGTTGTTTGAAGCTTGGTCGATGATGGACGACACAACGAAGCAGTTGGAAGCACTGCAGAAGAAGCTGACTGAGGCAAAGGAGCACAAGGACGCTGCCAACATGGCCTTGTTGGCAGCGTCCTTGACCTCCCTTGTCTCAGTCAGCTTCTTTTGCAGTACCTCCAACTACTTCGCCGTATGGTCCACTTTCGACCGAACTTCATGCAACTGCGTCAGAAGTCTTTTGGCTCTTGCTTGCGCCTCACTACCAGTGAAATCGAGTTTCTTTTAGGGATTGATTCCTCTCCTGCAGTAGGTACACGAACGCAAACATGGTAAGCTCGCCAGTAATGCAGCATCCTGGGGTGAACCATAGTTGATCGGTGTGACCAAAGCAATCTGTGGTCGCGTCCATGGTTGAGTGACTAATCCATTCGCCTGTTTTCGCAAGCAATTCTCCTCTTCCGCTCCTCGCTCCCGTCCCTCATCCCACAGGGAGAAGGAATTCCGAGCGGGCTTTGGGTCGCACACGCCTATCCTCATTGGCCAGACCAAGGTGGTGCGCTACCATGCCAACTTTGACAGGTGCGTCTTGCAAGTGGAATATGCTTGTGGCGCATCATCTGGTGAGCATCACACCTGCACTGTGCCCTCTGAAGCCGCTGCCCTCATGGCCATATGAACACGTGGGTGTGGGCCTCTTAGCGGTGCACCTTCCGCTCTTGCATTGTCACCTTTACCTCTCATGGCTGCACCCTCCGCTCTCTCCGCTCTCTTGCATTGCCCCGTCTTTGCGGCGCTCTGGGCGTTCACAACAATGAAGGAGGAGATGCTGCAGTTGGGTGTGTGCAGTGCACCTCCTGCTCTGGCCTCTCACACCTTCACCTCCCTCTCACGCCTGCCTCTCCCTTCGCTGCATGCAGGGCGTTTGCCATAATGGAGGAGGAGATGCTGCGGTTGGGTGCAGTGCACCTCCTGCTATAGTCCTTGCATCATCACCATTCACTTCACTCTCATTGCTGCACCAGCTGCTCTCATGTGCTCCCCTGTCTGTGCGGCGTGCAGGGCGTTCGCCATAATGAAGGAGGAGATGCTGCGGTCGGGTGCGGTGCACAACGCTGCCAACAACAGAATACCCATCGATGACCCCGCCCAGAAAGCAGCGGTCAGTTGCTGCTCTTTCCCCCCCCCCCCCACCCTTCCCCCCCCCCTTATTTCTCCATCCCTGCCCTTTCCATGCAATTGCAAGACCCCTCTCTTCCCCCGCTCCCCTAACTTCAACCCAACAGCTGTGCTTCGCTTTGTTGTCCTATTTGGCTGTCGTGGTTTTCGTTACATGGTTACCTCACAGCCGTGCCTTGCTGCATACTGTGTAAATCGGAACCTTCAATTAAGGAAAGGCCCTAGTCCTCTCAACCATGCCTCTTGCTTTCCTCTTCCAAATCCTCCCCCTCCTCCCCCCTCACACCCTACCCCAATCTCCCACCCTCTCCTCTTTCCCTGCTCCTTGCCGCCCGTCACCACCTGTAACCATCCATCACCGCCTTTCACCGCCCGTCATCTCCCGTCACCGCCCGTCACCACCCGCCACCGCCCGTCACCGCCCGTTATTGCCCCTCACAGTCCGTCACCCACCATCACCAGCCGCCACCACTCGCCACCACCCGTCACCGCCCGCCACCACCGGTCACTGCCCGTCATCGCCCGTCACCGCCCGCCTGCCACCAGAATGAGGCTCTGACCGCCAGAATGGGGTTCTGACTGCCAGAATGGGGTTCTGACTGCCAGAATGGGGCTCTGACGGCAAGAATGGGGCTCTGACGGCAAGAATGGGGCTCTGGCCGCCAGAATGGGGTTTTTGACGGCCAGAATGGGGCTCTGACAGCCAGAATGTGAGTTCTGGCCGCCAGAATGGGGGCTCTGACCGCCAGAATGGGGCTCTGATTGTCAGAATGGAGCTCTGACCGCCAGAATGGGTGTTCTGATGCCACCACCCATCACCGCCCGCCCGCCCGCCACCCGTCACCGCCCATCACCGCCTGTCACCGCACGCCACCACCCGTTACCGCCCGCAAGGATTCCCTAGCCCCCTCTCTTCACTGCTCCCTAAGCTCTCCTGTACCGCTGCTCCCCGCGCCCGCCCTTCCCCTGTGGCAGGTGGCGGCAGCCAGGGCGTGTGAGGACCTGTACCGCGTGGTGGGGGAGGACTTCTGGATCGTCACGCCCTGCCACAGCATGGTGGACCCAGGGTGAGTGGCTGCCACAGCATGGTGGTCCGGGGGTGAGTGGCTGCCACAGAATGGTGGTCCCGGGGTGAGTGCCTGAGTGGCTGGCTGGCTGCCACGGCATGATGCTGCCAGATTTGCTACTTGTCAGGGGTGGGTTTAATCTGCCTGCCCACCTTGTCATGAGGTTGTTTTGCCTCCGTAAGATTCTGCCGCCTCCTCAGTCCACTTCCTGCTTCCATTGCTCAAGGATCCTGCGTCCTTTCCCGTTGCTGCCTGCATGTGCTACTTGCCTCGTTCGCACCTTCCCAGGAAGGTTCTCGAGGGCACACGACTCACGCTTGTGAAGACGTAAGCCACTCCCCTTTGCTCTCAGTTTCGCGCAATTCCACATTTTCTCGGATTCAGTTTCTCAATCGTCAACTCTTTCAAATTTCTCGGTCCTCTTGATTTCTCAACTCCATGGTACTCAGCTCCTTGGGAATCCATGCTGCCACTTGGAGTCCTGGCATGCTCTCACCATCATCCCATGAGACTCTCTCACTGTCCCACCACTTCCTATATTCCCATCAACTTCCCCTGCACGATTCTCCCGTCCTGTATCCCGCAGGCCCACGGGGTTTGACTTTGCCATCCGCACGCCCGGCACGCCCTCGCGGTGGGCGGACTACGACGCGGAGATGACAGCCGCATGGGAGGTGCGTGGGGTGGGGTGGGGGATGGGGCTGGAGGGGTGATGAAGGTCGACTGGTTCAAGGATGTTCTCGCGTGACGCTCCTCTCATGGCGCTCATGGTGGGCCGACTACGGCGCTGAGATGGCAGCCGCATGGGAATGGGAGGAGCATGGGGTGGGGTGGAGGGTGCGGAGGAGTGGGAGAGGGTGCTGCGAATGGCTTGACTCATGGATGTCCACGCTTGCCCCACTTGAGACACTCACACGTTTGGCAAATTGTTGGGTACTCTTGGCTGCTGGGTGCTCTTGCCTGAGCTGTCGGTCGTCGGCTGTCGGGCGTCGGCTGTTGGGTGTCGGCTGTCGGGCGTTGGCTGTCGTGCGTCGGCTGTCGGGCGTCGGCTGTCGGGCGTCGGTTGTTGGGCGTCGGCTGTCGGGCATCGGCTGTGGGTCGTCGGCTGTCGGGCGTCGGCTGTCTGGCGTCGGCTCGTGCGTCGGCTGTCGGGCGTTGGCTGTCGGGCGTCGGTTGTTGGGCGTCGGCTGTCGGGCGTCGGCTGTGGGTCGTCGGCTGTCGGGCGTCGGCTGTCGGGCGTCGGCTGTCGGGCGTCAGCTGTCTGGCGCCGGCTCGTGCGTCGGCTGTCGGGCGTCGGCTGTCGTGCGTCGGCTGTCGGGCGTCGGCTGTCGGGCGTCGGCTGTCGGGCGTCGGCTGTCGGGCGTCGGCTGCCTGCTGGGTGCTCTTGGCTGCTGGGTGCTCTTGCCTGCTGGGTGCTCTTGCTTGCTGGGTGCTCTTGCTTGCTGGGTGCTCTTGGCTGCTGGGTTCTGTTGCATGCACTCCGCTCCCAACTCCAGCTCCACTCTGGCTTTACTTGTTGCCCTCTCCCTCTTTCGTCTCTCCCTTCCCCCGGGTCCTCCCCCCTGCCTCCTCAGGACCTTTGTTTGGTGGTGGGGGAGAAGATGCAGGGGGGTGCGTGGAGGCCACCTCTTGGTCCCTCGATGGCGCGATTCCAGCGAGCCGTGCTGCGCCTCGCCTATTACTGGTAACTCATCTCTGCTTGTGAGCCGATTCAGCATTACGCATACTGCTGGTGAGGCATGTTGAGGCTCCATTGGGCGCATTGCTCTCACCGTTGAAGAAAAACTTACTGGCGTTCACATTGTGCCTCCACATGATCTATGGCTCATTGTTGCCTCTCGCTCTGAGAGTCAAAGACGAGCTCTTAGCTGGGCACGCTCGAATGCCAGTGTGTCGGCCTCACCAGTTGTTCAAATCCGTTTCTGTATAGACTGCCATCTTATGTGCATCTCTCGTCTCCGTCTAGCTGCCTCCTTACTTGTCATTGCACGCAAGTCCTTGCCTCACTTCTCAAGCTACCGTCTCACACACCAGGTACAATTTCATGCCGCTGGCACGCGGCACTGCCATGGTGGGTTACGTGGTAATGCTGGCGCTCTTCCTCGCGGCGCAGCTGCAGGTCACCGCCACCATCCCACCCAAGTTGCAGGTTCGTGGGGGCGGGAGTGTGGTGCGGGTGAAGGGTTGGGGTCTCAGAGCGTTTCATGTCGTTCGAGGCGATTGAAAGGTCACCTCGCGGCGCATGTGCAGGTCACTGCCACCATCCCGCCCAAACTGCTGGTCCGTCGGGGGAGTGTGTGCGGGTGAAGAGTCCTTCATGCGTGCTTGTTGCTTGCGGCTGCATGCTTGCTTGCCACACTTCATCATGTATCCTCCCGTACCCTTCTGTATCCCTCCCTATCCTCTCTTAGCCACACCAAATTATCCCCTTCGCATCCTGTCTCGTCTTCTCCCCCCCCCACCGCAGGTGGACTGGGAGGCGATTCTCTCCTCGCGCTTTGAGACCTTTGCAGGGGCTGTGATGCCGTGGCTCGCCCCCTCCGTCACACCCCTCACCGACCCCGCGCTGCCCTCCATCCCCTCGCTGCCCACCCACCTGCCCTCCGTCGCCGCTGCCGTTGCCGCTCTCTCCACGCCCCCGACGTCCTCCCGTTCTCCCGTGCCTGCTCGCTCGTAGACGAGCTTTGAGATTACTGCACCAGCCAGGCACAGCAAATGCACCGGTGCCTCCCTCGCCTCCTGGTGGTTAGCTATCTGCCTGCCCCAGGCCAGGGAGATGCATGTGTGCCTCCCTCGCTTGTGTGTTTCTTGGTAGAGTTTCCTGGATCGTTCTGTTCGCTTGCAGCACATTCGTCTGCTGTGGTAGGAGGCTAGTTCCTCCCGTCCCGTGCTGGTTTAGCCCCCTCTGCTGTCGCTTTCTGCTTTGGAAGCCTATAAAGGTGAATGCTGGGCCGCATTTTAAGGATGTGATTGCTGGTTTCAAAACACAGTATGGGCGTGACCCGCGCTTCTATTGGAAGCAGGGACAAGCTTGCGAGACCCACTAGCAAGATGAGATTGACAGGACGTGAGGCAAGACTAGCATGCAACTGGTAGGTAGGTGTGCGGAAACCTGCAAGGAGGGAGCAAGGTTGTGCTTCACGTGGGAACATAGCCATAGGGAGTTGGGATTTCCACAGACCCCACAGTGTGCTTGCTCTTTCCCTTGCCTCCACGTGTGTCTTCCTCCCTTACATCTCCCCTCTTTCCTCTTCTTTCTGGCTTTCCCCTTCCACCCGGCATCTGCCCGTGCACGAGCTGTGCTTCTGGCAAACCCTTGTCTAAAGGAACGCTTCCAGGGCGTCTTGCTCCCCTGCCTCTCCCTTGCGCCTTTCCGCCTTGTGCCCCTCTCCCTTGCGCCCCTCTCTCCTGTGTCCCGCGCGCTGCTGCGCCTGTCCTCTTCCTGGCGCCTGCTCTGTACTGCTGGCTCACAACACCTTTGGGCTGTCGCCTCCCTGCCCCTCCTTTCCGCCTCTGCTCGCTCATTCGCTGCGCTGCAACCGCCCTGCTCGCGTTGTACGGCTCACCACGTAGAACGTTTCCTCCCACTCGCGCGCCCTCCCTCCGCGCAACCTGCCTCCATCCGCGCCTTCCGCGCCTTCCGCGCCTTCCGCGCCTTCCGCCGCTCCCCTGCCCCGTCACCCTCGGGTGTCCCTTCCCCTTGGCGCGACCCGCAGCGTGATTGCGAGGCGGTGCTTCTGACGGCGTGGCTCCCATTCCTCCCTCTGTCTCTCCGGTCTTCCTTCCCTTTTCTTCCTCCGCTTTCCTAGCCGTCGCGCCCCTCCCTCTCCTCTTCTTACCCCGCTTTTCCATCCTACTGCTTCTTGGTTTCCCCCCCCCATTCGCCGCCAGCAGTCGGTGCGCCACTGCCGACTTCCCCTCCTGGCATCCTCCCCCCGCCGCCCCCCATTGCCTCGTCTCTCCGCGGACCTCATCCCCGCGCTCCCCCCGTGTCACCCCTCCTTGCTCCGCCACAGCCCTCCCCTTCTTGCTCGAGTTATCCCTCCAATCAGGAGCGAGCGCGAGGGCGCCCGAGCACCCCTGCGCGTGAAGCGTGCCGAGTTGGCACGAGAGGAGGGCAGCGAGAAGTGGGAGGAGGAGCAGCGGTGTTATCATGACTTTGATTGTCTCGTACAGCGGTTAAAAGTGGTCTACAGCCGTTGAAAGTGGTGCGGGATCGGCGTGAGTCCTACTGTTGCTGGGAGCGCCGCCTGGCACACTCGGGCGCGCTGCTGGGAGTAGCGTTGCTCTCTCAAGCTGTACTCTTTCACGTTGAACACAAAGATTTTTTCGCTGAAGACTCCTGCCTCACCGCACATTATGATCACCATCCATGTTCGCGTGGTGTATGTTGCGCATGGGAAGGCGTGCTCGCGCTACGAAATAGTTCCGTTGCGTGGCGGGACTAGGGCGAGGGTTGACATGGCGAGACGAGAGAGTGGGATTTGGATGTGAAAGGCAGCGAGGTTGAGGACCCTGTCGGGACCGGTCGCAGAACATGACTTCGCACAGAAACTACATCGCTGACTTGTCGCACGAGCCCCGCCGGGCGCGCATGGGCAAAGACGGAATGGCAAGCAATGACAAACTGGGCCGGCCTTGTGTGAACAAGCAGCAAAAAGGGCGAATTGGGCAACAATACATCGCTGGGTTGAGGTCTTGAGAGGTGTGCTGGGGAGGGGATGTTGCGGCAACTCAAATTTGGCCCATCAACAATTCCACAACTCCGAACCGCATGGCGGCTCGACTAGAAATGAGATGGCGAACGCGATTGGTACACGAAACGGAGAAGGCCAAAGGATGGTGACGTGTGCGAGGTGAGTGCTTGACGCACGACGCCGTTGCGAAACGAAAACGAGGGTCAGTGTTACAATCTGCTTTATACACAGCCATCATGGTCACCTACAAGCAACCGCTTTGGTGGACACTGGCACTGAAGCGCCGCCCGTGGGGCTCGAACCCACGACCACAAGGTTAAGAGCCTTGCGCTCTACCAACTGAGCTAGGGCGGCTGACGTTCCGGGACAGCAAAACTTAATAATTTTGTATATACAACCCCACCCACGATTCCTGCAGCTTTGCTCTCCGTGATCGTAAATGTCGCCCCTCGCCAGCGTGCGGTGGTCGCTCCGCCTCGTGCTGTCGCCCGTGGCGACACCTCGCCCATCGCCCCCACATCGACGCCATTACCGCCGGTGCCACTCCGTACGCCCGCAGTTTCACGGCAAGTCCGCGGCGCATGGTGCAGCCAGGCAACTGAATGCCGTCGCTCGCAGCGACCCCGGCATAAGCAGCAGCAGCAGCAGCAGCAGCAGCAGCAGCAGCATGGCTCTAGAATTCGAGGTGCGCTTTTCTTCTAATCTATGTCATTGCCCTCCGTCTCTCTTCTCCTCCCACTTCACCCCTCCTCCCACTTCCCCTGTTGGTCGTTCCTCCCCGGCCGCTAAATGCCCCACACACGCGCGAGTTGTGGAGCGCCCAAGCCCACCAGACTCCACCCCTGCGTGCCCCCTCCTCGCCGGCAGGTGCTGGCGACCCACAAGCGCGCCAGAGCGGCGCGAATGACGCTGCCGCACCACAGCTGCCTCACGCCCATGTTCATGCCCGTGGGCACGCAGGGTGCGTTAAACCCAGGGTTGAGAGGGGTTGAGAGAGGTTTTGGGCACCATGCAGCGAGAATGGTGCTGCTGCACCGCTCCTTCCTCACGCCCAAGGTGCCCGTGTGTACACACCATGGGCCATGGCTAGGTTCAGAGTGGTTGAGAGGGGCTAAAGGGGTTCAGCGGGGCTAGAGGGGTTGAGAGGGTTTTAGGGAACCATGCAGTGAGAATGGTGCTGCTGCATCAATCCTGCCTCTCACCCATGGTCACGGCGCCATTCGTCCCTCTCCTCTCCTCTCCTCTCCTCTCCTCCCTCCATGCTACTCAGGCACGATAAAGGGGCTGACGGCGCAGCAGCTGCAGCAGCTGGGCTGCCAGGTGGTGCTAGGCAACACCTACCACCTCGCCAACCGGCCAGGCGCTGACGTCATTGCTGACGCGGGCGGGCTTCACGCCTTCATGGACTGGCCTCGGGGGCTGCTCACGGACTCGGGGGGCTTCCAGATGGTGAGCGCGGGTGTATGCTGAGAGCGGGTGTATGCTGAGAGCGGGTGTATGCTGAGCGCGGGTGTATGCTGAGAGCGGGTGTATGCTGAGAGCGGGTGTATGCTGAGAGCGGGTGTATGCTGAGAGCGGGTGTATGCTGAGCGCGGGTGTATGCTGAGAGCGGGTGTATGCTGAGAGCGGGTGTATGCTGAGCGCGGGTGTATGCTGAGCGCGGGTGTATGCTGAGCGCGGGTGATGGTGAGAGTGGATGCCTGGAAGCATGTGCCATATACTACATGTCTACCCAGCCAGATATACGGGTGATCACCGTTACCTGCCTTCACTGCATGCGATCACTCCCACTGCCGCCGCCCACTACTGCCAACCTCTGCTGCCGGCCTCTGCTGCCCCCCTGCCTCCAGGTATCCCTGCTGCACCTGCGTATTGCTGATATGTCCCTGCCCCCCTGCCCCCCTGCCCCCCTGCCTGCAGGTGTCGCTGCTGCACCTGGCGGACATCACAGAACGAGGGGTGGAGTTCCAGTCGCCGGTGGATGGCAGCCGCATGCTGCTCACCCCGGAGGAGTCCATCGCCATCCAGGTGAATCTGCAGGCCACCCCAACCCAACTGCCAGGTGAATCCCAGGTGAATCCCAGGTGAATCCCAGGTGAATCCACCAGACTTCCCTTCCCTCCTCCGCCTCCTCACCTGCAAGCCTGTTTCTCCGGAAAGTTAAGAAGGAACCTTACCCCTAAGCTAAGCGGCTTTCATCTCTTGGCTGCTCTGTGGCCTGTGGGCTGCTTCCTGGAAGGAGCGCAGAACAAGATCGGTGCTGACATCATCATGGCTCTGGATGACGTGGTGAGCAGCCTGGTGTCGGGGCCGCGCATTGAGGAGGCGACGCACCGCACGCTCAGATGGATGGACCGGTGCATGCAGGGTGAGTTGAAGGGTGAACGAGTGGCGCGTGAGTTGAAGGGTGAGTGGTGGACCGGTGCATGCAGGGTGAGTTGAAGGGTGAGTGGTGGACCGGTGCATGCAGGGTGAGTGCGGGGCGTCATGGGGTTTAGTTGAAGGGTGTGGGTGTGGGGTCTGAGCAGCCATGATAAGCGGAAGCAGACACTATGTGCATGCGTGCGAGGCATGTCCGCCTGGGGCCTTCGGTTCCACCGACAGGCACTGACACTGGTGTCAGGCATTTGGGTGGCGGACCTTCATGTTAAAGCTCTTATCTTTTTTTTGTTCTTTTCTTACAAACACTGCGCCTGTTTTTTTTTCCCCTTCATCCTTCGTCTGCTCACCACATCCCCTCTCCCTCTTTCCCTTTCCTCCCTCCCGTCAACCACCCCTCCTCCCTTGGTCCTCCCCTGCAGCCCACAGCCGGCCGCACGATCAGAACCTGTTTGGCATCGTGCAGGGAGGGCTGGACCCCACGCTCAGGTGAAAACAACAGGCTCAGGTGAAGACGACAGGATCCACCTGATGGTTTGTTGCTCTCTACCATCTCCAGGTGCCCCCTTGCCTTGGACGTGCCTAGAGTCACTGCTTCCACCGTGTGCCCATGCCCCTCCTGTGTCTGCCCGCGCCCCTCCTGTGTCTTCCCGTGCCCCTCTGTGTCTGCCGGTGCCCCGTGAGTGGGTGAATGGGTGAGTGGGTGTGTGGGTGAATGGGTGAGTGGGTGACTGGTTGAATGGGAGTGTGGGTGAATGGGTGAGTGGGTGAATGGGTGAGTGGGTGAGTGGGTGAATGGGTGAGTGGGTGTGTGGGTAAATGGGTGAGTGGGTGAGTGGGTGTGTGGGTGAATGGGTGAGTGCGTGTGTGGGTAAATGGGTGAGTGGGTGTGTGGGTGAATGGGTGAGTGCGTGTGTGGGTGAATGGGTGAGTGGGTGTGTGGGTGAATGGGTGAGTGGGTGTGTGGGTAAATGGGTGAGTGGGTGTGTGGGTGAATGGGTAAGTGGGGGTGTGGGTGAATGGGTGAATGGGTGAGTGGGTGAGTGGGTGAGTGGGTGTGCGGTCTACCCATGCCCCTCCTGTGTTTGCTACCTGCCTCACCTCACCAGCAATTGCTGCCTTGCCTCCATGTGTCACTCCCCTCCTTGCATCCAGGGACATCTGCCTCAAAGGGCTCATTCAAAGAGATTTACCCGGGTACGTTACAGTGCAGCAGGTATGTGACAGTGGAGCAGGTATGTGATAGTGCAGCAGGTATGTGACAGTGCAGCAGGTATGTGGCAGAAGTGTGGGGGGTGTTATGGCAGTATGGATTGCCCTCGGTGTGTGTTGCAACTCGACCCGGTGTCACTTGTGATGCACGTCGCAAGTGAAGCCTTTCGTGTGATGCTCTCTTGGGTTTGAACACATGGCATTCCTTTCCCTGCTGTCACAGCTCTCTCGCTTCTCAAGCTCACCCGTCTTTCGCTGCATTCATTCCCACCACTCAATTCATCCCCCTGTACTCCACCCTCCCAGGTACGCCATTGGTGGGCTGGCGGGCGGCGAGGACAAGGACGCGTTTTGGCGTGTAGTGGCGCAGTGCACGGCAGCACTGCCGGCCAACAAGCCCAGATACGTCATGGTAGGACGGCAGGGCATGGTAATGCTAGCATGCGACACCAGTGGGCCACTGAAACACTGGATCAGTGCCCCAGTGCCCCAGTGCCCCAGTGCCCCAGTGCCCCAGTGCCCCAGTGCCCCAGTGCCCCAGTGCCCCAGTGCCCCAGTGCCCCAGTGCCCCAGTGCCCCAGTGCCCCAGTGCCCTAGTGCCCCAGTGCCCCAGTGCCCCAGTGCCCCAGTGCCCCAGTGCCCCAGTGCCCCAGTGCCCCAGTGCCCCAGTGCCCCAGTGCCCCAGTGCCCCAGTGCCCCAGTGCCCCAGTGCCCCAGTGCCCCAGTGCCCCAGTGCCCCAGTGCCCCAGTGCCCCAGTGCCCCAGTGCCCCAGTGCCCCAGTGCCCCAGTGCCCCAGTGCCCCAGTGCCCCAGTGCCCTAGTGCCCCAGTGCCCCAGTGCCACAGTGCCCCAGTGCCCCAGTGCCCCAGTGCCCCAGTGCCCCAGTGCCCCAGTGCCCCAGTGCCCCAGTGCCCCAGTGCCCCAGTGCCCCAGTGCTCCAGTGCCCCAGTGCCCCAGTGCCCCAGTGCCCCAGTGCCCCAGTGCCCCAGTGCCCCAGTGCCCCAGTGCCCCAGTGCACCACAGCCCCAGTCTATCTTAGTGGGCCGTGGCTGCTGAATGGTCCCTCCCTCCCTTTCCCTCCCTCCGTGCTGCCCTCCCTCCCTCCCACCTTCTGTTCCCCCTCCTTTGATGTCTCCTGCTGCAGGGAGTGGGCTACCCACTGGACATGGTGGTGCACTCTTCCCTGGGAGCCGACATGTAGGACTGTGTGAAACCAACGGCTCTCAACTCAAGCACCTGTGGGATTCGCCCCTCCCTCCCCTTCCTTTCTCACTCGCCTACCTGCAGGGAGTGGGCTACCCGCTAGACATAGTGGTGTGCTCCGCCCTGGGCGCGGACATGTACGACTGTGTGTACCCCACCCGCACGGCCCGCTTCGCCACGGCTCTGATCCCCGAGGGCGTGTTGAAGCTCAAGCATGCCGCCATGGCGCACGACCACCGCCCCATCGACGCCTCCTGCTCCTGCCTGGTGGGTGTGCTGCGGTGCCTGGTGGGTTGACGCTGTGTTCTCTTGCCGCTTTGCCCCATGGCCATGTCTAGCTTCTGCTCCTGCCTGCTTGGATCACGTGCTGACTGCTGTTGCTGTTCTGGTGGGTGTGACTTGTTATTCTACGGGCAGCAATGGCGTTGCTGTCTGTTGCATTTGCATTGTTCCATGTTCTTTTGCCGTCATGGCCGGTCCTCTCCACCACATCCACGCCTCCTGCTCCTGCCTGGTAGGTTTCACTGCCTGGTAGGTTTCACTGCCTGGTAGGTTTCACTGCCCGGTAGGTTTCACTGCCCGGTAGGTTTCACTGCCTGGTAGGTTTCACTGCCCGGTAGGTTTCACTGCCTGGTAGGTATCACTGCCCGGTAGGTTTCACTGCCTGGTAAGTTTCACTGCCCGGTAGGTTTCACTGCCCGGTAGGTTTCACTGCCTGGTAGGTTTCACTGCCCGGTAGGTTTCACTGCGTGGTAGGTTTCACTGCCTGGTAGGTTTCACTGCCCAGTAGGTTTCACTGCCCAGTAGGTTTCACTGCCCAGTAGGTTTCACTGCCCAGTAGGTTTCACTGCCTGGTGGTTTCACTTCCCGGTAGGTTTCACTGCGTGGTAGGTTTCACTGCCCGGTAGGTTTCACTGCCCGGTAGGTTTCACTGCCCGGTAGTTTTCACTACCCAGTGGGTTCACTGTTGCCCTGCTGGCGTGCCTTGCTTCCCTGTGCCGTGCTGTCTTGTCTCACGCCTTTTCCAGTTGGTGAAACCTTATCACATGCACGACCTCTCACCGCGCCTCCAATGCCACACACCCCTCTGCACCCCTCACATTGCAGGCGTGCCGCAACTACTCTCGGGCGTGCCTTCACTCACTGGTGACCAAGGATCCCGCCTGTGGGCTGCCACCTGCAAAGTTGAGGCGTCTCAGATTCAACCACTCACTGCACCTCCAATCCCTCACACCCCTCTGCACCCCTCTGCACCTGCCAGGCGTGCCGCAACTACTCGCGGGCATACCTGCACTCACTGGTGACCAAGGACCCCGTGGGCTGCCACCTGCTCACCATGCACAACATCGCTTACATGATGCAGGTGAGGGGCCAGGAAGGGGGGGCTGGTAGCATATTAGGCAGCCCAACAGTGGGCTGCCACCTGCTCACCATGCACAACATCACTTACATGACGCAGGTGAGAGGGGGGGGGAGGGGGGAGGGGTGTTTAGAGAGGAGGGTTGGTTTGGTAGCATGTGTCAGTTGCCGGCATGACATTGAATGGGAGCTCCAGCACCCGAGTGAAGAGCTCCGCCTTGGGCCACCACTCATTCTTCTCGTCCAAGATCTGCTTCTTGAACGCATCCGCTGCTGCCTTCCTCGGCCCCACCACCCAATTCTTCTTCCACAGCTCACTCACCACCATTCTCTCCAAGATCTCGTGCACGGCAACAAGGCGGGACACAACAATGTACCGTGTCCCGAAGCGAGTCCCTGCAGGCCTCAGCACCTGTAGCCCCTTTCCCCCCGCGACGTCGGGATTTTCAACGTACTGGCGGGTCCAGTGGTGGCTGCGCATGTACGTGATGATGTCGTTCGCCTCCTTCACGACGCCAGCGGCCCAGAGGAGCTTCCCCACGTCCTCCATCAGCAGATCGAGCACGTGCGTGGCACGAGGCACGTGCTCGATCTTGGGGAACTCCTCGATCAGTAGTTTGCAGGCGCTGTTTTAGTTGCTGCCGCCGTCGGTGCAGAAGGCGACGACATTCGCGGCGCCCAGCTTCTCCACGATCGGCCGCTGGAAGCCGGCGATGTAGCCGCCGGTTTTTTTCTCCATCTTGCAGTCGATGCTCTCAGCGAAGACGGCGCCGCTGTCGTTGACGAGCATTACGTTCGCCTGCGGGCGGCCGCGCCGGTCAGTCATCATGTCGCTCGCAATGGTGACACCAGTGGCGCTCCAGCTCTCAGAAATCCCGATCTGAGCGTCCTCAATCCGGCGGCGGCATTGCTGCAGCCCTGCTCCGCCGATGTACTTGCGCGACGGGGGCACATAGCCATTACCCGCCCGCGCAATGCTCCGCACGACATTGCGCCAAAGCGGATGATCGGCATGGCGCTCGGGAAGGCGGAGGCCGGCGAACAAGAGGCAGATGGCTTCATCCGCTCCCTTCTTCGCCAGCACGCTCCCGCTAATGTACTCGCCAATGCGCTCGCGCTTGCTGCTGGCGCCGCTGACTGCCTCAAGGGCATCCTTATCAGCGCGATCCTGAGCGGCACGGGAGTCCACCTTGGCCTCCTGGAAAGCGCGCACGGCTGCGCGCGCATCCGTAGGGGCTTTGGTGCATTTACGCACTCCACGCTTGCCCATGCCCTCCCAATCCGTAAGTTGCTGAGCGCAACGAGATGCGGTGCCCATGAAGTCCGCTCCGCAGTGCTTGCACCAGTACCGCTGCACCCTACCCATTTCCTTGCTCTTGAACTTTATATGCCGAGAGACTACGTGCTTATCATCTCCAATGAAAGGGGTGGACGAAGAGGCCTCACCTGACGCATCGACTGCCGCGTCCCCACTAGGGCCCTGATCTGGGAGGTCCGACATTGCTGCTTGGATTCTTGTGAGATAAGCTGGCATCTATGGATAAACTAGATCTACTAGCTAGGACGCGGAGTGATTAGCTAGATCTACTCTACGGCTGGTAGAGTAGTGTGTGAGATGCGTGCTTGATATGGTTGCGTAAGTTGGGTGGTGGATGGGTTGGGTTCTCTAGATGTGGTGGGGTTTGATGCGGTTAGGAGCGTGGGAGGGTTTGGGAGCATGTTTGGAGGATCAAAGGTTAGTATCGCGAATTGGCGAGGCCACGGATGGCTTCGCCAAGTCGCCGCGAAACGAGTGGGAAAATTCACGTTTTTTTGTCCGGGCTGCCCCGAAAAAATTCCCCCAGCGTTTCGCGAATTTCAGGTAAATTCGCGTTTGCGAATTTACGCTTACGAATTTACGCAAAACGCTGGGGGATCCCAACGAATTTGCCCACTTAGGCATGTGGTGGTGGTGGGATCTGGTGGCATGTAGCATGTGAGGCAGCCCAACAGTGGGCTGCCACCTGCTCCACATGCACAACATCACTTACATGATGCGGTGCAGGTGACATGCGGTGCAGGTGAGATGCAGTGCAGGTGACATGCGGTGCAGGTGACATGCGGTGCAGGTGACATGCGGTGCAGGTGACATACGGTGCAGGTGGTATGTGTAATGGTTGGGATGTCATGTGCTGTGAGTGGAAGGAGAAGTGAGTGAGGTGATGGGCAGGTTGAACAGGGCAAGCTGGGATGGCCATGTGGATGGGGAGGATACGGGTAGAAGTCGGGGAGAAGAGAAGCAAGGTGGTCCATGCCTCCTGCTCAGGCAATCCCTTCTCCTTTCGGATATCAACCCTGGTGGCTCTGCTCTTGTCTCCTCCTCTCCCCAACAATGCAGCTCACGAGGTCAATGCATGACGCCATTCTCAGTAACACCTTCCCCAGGTTTGCCTCCCTTCCTTGATCCGCCTCCCCACTCACCCCCCTGTCATCACATCTTAACATTCCATGTCCCACCCATCCCACTTCAAACCCTATAGCCTCGGATCTCACCATCCTCAGGCGCCTCAGAGCTCTTGCTCGTGCTCTTTTCCCATGGTTGACACGAGGAAGCTCAGAGCGCAAGGAAGATTCTCATGGTTGAATATCTGTTTGTTTTCTGGCTGTCCTCGTGCTCCTTTCTTCCATGGGCTCACCTCTTGCCTTGCTCCCCTGTCCCTTGCTCCCCTCTCCCTGCAGCTTCGTTGTTGATTTTCTCAAGAAACAGGTGTGCCCTTTCACCTGCTCTCCTCTAACCTGCTCCCCTCTCACTTGTTCCCCTCTCACTTGTTCCCCTCTCACTTGTTCCCCTCTCACTTGTTCCCCTCGCACCCTTTCACCTTTTCACATTTTCACCCTTTCACCTTTTCACCTCTCACCTTTTCACCCTTTCACCTTTCACCCTTTCAACTTTTCACCTTTCATCTTTCACCTTTTCAACTAGGTCTCACTTGACAAGGTCTCACTTGGCAAGGTCTCACTTGGCAAGGTCTCACTTGGCAAGGTCTCACTTGATAAGGTCTCACTTGACAAGGTCTTACTTGACAAGGTCTCACTTGACAAGGTCTCACTTGGCAAGGTCTCACTTGGCAAGGTCTCACTTGAAAAGGTCCCACTTGACAAGGTCTCACTTGGCAAGGTCTCACTTGACAAGGTCTCACTTGACCAGGTCTCACTTGACCAGGTCTCACTTGACCGGGTCTCAGTTCCTCTCGTCTTGTTAGCTCTCCCCCCACTCTCAACACATGCCCCACATGCACACGTTTCCGCAGCATCCCACATCCCCCATCTCCACACCGCCACATCCCCACCCCATCCCACATTCCCACGTCCACACCTCCCCCCATCCCCACATCCCCTCTTCCCATCTCCCTGCATCCCCGTGTCTCTGTGGGTGCAGTTCCCCCACGGTGATGTCCCCCAGTGGGTGCAGTCTGCCATGCAAGTGGCTGAAATCGATATCTCTCCGGCACTGCGCTCTGCTCCCCACTCTGCTCCCCACTCTGCTCCCCACTCTGCCTCACCACACTGACATCTTTCCCCTGCACCTGCTGCTCGCTCGAGGTGACTCTCGGATCGACTCAAAAGGCACCGCAGTCAGCCATGTGAGCTGCTGCCATCCACATCTCTCCTCTGCACTGCGCTCTGCTCCCCACTCTGCCTCACCACACTCACTTCGCACAGGCTTGTTCACACTTGTGCGTGGGGCTCCTCGTGTGTGGTGCCGAGCACCATGGATGAGATGACACCAATGGGCCTCCATTGTTGTTGAGCTTCTAGTTTCTATCCATAATCCATGTGTGATCTCGAGTGATGGGACCGTTTTGTTTCGTGCACCCACGTAAAGCACCCCCTTGAATAACGGAAACAACGGCAGAGGCTCTTCAAGAACTGCTGTGCCATAACTGCTGTGAATTGAACTAGTCTTTGCACTCTCTGCATGACATAAGTTGGGCCTCTTCAGAGTTACTGTGACAAAGTCTAGATTGCTGGGTGTGGCTGTGGAATAACGATAGTACTGGAGCTTCCCAGCACCCCCGAGAACAGAACAGGACCCTTTCGTTCATCCATACTCTGAGCACCACGTACTATAAGCAGGTGAATACTGCCATCAGTCATCTCTCCACCATGCTCCGCACATACTCACCAGCACCTGACAGCACCTGCCAGCACCTACCAGCACCTGCCAGCGCATGCCAGCACCTGCCAGCGCATGCCAGAACCCGCCAGCGCCTGCCAGCACCTGCCAGCATCTACCCGCGCCTGCCCGCTCCTGCCAGCGCCTGCCAGCACCTGCCAGCACCTGCCAGCACCTGCCAGCGCATGCTAGCCCGCGCCTGCCCGCTCTTGCCAGCACCTGCCAGCACCTGCCAGCACCTGCCAGCGCCTGCCAGCACCTGCCAGCACCTGCCAGCAGCTGCCAGTGCCTGCCAGCGCCTGCCAGCTTCTGCCAGCGCCCGCCAGCGCCTGCCAGCGCCTGCCAGCAACTGCCAACAACTGCCAGCACTGCCAGCAACTGCCAGCACCTGCCAGCACCTGCCAGCACCAGCCAGCACCTGCATGTGTGTATGGGGTGGGGTCCCCTGGAGCATAGTGCATGTGTGTATGGGGTGGGTGGAGCATAGTGCATGTGTGTATGGGGTGGGGTCCCCTGGAGCATAGTGCATGTGTGTATAGGGTGGGGTCCCCTGGAGCATAGTGCATGTGTGTATAGGGTGGGGTCCCCTGGAGCATAGCGCATGTGTGTATAGGGTGGGGTCCCCTGGAGCATAGCGCATGTGTGTATGGGGTGGGGTCCCCTGGAGCATAGTGCATGTGTGACGTGGGGTCGGGTCCCTGGAGCGTCCACGCGGCATCCTGTGCCCTCAAGGTGTCAAGTCTCAGCCCTAACCGCTCTCCGCCTTCAGCGGGCTGCGGGCAGCGGGAAGCGGGAAGCGGGCAGGGGCCAGCGGGCAGCAGGCAGCGGGAAGCGGGCAGCGGGCAGCGGGCAGCGGGCAGCGGGCAGCGGTCAGCGGGAAGCGGCCAGCAGGAAGAGGGCAGCGAGGAGCTGGCAGCGGGCAGCGGGCAGCGGTCAGCGGGCAGCGGGCAGAGGGTAGCGGGTAGCGGGCAGCGGTCAGCGGTCAGCGGTCAGCGGTCAGCGGGAAGCGGGCAGCGGCAGCGGGCAGCGGGAAGCGGCCAGCGGGCAGCGAGAAGCGGGAAGTGGGCAGTGGGCAGCGGGCAGAGGGCAGCTGGCAGAGGGCAGCGGGCAGCGGGCAGCGGGCAGCGGGAAGTTGGAAGCGGGAAGCGGGCAGCGGGCAGCGGGAAGCGGGAAGCGGGCAGCGGGCAGCGGGAAGCGGGAAGCGGGCAGCGGGGAGCGGGCAGCGGGCAGCGGGAAGCGGGAAGCGGGCAGCAGGAAGCGGGAAGCAGGTAGCGGGCAGCGGGCAGCGCGCAGTGGGCAGCGGGAAGCGGGAAGCGGGCAGCGGGAAGCGGGCAGCGGGAAGCGGGCAGCGAGAAGAGGGAAGCGGTCAGCGGGCAGCGGGCAGCGGGCAGCGGACAGCGGGAAGCGGGCAGCGGGCAGCGTGCAGCAGGCAGCGGGCAGCGGGCAGTGGGAAGCAGGAAGTGGGAAGCGGGCAGCGGGCAGCGGGCAGCGGGAAGCGGGCAGGGGGAAACGGGAAGCGGGCAGCGGGAAGCGGGCAGCGGGCAGCGCGAAGTGGGAAGTGGGCAGCGGGCAGAGGGAAGCGGGAAGCAGGAAGCGGGCAGCGGGCAGCGGGCAGCGGGAAGCGGGCAGCGGGCAGCGGGAAGCGGGCAGCGGTCAGCGCGCAGCGCGCAGCGGGCAGCGGGCAGCGGGCAGCGGGCAGCGGGCAGCGGGCAGCGGGAAGCGGGCAGCGGGCAGAGGGCAGCAGGCAGCGGGCAGTGGGAAGCGGGCAGCGGGCAGCGGGCAGCGGTAAGCGGGCAGCGGGCAGCGGGCAGTGGGCAGGGGGCAGCGGGAAGCGGGAAGCGGGCAGCGGGCAGCGGGCAGCGGGCGGCGGGCGGCGGGCAGCGGGCGGCGGGCGGCGGGCAGCGGGCAGCGGGAAGCAGGAAGCGGGCAGCGGTCAGCGGTCAGCGGGCAGCGGGCAGCGGGCAGCGGGAAGCGGGCAGCGCGCAGCGGGCAGCGGGCAACGGGAAGCGGGAAGCGGGAAGCGGGAAGCGGGAAGCGGGATGCGGGCAGCGGGCAGCGGGCAGCTGGAAGCGGGATGCGGGCAGCGGGCAGTGGGCAGCGGGCAGCTGGAAGCGGGATGCGGGCAGCGGGCAGTGGGCAGCGGGAAGCGGGAAGCGGGAAGCGGGAAGCGGGCAGCGGGCAGCGCGTAGCGGGCAGCGGGCAGCGGGAAGTGGGAAGCGGGAAGCGGGAAGCGGGTGGGCTTTGGATGGGCTTGGATGGGCTTGGATGGGCTTGGGTGGACTTCAGATGGGCTGCTTGGATGGGCTTTGATGGGTTTGGATGGGCATGTGGTGGCGTTTAGAGGGCATGTGACCTGCTCGAACTCCTTGAGCTGAGCCATGCATGACAGCATCTCCACCACCAGGGCATGTGAGGGATGCATGGAAATCGCCGACCGGGCTACAGCGGGAATAAGAGACTCTGCTTAATGTAAATGTGTTGTGTGAGCCATACTCGAAGTCGATCATCTGAGCCAGGCATGCCAGGATCTGCACCACGAGGGCATGCCCGCTCCGCATCTCCTGCTGCCACGTCACCCCCTCCCACTGCCTTCCCCCCTCCCCGCCTTCCCTCCCCCTCCCCCCCCTCCGCCCTAGCGCCATGATCAGCGTCCCCACAGCGTTCGGCAGTGGCATCAACCCCTGATCCCACCCCTTCTGGTACGCGTCCAGGGCGGCTTGTGTCCGGCCCGCTGCTGTCATGGCTTTGACCACAGCACTCACTGCGTTGGCGCCCACCTTGTGCCCCGCTGCCTCTGCTTCTGCCAGGTGCCAGGTACTGGTGAGATGGAAAGAGGGGGGTTGGGGGGGGGGATGATGAAAGGCTGATTCCTCCCACCTTGTGCCCTGCCGCCTCTGCTGCTGGGAGGCACTGGCATGCAGTTGGAAGAAGGCAAAGGAAGGGGAGGGGTGGAGTGCAATAGTGATGGGAGGGAGGAAACGAGCATGCTTAAAGGGCAAGCAAGATACACTAGATTCTCGCTGTCATCCTTGCAGAGCTCACACAGAGGAGGCTGTCTGTATCCCACTGTGCCTGCATGGCGCCATTGATGTCCCCTGTCTTCTGGTGCAGTTCCACCATAGCGGCATGCAGGTAGCTGTTGGGCGGCACCCCATGCTGCCCCATTATCTCGTGCATCCTCATGCTCAGCCCTTTGTTGCGTGCCACGGCGCACCCCTGCACGTGCTGGATGAACACCACCACGTTGGGCTGGATGCCATCCCTGGCACCGTCATTTCTCTTAGCAAGTGGATGGCTGCTGATAGCTTACCCTGGCTGGGGGAAAGGGAGGGGAGGAGTGGGTGGATGTAGAGAGGAGGGGTGAGAAGGAGTGGGGAGTGTCCTCACAGAACCAGCCTGCTTGCAAGATATGTGCATGATGGGTGTACAGGGATGTAGCCACTACTGAGCTGGAAGTGCGCGAACAGCGGACCCAACACCTGCTTGTTTGCAGAAGGCGTGGATGATGGGAGTGTAGATGTAGCTGTTGCATTGCACGCCCTTGGCCCGCATCTCAGCAACGACTTATAGCACCATCGGCATCTGCAAAGGGGGGATTGGGGCACAGGATGGGGAATGCCCGGGTGAGAGAGCAGGAGGGGGAAGGCACGGGTGAGAGAGCGGGAGGGGGAAGGCACGGGTGAGAGAGCGGGAGGGGGAAGGCCCGGGTGAGAGAGCGGGAGGGGGAAGGCACAGGTGAGAGAGCGGGAGGGGGAAGGCACGGGTGAGAGAGCGGGAGGGGGAAGGCACAAGTGAGAGAGCGGGAGGGGGAAGGCATGGGTGAGAGAGCGGGAGGGGGGAGGCATGGGCGAGAGAGCGGGAGGGGGGTGGTACGGGCGAGAGAGCAGGAGGGGGGAAGGAGGTTGAGAGGGAGGTAGCTGTTGCTCTGCACGCTCTTGGGCATCATCTCAACTACCACCTCTAGCGCCATGTGCATATGCAGAAAAGGGGGGGGGGGGAAGGGGAGGAACAACTGAGAGAGAGGGTGCAGTTAGGAGGTTGGGAGAGAGGGAGAGGAGGTGAGAGAGGAAGAGGGAGGTTGGGAGAGGAGAGGGAGGTTGGGAGAGAGTGCGAGGAGGAGGTTCACAGGAAGTGCAAAGGAAGTTAATGGGTGCAGCTGTTGCACACTCAGACTCACACCCATCGAGGAACGCACATTGTCCACCTCCAAGCACGCCTCTATGAGGTTGCTGAATGATGCCACAGTCAGCTCGCTCCCCATCTAGCGCATCTCGTCTGCCAGGGCGAGCACCTCCTTGAAGAACTTGGAGCGCCAACCTACTCGCACCCCCCCCAACCAAAGATTCGCATTATCCACCTCCAGACACCTCTCTATGAGGCTGCTAAAAGAAGCAGCGGTCAGCCCGCTGCCCATCTTGCCCATCGCGTCGGCCAGCGCAAGCGCCTCCTTGAAAAGCTTGGAGCGCGCGAGCTGGCGCAACAGTGGGTCGAAGATGCGTGGCGTGAGGGCGAAGCCCAGCTGCTGCATCTCTTCTAGCCTGTCCATGGCCCGGTCGAGCTGCTCGGGAGGAGGGGGGAAGGGATGGAGAAGTGGGAGCAGCGGATTGAAAGCGCGCAGGGTGAGGGTAATATAAACCAGAATACTCATCTAAGCCGCCATGCATGCAGCAGATCAATTATAGCTGCTGCATGCATGTAGTCTTTTAGCAGCTCTCTTTTACATTTTAATATGCTCCCCTAGCATGTCCATGGCCCCGTGGAGCTGCTCAGGGGGGAAAAGGGGGTGCGGGAGGCGGGGAGACAGGAAGAGGGGCAGGAGGGTGATGAGGAGAATGGAAAAGAGCTATGTGATCTGTAGAGGATTTTTTAGGCGCCTAAAAAATCAGTGATCTGCAAAGGACGCCTAAAACATCTGTGATCTGCAGAGGGGAGCAAACACAGGGAGGAGGAACGAACAGCAGAACCTGCTAGAGATATGCTGCAATTCGGTTGGCACAACTTTTGTGTTGGTAATTTGTTGGTTGTAGGGTTAGGCATATTTGTTAGGTTGGGTGTAGCTATGCTTTCATCCCCAACCTATCCCAACCCATTCCATCCCAAATCCCCATGATTTGGGAGGATTCCCTTGGGGATTCCCTCCGATTCTCCCTTATCCCTTCCCATCCTCTCCAATGCTTGGTACTTAAGGATGTATGCTCTTGCTCCTTAATCAATCAAGTTTTCAGTTTCTGACAGAACCCACTTGGTCGGTCACACATAGCAGGGCGATGAAGCGAGACAATATACCCTTACTGCCTCTCGCACCAACCCTTAGGTCAGGTGCGATCATACCCTCTCCCTCTGAAGGCCACTACTTGAAGGCCACTGCTTGCTTGCCCTGCAACTCTCTCACACAACGCATTCCCCCACGCTCACCTGGCTGTTGACGCACAACACTGAGATGAAGATGGAAGAAATCCCCTCGTGAGGTTGCAGCCCTGTGCTCTGGACCGCATCCCTCACCACCCCTCACGAGCGCTCAAACTCGCCCTGCGACGCCCACTCCCGGCCCTGCCGCTCTATCACTGGCCGAAAATCCTTCCAGAAATTCAGGCCTATGAACTGTCGGCGAGTCAGTTGTGCCGCCAGGCAGGGAGAACGGGGCTGAATAGGTGGAACGCGGAGGGGGGGAGGGAACTATAGGGGCATAGAGGACAGTCAAAGAGTTACTGCAGTGTCTGTTTGAAATACACATGAAGCCCTTCCAGTAATTCGATCTCATGAACTGCCACCACCGGGCGAGCTGCCTGTCATCACTCACCGTCTGCCAGCCCAGTGGCTTCAGCTGCCGCCACCATCCCCTCGAGCACATCGGGATGGCCTGCCTGCTCGGCAGCATCGAACGGAATACTCCAGCGGACGATCCGCTCCCAGCTGTGGCCGTGGAGGTGGGCTGAAGCCACTGGGCACATCCGTGCGGCTCGCCTGGCCGGCAGCAGCGAGGGTGGTGCTCCAGAGGGCGACGCGCTCCCACCCCTGCGAGTGGAAGTAAGACGCCAGCGCGTGCGGCAGCAGCAGCAGTATGTCATCCCACTGCCGGGCCAAGGCCAACTTGTGCACTATGGAGTCTGGTAGGCGGTGGGGATGGGGGGGGGGGGGAAGCTGGCACGTAGGTGGGGGAATGCGGCCGCAGCAGCAGCATGTCGCCCCACTGCTGCGCAGAGGCCAGCTTGTGCATCGTGGAGACTGGTTGAGAACAGGGAGGGAAGGAGATAGATAGGAGAGTAAGTGCGAGCAGCAGCAGTACTGTTACAGGCTGAATGGCGGGCTGGAGTTATACAGCATTAGGAGCATTCGGCCTTATGTATGTGAAGGCTGAAACGACAGAGGGGGCAGTGGAGAAATGGGAAGCCAGGCTCGAACCAGAAACAGAGAACGGAGAAGAAGCCACTGACCAGGATTGGCTGAGAGCACGGAGAGCAGGTGTGCATCGGCTGAGACAGGTGGCTTTGAATGGCCGAACAGCTGCAGGCGATCCAAGAGGGTAGGGAACATGGGAGCCAGGGATTCGCCCTTCTCTGCCATCCATGCATGACAGCCATCACGCACATATACTATTGTATTATTCGTCAGTCATGGTACTAGGTATGCCGCTTTCTTGTTTTTAGAGGGTGCATTGTATTTTCATATTTGCTAGTACAAATTTGCATTGCAACGAGTCGTTGTTTTCAAACCTGAGGCCGTGCCCTGAGTTCCGATTTTGATAAAGTTTCGCAGAGAAGACTACTACTATAACTCACAGGCCACGATTCAACTCTGCATAACCTAACTGCACCGAAAACCAATAACGAGATTTTTCGCACCTGGAACACGCCCCAAAGCCTGCCTGGGGTGGTTCTAGCTACATCACCCCATGGCCCATGGTCGCTGTCCCAAGAGAGGTTGTTGGGCCACCTGGCTGGCCATAAGTGTGTTAGGGGCTCCGAAAGCGACAGCCATCAGTGTAGGTCTGAGCCCCTGCTGTCGTTAGAGTTCTCTCTACTGCTTAGAACCACCCCACGGACCGTTCGGTAACCGGCACGCCCGGTTTTCTTTCTTTAGAGGGTCCGAGAGCCATCGGGAGTTACGCTATCATCGTTATTACCGTTTGCATCGTGGGAAATCTTAGACGGTCTTATTCTTTTAGGGAATGTGACAATAGGCGTTGTGACTCAAAGCCTTGTGACAGCATGGACTCACCAGGTTCTATGAAACGGTCTAGGCTATTACAGAGGCATCTCCTGCCGTTTCTGTTGCTCTTCCTTCTGCTCACCTTATCGCAATGTCGAGGCGACGCATTACCGGGTACGTGCGCCGTCGCCGGGGAATGCGAGTCGGGAGGCGATGCGGAGGCAGCAGCGATGGCAGGAAAGGACCGTGTGAAGATCGACGAGGAATCTGCTCAAGACGCGAAGAGCCGGGTGGATCCGTACGCGCTGCTGAAGGACGGACACGCCAAGGTGATATCCGTGTGGACATAGCCCAGGTGATATAGCTATCGCTCCCGCTTTTCTAGTGGCTTTCCGCATGCCCTGCCTCCTCGTGCCGTCATATCGTACTTCATGTGTCGGTGTTTCTGATTCCTGCGTTTCCCTGTGAGAGAAGTCTAGTTTTGAGGCGCCTCAAAACTGTTTCTGATTCCTGCGTTGCCCTGTGCTCCATTCCCGCGTGGCCATGTACCTGTCGCCATCTCATGCATCAACGCACGCGTCGCCATCGCGTTCGCCCGACGCACCGAACAGCTCAAGGCGAAGAACTTCGAGGAAGCGATTACCGCGTACAATCAGGTCAGCGCTTCTCTCCATTCCCCTCCCTCAGCTGGCTGATGGCTCCAGGTAGGTGGCTGATGGCTCCAGGTAGGTGTCTGATGCCTCCAGGTAGGTGTCTGATGCCTCCAGGTAGGTGTCTGATGCCTCCAGGTAGGTGTCTGATGCCTCCAGGTAGGTGTCTGATGCCTCCAGGTAGGTGTCTGATGCCTCCAGGTAGGTGTCTAATGGCTCCAGGTAGGTGTCTGATGCCCCCAGGTAGGTGGCTGATGGCCCCAAGTAGGTGGCTGATGGCCCCAGGTAGGTGTCTGATGGCCCCAGGTAGGTGTCTGATGCCTCCAGGTAGGTGTCTAATGGCTCCAGGTAGGTGTCTGATGCCCCCAGGTAGGTGGCTGATGGCCCCAAGTAGGTGGCTGATGGCCCCAGGTAGGTGTCTGATGGCCCCAGGTAGGTGTCTGATGCCTCCAGGTAGGTGTCTAATGGCTCCAGGTAGGTGTCTGATGCCCCCAGGTAGGTGGCTGATGGCCCCAAGTAGGTGGCTGATGGCCCCAGGTAGGTGTCTGATGGCCCCAGGTAGGTGGCTGATGGCTCCAGGCATGAGTTCCCTTCCATCTCGTTGTGCTTGCGCCCATGGTCCGTTCGACATGCCCTTCCTCCCTTGCCCCTCACGGCCCTCTCTCGCCCTCGCCTCATCACCATCCACTTACCCCCCAGCTGAACGCTGTTCTCTCCCACCTCTATGCCGGCATGCTGCATGGCAGGGGTGCTGGCGACCGGCCTGACTATGAGCTCGCTCCCATCCCTCTCTTCCTCTCTGTGTCCGCCCCCTCCTCGCCCTCTCTGTGTCTCCCCCTGCTCTCCCGTCCTCGCAGCTGGACGCCGTTCTGTCCAGCATCTACGGCACCATGCTGCATGGCCGGGGCGTCGCCCACTCCATGCTGCAGCAGCACCTGCAAGCGGCTGCCGACTTCAAACAGGTGACTTGGGACATTGAGAGCTGGCGGGCATTGAGAGCAGTTGAGTTGCATTGAACAAAGGGTCGGTTGTCCTGGGCAGCCTTACCTACCAAAGGAATTCTGTGCAACACGGTGCAAATCCGCCTCTTGGCTCTGTGTGTGTACGCGCGCCGCGTGCGTGCTCGTGTGTATGTGTGTGTGCGCGCGCCGCGTGCGTGCTCGTCTGTGTGTGTGTGTGCGCGCGCGTGTGTATGCACGCTCACCCATCTCCCCACCCTTTGTGCGCACAGGCAGTGGAAAAGCTGCCTTGCAAGCCCGAGTACTGGATGGATGGAGCTGGTGCAGTGCAGTGCAGTGCAACACCATTTGTCCAGCATTGTGCAAAACCCATCCTCTCTGTGTGTGTGTGTCAATGCTCACCCGTCTCCTCTTAATTGTGCACAGGCAGTGGCGAAGCAGCCCAGCAAGCCCGAGTACTGGATGGAGCTGGGGCAGGAGTACACCATTCTCAACGACTATGAAAATGTGAGATTGCCATCCACCGCTTGCATCAACCGCTGCTTGTGTGATTCCATTGCTCCACCTTAACCTCTGCGTTGTGTGATTGCTCCACCTCTAACATTTGTTTTTGGTAAGTTACGGGCTTTTCCCCGCGTCCCCCTGCAGGCTTTTCCCCACACCCCCCTGTGGCTTTTCCCTAAGCCCCCCTGCGGCTTTTCCCCGCCCACCCCCATTTGAAGTTGTTTTCGCCCCCTCTTGCTCCCTGCGTCGTCCACCCACACTTGCGCCCTCCCTTTGAAGTCCACAGCACCTGCATTTGAGCAGTGGAGCTGGACTTTCACAACAAGAGCAAAGAACCATTCTTGTCTTGTCCCCCTTCCCCCCGTCCCTCCCGTCCACCAGGCCCACAACGCCTTTACCAAAGCAGTGGAGCTCGACCCTCACAACGACAAGGCCAGGCGATTCCGAGGTGGGGGGGGAGGGGAACTGTCAAGAGGCGCAAGGGGAGGGGAAGGGGAAGCCTTAGTTTTCTTTGGAATTGCGCACTACTCGTCAGCCCTTTCTTTACGAATTCCCTTCCAATGCTCAGCTCTGTGCATGAATCAGCCTCTCCCTTTTACGGCTGACCCATAATTGTACCCCTTTACTCCCCTTCTTCCCTGCCCCCTTCCCATCCCCTTCCCTGCCATATCCCAGGCATGAGCGCATTTGATCCAGCAGTACGCAGCAGCCCTGGGCGATCTCGTCCCTGCTCTTCACGCAAATGGCTGCCGCTCTCCTAGGCCCTGACTGCTACTGCAAGTCGTAGCAGCACTGGGAGGAGGGCGTGCGAGCAAGCTGCCTTTCTCCTGTGCCTCAACCAATCCTCCCCTCTCCCTCTTCCTCTCCCTCCCCCCTCCCCCCTCCTCTTCCAGGCATGAGTGCGTTTGAGATCGAGCACTATGCAGCAGCCCTGGGCGACCTCATCCCTGCCTTGACCCAAGACCCGTCCAACCCCGAGCTGCTCACGCAAGTGGCCGCCTCCCTCCTGCGCCTCAACCACTACCGCGAGTCGCAGCCGTACTGGGAGGAGGGCGTGCAGGCGCACCCCGATGACGGGAACCTGTGGCTGCAGAAGGGGATTACACATCGGATCTTGGGCGAGGGGCAGAAGGCGGTTGACTCGCTGCTCATGGGCCTCACTGTCGAAGAGTAGGTGGCGTGCAAGGTTGGTGGCGAGCAAGGTTGGTGGCGAGCAAGGTTGGTGAGTTTTCGTGGTAGAGTGTGAGGGCTTGGGGAAGACGGGCCTGGCGTGCTAACTTTTGAGTCGACTGAAAAATGCCGGCGTGCCGGCATGCTAGCATGCTGGCGTGCACAAGTGCGTGCACATTCTCATGCCCCAAAACACGCTACAACTGACCCGCACATGCCGTAGCCGCTGCGCGCACCTGTGCATGACACTTGCTGCTCTCACCTATGCATGTATGACCGGTACATGAGCTGGTCTAGCCTGCTGCCTGTGCACGCCCAAGGACACACTCACCTCAGATGATGCAGCTGTTCCAGCCTGCGACTTACTGGTATGCGTTCTGGCGGTCAGACTCCGTCAGAAACCCATTCTGGCGGTCAGACTGCGTCAGAATCCCATTCTAGCAGTCAGAATCCGTCACAATCCCATTCTGACAGTCAGAGTCTTTCACAATCCCATTCTGGCGGTCAGAGTCCGTCAGAATCCCATTCTGGCGGTCAGAGTCTGTCAGTATCGCATTCTGGCGGTCAGAGTCTGTCAGCATCCCATTCTGGCGGTCGGAATCCGTCAGCATCCCATTCTCACGGTCGGAGTCCGTCAGCATCCCATTCTGGCGGTCAGAGTCCGTCAGAATCCCTTTCTGACAGTCAGAGTCTGTCAGAATCGCATTCTGGCGGTCAAAGTCTGTCAGAATCCCATTCTGGCGGTCAGAATCCGTCAGTATCCCATTCTGGCGGGCAGAGTCCGTCAGAATCCCATTCTGGCGGTCAGAGTCCGTCAAAATTCCATTCTGGCGGTCAGAGTCCGTCAGAATCCCATTTTGGCGGTCGACGTCCGTCAGCATCCCATTCTGACGGCCAGAGTCCGTCAGAATCCCATTCTGACGGCAGAGTCCGTCAGTATCCCATTCTGGTGGCCAGAGTCCGTCAGAATCCCATTTTGGCGGTCGAAGTCCGTCAGAATCCCATTCAGGCGGTCAGAGTCAGTCAGAATCCCATTCTGGCGGTCAGAATCCGTCACAATCCCATTCTGGCTACCAGAATCCGTCAGAATCCCATTCTGGCGGTCAGAGTCCGCCAGAATCCCATTCCGGTGAGAATCCGTCAGAATCCCATTCTGGCGATCAGAGTCCCTCAGAATCCCATTCTGGCGGCCAGAGTCCGCCAGCATCCCATTCTGGCTGTCAGAGTCCGTCAGCATCCCATTCTGGCAGCCAGAGTCCGTCAGCATCCCATTCTAGCGGCCAGAGTCCGTCAGCATCCCATTCTGGCGGTCAGAGTCCGCCAGCATCCCATCATGGCGGCCAGAGTCCGTCAGTATCCCATTCTGGCGGCTTGAGTCCGCCAGCATCCCATTCTGGCGGTCAGAGTCCGTCAGAATCCCATTCTGGCGATCAGAGTCCGTCAGAATCCCTTTCTGACAGTCAGAGTCTGTCAGAATCGCATTCTGGCGGTCAAAGTCTGTCAGAATCCTATTCAGGCGGTCAGAGTCCGTCAGAATCCCATTCTGGCGGCAGAGTCCGTCAGAATCTCATTTTGGCGGTCGAAGTCCGTCAGCATCCCATTCTGGCGGTCAGTGTCCATTGGAATTGATTCTGGCGGCCAGAGTCCGTCAGAATCCCATTTTGGCGGTTGAAGTCCGTCAGAATCCCATTGAGGCGGCCAGAGTCAGTCAGAATCCCATTCTGGCGGTCAGAATCCGTCACAATCCCATTCTGGCTACCAGAGTCCGTCAGAATTCCATTCTGGCGGTCAGAGTCCGCCAGAATCCCATTCCGGTGAGAATTCGTCAGAATCCCATTCTGGCGATCAGAGTCCCTCAGAATCCCATTCTGGCGGTCAGAGTCGATAAGTATTCCATTCTGGCGGCCAGAGTCCGTCAGAATCCCATTGTGGCGGTCAGAGTCCGTCAGAATCCCACTCTGGCGGTCAGAGTCCGTCAAAATCCCATTCTGGCGGTCAGAGTCCGTCAGCATCCCATTCTGGCAGCCAGAGTCTGTCAGAATCCCATTCTGGCGGCAGAGTCCGTCAGCATCGCATTCTGGCGGTCAGAATCCGTCAGTATCCCATTCTGGCGGCTGGAGTCCGTCAGAATCCCATTCTGGTGGTCAGAGTCCGTCAGCATCCCATTCTGGCGGCCAGAGTCCGTCAGCATCCCATTTTGGCGGCCAGAGTCTGTCAAAATCCCATTCTGGCGGCAGAGTCCGTCAGCATCGCATTCTGGCGGTCAAAATCCGTCAGTATCCCATTCTGGCGGCTGGAGTCCGTCAGAATCCCATTCTGGCGGCTGGAGTCCGTCAGCATCCCATTCTGGCGGCCAGAGTCCGTCAGCATCCCATTCTGGCGGCCAGAGTCCGTCAGCATCCCATTCTGGCGGCCAGAGTCCGCCAGCATCCCATTCTGGCGGTCAGAGTCCGTCAGAATCCTATTCTGGCTGCCAGAGTCCGTCAGCATCCCATTCCGGCGGCCAGAGTCCGTCAGCATCCCATTCTGGCGGCCAGAGTCTGTCAGCATCCCATTCTGGCGGCCAGAGTCCGCCAGCATCCCATTCTGGCGGCCAGAGTCCGTCAGTATCCCATTCTGGTGGCCAGAGTCCGTCAGCATCCCATTCTGGCGGCCAGAGTCCGTCAGCATCCCATTCTGGCGGCCAGAGTCCGCCAGCATCCCATTCTGGCGGTCAGAGTCCGTCAGAATCCTATTCTGGCTGCCAGAGTCCGTCAGCATCCCATTCCGGCGGCCAGAGTCCGTCAGCATCCCATTCTGGCGGCCAGAGTCCGTCAGCATCCCATTCTGGCGGCCAGAGTCCGCCAGCATCCCATTCTGGCGGTCAGAGTCCGTCAGAATCCTATTCTGGCTGCCAGAGTCCGTCAGCATCCCATTCCGGCGGCCAGAGTCCGTCAGCATCCCATTCTGGCGGCCAGAGTCCGTCAGCATCCCATTCTGGCGGCTTGAGTCCGCCAGCATCCCATTCTGGCGGTCAGAGTCCGTCAGAATCCCATTATGGCGATCAGAGTCCGTCAGAATCCCATTCTGGTGGTCAAAGTCCGTCAGAATCCCATTCTGGCGGTCAGAGTCCGTCAGCATCCCATTTTGGCGGCCAGAGTCCGTCAGAATCCCATTCTGGCAGTCAGAGTCCGTCAGCATCCCATTCTGGCGGCCAGAGTCCGTCAGAATCCCATTCTGGTGGTCAGAAGCCGTCGGAATCCCATTCTGGCTGTTAGAGTCCATCAGAATTGATTCTGGCGGAAAGAATCAATCAGAATCCCATTCTGGCGGTCAGAGTCCGTCAGAATCCCATTCGAGCGGTCAGAGTCTGTCAGAATCCCATTCTGGCTATCAGAGTCCGTCAGAGCCCCCATTCTTGCAGTCAGAGTCCGTCAGAATCCCATTCTGGCCGTCAGAGTCCGTCAGAATCCCATTCTTCGGAAGTCACCAAAGTGGGGGCTGTCTTCGGAAGACGGCGAAGTCGGGGGCGTCTTCAGAAAACGACTAAGTCGGTGGCGTCTTCGGAAGACGGCGAAGTCGGGGCCGTCTTCGGAAGACGGCTAAGTCGGGGGCGTCTTCGGAAGACGCCGAAAACGGGGGCGTCTTCAGATGTCGCCGAAGACGGGGGCGTCTTTGGAAGTCGCCGAAGACGGGGGCGTCTTCGGAAATGATCAAGCTCAGCTGGAGCAGGGCAGGCTCAGTACAGCAATTAGGCTGTATCTTCTTGTCTCAGATTTTTCCCTGTGTGTGGCGTGCTGATGTTTGGCGGTTGTGTGCGATGATGTGCGATTGTGTGTGGTTGCACTGGCAGGAACATTGAGATCTACCACAACCTGGCCGCCACGAGGCGATACCAAGGGGATCACTGGTGAGCAAGGCTAGTCATTCCAGCTCTAGGTCATGTGATAGCAAGAATAAGGAGAAAGCAGCGGGCTATGAGAACGGCTGCTTGTGTTTTCTGTGTGCCAGTCCATGCGAGCTGCTGAGTGACTTTTGAGTCGACTCAAAAGTTTTCTGTGCCAGTCCATGCGAGCTGCTGAGTGGCACATGCGAGACTCTTGTCCCCTGTCAACCCCTCCCCCGTCCACCCCCCTACACCCCCGTCCACCCCCCTCCATCCCCCTCCATCCCCCTCCACCCCCCTCCACCCCAACCGTGCAGGGGCGCCATTGAGTGGTGCGACAAGGGCCTGGCGTTCCGCCCGGAGGACAGCGAGCTGCTGTACGTGCGCGCCTCCATGCACCACGCGCTGGGCGACCACGCCACCGCTGTAAGTCGTGGCACTGGTGTAGTACCTTTAGCTGCCAGTCTATACTACAGCGGACGGTGCTACACCTTCTGTTAATATCTGAAATCCACGCCACGATATCTGCAACACTGCTTCTTTGCCCGTGTCCTCCCGCGCCCCTCGCAGCTGGCAGGCTACGACCATCTCATGGCAATGGGCGCAGGCCGGCAGATGACGTTCAACCAAGCCCTCGCCTTCTACCAGGTGCCCCTTTGCAGTTGTGCCGCTGAGTTGGGGCCAACATTCACAACTTTAACGTCTCGCCTTCTTTTCTCCTTAGCAAGCGTCCTGACTTCAGCTGCGGCCTGCCGTTCTCAGCTGTTTCTCTCCTCAACCACCCTCCCCATTTTCAATCGTGCCCCATGTGCCGTCAGAGGGAGGTGCTGTTGTACATGGTGGTCAGGCTCGACCTGCCCTTCTCAACGCTTTCTCCTCCCTGCTCGTCCCACCTGCTCCCATGTGCTCCCCCCATGTGCTGCCCGGTTCAATCAACTCGGGCCCATCAGAGGGAGGTGCTGCTGTACACGGTGGCCAGGCTGGACCTGCCTTTCTCCGCCTTCCAAATGGACGAAGACATGGATGTGGACTTCAAGGTCAGTGCATTCACTGGCGTTGACCCGCGCTGACTCGCGTTGACTGGCGTTGACTGGCATCGTAGGAGCTCGACCTGCCCTTCTCCGCCTTCCAGATGGACAATGACATGATATGGGCATGGACTTCAAGGCCAATGCTGCCCTGCCTCCATGGCTTGCCTGCATTGACTTGCATTGCCTGGCTCTGGCTTGTTGCTATTCAACTTCGTCTGTGCCAGAAGTGACACTGGTCAGTCTCGACTTGATTTGACTGGGTTTGACTGACGTTAACCGACGTTGACTGTCGTTGACTGGCATTGACCTGGCAGGTGGCATGGCTGAACAGGAGGGTGCCTCCCTCCCTGCCCAAATATCACAACCTGTCTGTGCCTGATCACCAATTGGAGGGTGCTACATGGCAGTTGCTGCCGCAGCTGTCAGAAGGTGCCTTGGCTGTGATCGCTGCGGCTGATGAGATTGGCTGGCGGGCTCACTACGAGACGGATGGTGTGATGCCAAACAAGCAGCAGGTGAGACATGGCATCATCATGATACACGACCAACCGTCACGCAGACAGCATCATCATGGTTCACTATCCCGCCCTCACTTCCTCTTCATTTGTCACGCCTCATCATTGCCATCAGTTCCCGTGCAGCCCATGCTCTTCTTTTCCCCGAGGCTACAAAAACTCATACTTGCCATCTGCCCCAAACAACCCCCACCGTCAGCTGCGCATGGCAGGGTGGAAGCGCTGGACGTGATGCAGCGGGTGCAGGGAAATTGAAGCATCAGTGCTGAGGGATGTTATTCTCTTTTCGTCCCCTTCTCGCCCCTCAGCTGCGCATGGCAGGGCTGGCCGCCCTGGACGTGATGCAGCGGGTGCGGGGCACGTGGGAGGCCATCGCTGACGAGCAGCGCCTGCCGAGCATAGTGGACGATGACGAGGACGGGGAGGGGGAGGAGGAGAGGCAGAGAGGAGCGGACGAGAGCGACGACGAGGAGGGGTCGGATGGGCTGACCTCGCCCCCTCGGATGCCCTTGAGGCGCATGACAGGCAGTGGGAATGCGACCCTGCAGCTGGTGGGCAGCTGGCGGCAGCTATTCCAAGTCATGGTCCCGTGGCGCCAGCTGTCCGACCCCACGGAGCCCCCCCTCTGGAAGGCCATGTTCGAGTCAGTTAATTCCTGCTCGCTCCGCTGCCTGCTGTGTGCCCCTTCTCCCCTTTGGAGTTGGTTATTGAGAATTCTGAGAAACCTACTCACCCCACGGAGCCCCTGCTCTGGAAGGCCATGTCCAGTCCCTGCTTGCTCCGCTGCCTCCTGTGCGCCCCTACTCCCCCTTTTTCCCTTTCGTCCTTCCTTCCGACTTCCTTTCCCCTTTCCCGCTTCCTTCCTTTTTCGTTCTCCCTTTCTCATAAGCCTAGCCGCTGTTGTGAAGGCATCCCTTTGTGGCTTTTGTGGCCTTTATGTGACACTTTTTTCTCACCCTAGCACCTTCTATCGCCCTGCTTGGCAGGAACCAGCGCTTCCAGGGCAACTTCCAGTCGAACACTCCGATCCACACGTGGAAGCAGTTCAGCGCCAAGTACAAGGCTATCTATGGCAGGTGCGGCGCTTCTTTTGATGGTGCGCAATGTTCCCAATGACAGGTGCAATGCTGCTGCTGATTGTTGAGTTGAGTTGACTCAAATGTCACCCGGTCCACACAATGTTAGCAGGTCCACACATGGAAGCAGGTCCACACATGGAAGCAGGTCCACACATGGGAGCAGGTCCACACATGGAAGCAGGTCCACACATGGAAGCAGGTCCACACATGGAAGCAGTTCCACACATGGAAGCAGGTCCACACATGGAAGCAGGTCCACACGTGGACGCAGTTCGGCGCAGGTGCAACTCCAGCTGTGCCAGGTGCAAGTTGCAACGCCATCTGTGCCAGGTCCGGCTTCTGTTGATGCTGACCAATGCTCCGGTATTCCTTCCTCCCTGTTGTGGGTGTGACGTTTCATGAGCTTCAAAGCGATTCCACCCCGTTATTGACTCTCCAATGTCTGCTTGTATAGCAGAAGGGACTGCTTACGCCCTGTTACACCTTTCTCCTCTCCTTGTTCCCTTCCCCCACACCTTCCCCTCCTCCTCTCACCTCATCCGTCGCTCAATCTTTATCCCCGTCCCTCCTCTCACTGCAGCAGAGGCTGCTGGGCGGCTAGGCCCAATCATTCATCCCTTTTCTCTCTCTCCCACATCTCCGTTTCCCCCATTTCCGTCGCCCCCATCGTGGTGGCATCAGGGCGGTGGAGGTGACGCGGCAGGGGCTGCTGGAGGGGCAAGAGGCGCTGGATATGGATGGCAACGCCTTCCCTGTTCCACGCGACACCTATGGCGCTAAGGTGAGACCAATGCGGCTGTCAGGTAACATGCATGTCAGGTAACATGCATGTCAGGTAACATGCATGTCAGGTTACCCACCATCCATATCCAGGGAACAGGGAACTCGTTACCAACGAGTTACCCATCAACTCGTTTGACTCTGTCTCTTCCTTGCCACCCTGTGCCACTGCACCCCACTTCACTGTGAGCAATCTCATAACTTGCTCCTGCCTTGCGTGACTGGGCCCTCCTCCTCATTCTGTCCACCTCTGCGGCAGGTAAAGGCATTAGAGGGGGCCATGAGGGACCCTTTGCTGGATTCCTCCCACTTACCTCCGCCCCTTACTTCACATCGTAAGCGTCTCAGTGCTGTTCCCCTCCCGTTGCGACCCTGCCCTGTCCTGGTGCAGATCGAGGCAGCGGAGGGCCATGCGGGGCTGCACCATGCTGCATTCCTCCCACTTACATGCGGCCCTTGTTTCAACGCTGTTTCGCTCCCACTTGCATCCGTGCCCTGTCCCGGCGCAGATCGAGGCAGCGGAGGGCCATGTGGGGCTGTACAATGCCGTCGGTCGGGACTTCTACCTGCGCCTGCCGTGCCACAGCATGGCGCTCCCAGGGTCAGTTGCCCTTGCCGTGCCACAGCATGGCATTCCCAGGGTCAGTTGCCCTTGCCGTGCCACAGCATGGCCTTCCCAGGGTCAGTTGCCCTTCTGCAGTGTGGTGTTCCCTGCTGGGTTATGCACTCCATCCGTGTGATGTGATATGTGTGCTTGTGTGATGCTGCATGTCTGTGTACCTGCTCTGCTGCCACGGAAAATGGCCGTTGCAATTCACGTCCCCTCCCCCCTGCCTCCGACTCGATCTCTCAGTGTTGCTCACGTGCTCCGTTGCTCCCTCCCGTTCAAACAGGACTGTTCTGCGAGGCACGGAGTTCAAGCTGCATAAGAAGTAAGCGCCCACCTCACTGCACCCCTGCTGTTTGTTCGTCTCATGTCGTCCGTGCCATAAGGCTTTGAACCCCATGTCGTCTGTGCCATAAGGCGTTGAACCTCATGCCCGCACTCTCTCTCCCACACCACACCACTTCCCCACTGTTCCAGCCTTCATGCCCCACTGCTCCCAACCCTGGTACTTACCTACTCCAACCAATGAACCCCATGCTCCAATCTTTTCCCATTCGCTCCCACCCTTCCGCCCCACTGTCCTCCATGCCCCTCCCACAGGCCGCTGGCGATTCACTTTGAGACGTACACCAAGAACGACGAGACGCAGTGGCGCCATCTGGACGACGAGCTCACAGCGGCCTGGGAGGTCAGTGCTGCTGCTGCTGTTCTCGTGCTGGGTGTGCTGCTGCTGCCAGTGCTTGTGGTGGTTGTGCTGGTGGTGCTGGTGCTGGTAGGACTAACGTTTAAGGTGCCGGTGGTGCTACTAGTGGGACTGTGACTGGGGGATGTGCTAGTGATAGATGGACCGATACCGTGTGCGTGCCGGAACCTCACTCCCCTCCCTAGCTTTGGCCTCCCGCTCCCCCCTCTAAACCCTTTCCCACTCCAGAGTCTATCAGCAGCGGTGTTGGACCTCCCCATGCGGGCCACGGACAGCAGCCACTTCCAGGACCTCACTCTTCACCGTAATTTTGGCATATCGCTCCCCCATCTAACCCCTTCCCCACTCCAGAGTCTGTCAGCAGCAGTGTTGGACCTCCCCATGCGGGCCACGGACAGCAGCCGCTACCAGCAGCGGGTCCGCGAGGGCATTCTGCGCATCAGCTACTACTGGTTCCAGCTGATGCCGCTGTCGCGCGGCTCTGCCATGGTGGGGCTAATCTCCATCCTCGGCCTCTCCATGGCTGCTGACATGGAAACCACAACGCGCATTCCGAAGGATGTCCTGGTGAGTTGCATTCCATTTTCCACGGGACGTGCTGGTGGTGAGTGGCATGGCACATGTTGCACGCGTTCTCATATTGTGGGTTGTTCTGATGTGTTAAGTTCAAACATGAGGCACACAGGCCTGTATTGTAGCCTAGGACTCTCCTTGGAGCTTGTCCAGATGCCAGGATGGATCGAGTTTTATTTTGAATATTGTTGCTTGTGTGGCAGGTTGACTGGGAAGGGCTGTTTGCCACTCGCTTCCAAGACTTCTACGATGCCGTGGCTCCTTGGCTCTTCTCATCCGTTCGACGGTCGCCCTGGCATCTCCCTGTAGTGCGTGAGGTGCTCCCCACCACACGCCATGTACTGGCTGCTCTGAGTTACACATGACTTTGGTGTATCCTGCTGTTAAGTTATTACTATATGATAACGAACTTGAATGTACCGTAGGTGGTAGGTATCTCTATTTGTCCTATCATCGGAACAGCTGATTAGTGTGTGAATACAAATGCGTAGTTATTTCAAAACTTTTTGCGGATACACTCCTTGACTCGAAATGCACAGGCTCTGTGACGGTGGACATTCGCTTCGCATCCTCGGTACTTCAAAGACGCTCAAGGAAGTTGTGTCAGCGCCACGAACCAAAGCAGCTTTCGGGAGGTGGGTAGGGAGCTCAGGCTTCCGAGCGAGTTCAGACTGACAGGACTGTTCAGGAAGTTGCCTTGTCGGCACTTGCCATTCTGCTTCGTGCTGTATTTCTGCTTCATGTTCCTCGTCTTCCTGTTCCTCTGTTTCCCTCACCACTGCTAAGGCGCGTGTGCTCTCTGCTTCAGGGATGGTGTTGGAGTACCAGAAGCCGTCGCGGCCGAACCTGGGGTCGAGGTCCGGTGGGTGCGCCCAGGACGTGAAGGAGACGACGCCGTCGCTGTCGGCGGTCCCGCGGGTTGGAACGAAGTCCAAGACGAAGACTCCGTACTTCTGGATGGCTCTGCTGATGAAGAGGCCGCCCTTTCCGTGATACAGTCGGAACTCTCGATCGAAGCGGTCGCACTCTAGGTGAATACTCTTCAACATTAGTTGGCTGACGCTTAGGATATTGTAGCCAAGGTTGTCGACGACGAGCACTTGTGAGATCTGTAGTATCACATTTGTCTCGCTTGATTGTAGCTAAACGACACCTTCCTTTCTTGTTCGCAAGTTCCGTTTGTTGGCGACAGTGATGACGACTTCTCGGCTCAAAGTCTTCTTTCGCTGGATGAAGCGCGCCGAAGAACACATGTGCTGTCCATAGCAGCTATCTAGGAACCAGGTGTTCCACGGCATGTGTGATACACAGTTGTTTTGTGCTAAGGGGTTGTACTCGGTGTCAACTTATACATATTAGCTATGTAGAAGTTATAGGCTAGACTGAGGTATGCTTCTAGTGAGTACAACCAACTAGTACTTGTTCTAGGTTTCCACTTCTAGTCAATCATTCAGTTCTTACTTTAACATGGTATCACGCGTAGGTTAGCATCCCCCACCTACCGCTTCCGTCCGTACCCTAGCTAGGCCCCGCCGCGCCTCCCCCCCCCTCCCCCTGGGGCCCCGTCGCGCCCCCTAGCCCCGTCGCGCCTCCTCGCCCCGTCGCGCCCCTCCTGGGCCCCGTCGCGCCTCCTGGCCCCGTCGCGCCCCTCCTGGGCCTCGTCGCGCCTCCTAGCCCCGTCGCGCCCCTCCTGGGCCCCGCTGCGCCTCCTAGCCCCGTCGCGCCCCTCCTGGGCCCCGTCGCGACCCTCCTGGGCCCCGTCGCGCCTCCTAGCCCCGTCGCGCCCCTCCTGGGCCCCGTCGCGCCTCCTAGCCCCGTCGCGCCCCTCCTGGGCCCCGTCGCGCCTCCTAGCCCTATCGCGCTTTTCTTGGGCCCCCTCGGGACCTTGGGCCTCTCAGTGGATAGCTGCCATGGAGCAGGAGATGGCATCTTGGAGGTCCACCGGCACTTACGTCGACGCAGTTCCCCCGCCTGGGGTGAACGTAGTCGATGGTCGGTGGCTCTTCAAGGTGAAGCGCCCCCCTGGAGAGCCGTCTGTCTTCAAGGCGCCTTACGTGGCCAGAGGTTTGAGTCAGCGAGAGGGGGTTGACTTCTTCCAGACCTTCGGCCCGACCCCGAAGATGACCACTCTTCGGGCGCTGCTATACGTAGCAGCACAGCGTGACTATGAGCTTCACTCCCTCGACTTCTCTACTGCCTTTCTTCAGGGCAGCCTACACGAGCAGGTCTACCTGCGCCGACCACAGGGCTTCACTGGTACCTTCCCCCCTGGGACCCAGTGGCTTCTCAGGCGCCCGGTCTACGGCCTGCGTCAGGCTCCTCGCGAGTGGCACGACACGTTGCGGGCCACGTTAGCAGACCTGCAGTTCTTTCCGTCCTCTGCTGACCCCTAGTTGTTTGTGCGTTCCGGCCAGACTCCGTTCTACATCCTTGTCTACGTAGACGATTTGGTCTTCGCTACTGCTGACAGGGACGCACTGGCCTCTGTGAAGGCCGAGCTTCTGAAGAGACACACCTGCACTGACCTTGGAGAGCTGCGTCGCTATCTTGGCCTGCAGATCTCTAGGGACAGAGCAGCACGCACCATTACTCTGACACAGTCACACTTGCTGCGTCAGTTCCTTCAGAGGTTCGGTCTTCAGTTCTCCTCCGCATAGCCCACACCTCTACCTGTAGACCATGGGCTCTCCGCTCCCGTTCCTCAGGAGCCAGTAGAGCCCAGTGGCCCCTACGCAAAGCTGGTGGGTTGCCTCATGTACCTGATGACTTGCACTCGCCCGGATCTCGCATACCCTCTCAGCATCCTGGTTCGCTTTGTGGCTACAGGCAGACACCGACCTCAGCACTGGTCTGCCGCTAAGAGGGTTTTGCGTTATCTTGCTAGTACATCGCGCATGGGGTTAGTGCTAGGAGGACGCAGGCCAGTGGTCCTTACTGGGCACACAGACGCTTCTTGGGCAGACGACTCTGAGACGCTCAGGTCGTCGTAGGGCTACTGTTTTAGCCTTGGTTCGGGTGCTATCTCTTGGAGATCCACTCGCTCATTGTCTGTGGCTCAGTCTAGCTGTGAGGCTGAGATCTACGCTGGTGCCATGGCGGCACAGGAGCTCCGCTGGCTGACCTTCTTGCTCACAGACTTAGGTGAGCGGCCTAGCTCTGCCCCGGTCCTGTACGCTGACAACAGGGCCATGATACTCCTGTGTCAGGAGCCTCGGCTTGAGGGCAGAGCGAAGCATATCCAGCTGCGGTACTTCCTCCTGCGCGAGCTACAGCAGCGCCGCCAGGCCCGCGTAGTTCACTTGGCCTCAGGTGCCAACACAGCTGATATCTTTACTAAGGCGCTTGCGCCTAAAGATCATCAGCGGCACTGTGTGTCAAACATGTGTACTTGTCATGTTTGTATAGACTGTATAGGGTAGTCTCTTAGAGGGTACAACCCTGAGATATATCCTTGTGTACTCTCTTTCTATCAAACATTCAATTTACAATTCTGATATGGTATCACGCGTAGGTAGGATCCCTCCCCACCTACCGCTTCCGCTCACCCCTCTAGCCCCTAGCCCAGTCGCGACCCCCCCTAGCCCCGTCGCGCCCCTCCCTGGGCCCTGTCGCGCTCCTCCCAGGCCCCGTCACGTCCTTCTTGGGCCCTGTCGCGCCCCTCCTGGGCTTCGTAGCGCCCCTCCTGGGCTTTGTAGCGCCCCTCCCAGGCCCCGTCGCGCCCCTCCCAGGCCCCCTAGCGCCCCTCTTGGGCCCTGTCGCGCTCCTCCCAGGCCCCGTCGCGCCCCTCCTGGGCCCCGTCGCGCCCCTCCTGGGCTTTGTAGCGCCCCTCCTGGGCTTCGTAGCGCCCCTCCTGGGCTTCGTAGCGCCCCTCCAGGCCCCGTCGCGCCCCTCCCAGGCCCCCTAGCGCCCCTCCTGGGCCCCGTCGCGCTCCTCCCAGGCCTCGTAGCGCCCCTCCTGGGCCCCGTAGCGCCCCCTCCTGGGCCCCGTCGCGCCCCTCCCAGGCCCCGTCGCGCCCCTCCTGGGCTCCGTAGCGCCCCTACTGGGCCCCGTCGCGCCCCTCCTGGGCCCTGTAGCGCCCCTCCTGGGCCCCGTCGCGCCCTCCCTGGGCCCTGTAGCGCCCCTCATGGGCCCCGTCGCGCCCCTCCCAGGCCCCGTCGCGCCCCTCCTAGGCCCCGTAGCGCCCCTCCTAGGCCTCGTCGCGCCCCTCCTGGGCTACGTAGCGCCCCTCCTAGGCCTCGTCGCGCCCCTCCTGGGCCCCTGTAGCGCCTCTCCTAGGCCCCCGTCGTGCCCCTCCTGGGCCCCGTCGTGCCCCTCCTGGGCCGTGTCGAACCCGCCTGCCGCCGTCGCACCCGCCCGGCCCCGTCGCGCCCGCCCGGCCCCGTCGCAGCCGCCTCGCCCTGTCGCACCCGCCCGGCCGCCGTCCAGCTCGCCCGGCCCCGTCGCACCGGCCCGGCCCTGCCGCACTTGCCCGGCCCCGTCGCCCCAGCCCAGCCCCGTCGCGCCCGCTCGGCCCCGTCGCCCCGTCCCGGCCCTGCCGCACCAGCCCGGCCCCGTCGTGCCAGCCCGGCCCCGTCGCACCCTGCCCGGCCCCGTCGCAGCCGCCCGGCCCCGTCGCACCCGCCCGGCCGCCGTCCCGCTCGCCCGGCCCCGTCGCACCGGCCCGGCCCTGTCGCACCAGCCCGGCCCCGTCGCGCCCGCCCGGCCCCGTCGCGCCAGCCCCGGCCCTGTCCTCCTCACTGGTACGGTTCCCCCCACCCCGCCCTGCACTGCCCTGCTCCGTGCCGCCCCGCACCACACTGCACTGCCTTGCACCGCACTCCACCGCACTGCACCGCACTGTACCGCACTGCATCGCGCCCCACCTAGCTGCACTACCCTGCACCGCACTGGACTGTTCCTGATGGCGGCGGAGCTTCGCTTCGACGCTGAAGGTCAGCCCCTAGAGTTCGAGGCGTGGCTTGCCGACCTCCGCCGCCAACTCACTGGCCAGCGGCAGGATGGTGAACCGCTTTCAGCACACCTTGACGGTACGCTCCCCTGCCCAGACCCCCCTGCTATTCTGCCCGCTGACCCCACACCCACTGAGCGTGAGTCTACTGCTGCCACTGCCCGTGCGCGCTCTGTCTGGCTTTCTCGCGATGCTGTCGCCCAGCTTGCCATTAGCAACGCCCTCCCCCCGTCCGAGCGTCCTCGCTTTAGGTCCCTCACTACTGCTCAGGCATACTTAGATGCTGTGATCAAGCGCTATTCCACCCCTCCGGCTGCCTCGGTGGGTCGCCTGATCCTCCCGATGCTCTTTCCTGACCTTGCATCTTTCCCCACTGTCTCTGACCTCGCTGCCCACCTGCGCTCGATAGAGGAGACCTGGCGCGCCGCCTGCACTGACGCACAGCTTAGAGCCCACCAGCCGCCCATTACCTCTACCCTCTACCTGCTTGCCACCCGCCTCCCTGACCGCCTTGCTGTCGCCCGCGACCGCTTCCTTAGCCTTCACCCCGCCGACCTCACTCTCACTGACTTTGTAGACACCCTGACTGTGATAGAGACCCGTCACCGCTCCATCGCCCAGGCGAGCGGTGTCGTGCCTGTCCCTATCTTTCAGGGTTGTGCCCCCGCCCAGTGTACCTTCTCCGACGGCTCTGTCGCAGTGGCTGAGACTGCTGCTGCCGCGCAGTTTCGTTCGGGGAAGGGCCGCCGCCCCAAGGTTGGGCGCAGCGGAGGCGGAGGCGGGGGTGCGGGCGGGGGTAGTGGTGGGGTCGGGTCGTCTGGTGCTGGAGCGGACGAGGGGACCCTGCCCAGTCCAGCTGAGCCGCAGCCCCTGCAGTTGCAGCAGCCGCAGCAGCCGCCGCAGTCGCAGCCTTCGCAGCAGCCGCAGCAGCCGTCGCAAACGCGGCATACGAGTGTCCTCCCGCCCGGGTGGCCCGGCGCTGGCGGTGGCCGGGCGCGTGGTGGTGTGTCGAGTGGTAGCTCTGGCGGCGGGCGTTGTCAGTACCAGATCCAGACCGGTCCTCGCCACGACTTCGTTTGCGGTAAGATCGGTCACTCCACTCCCCGCTGTTTTCGTCGCCTGGACGACCTCTTTCGTCAGCGCTTCGGCCCGTTGCCAGACCTCCTGGACTGGCACAGTTTGCTTAGTCG